CGCGTCAGACTTTCGGGTCGACTTCGGGAATAGTGTGTACGTGTGGCCCGTGTGTAAGCTGAAGGAGAGGTTTTTAAACGATAAAGAATTTTTTAGGTTTGTAATCGCGAACGCGTTGTTATTATTTTCGTTCAATGCGAACGAAGAAGGGGCGACGATCCGAAACGTCGCGGTCGTCCGGACGAATTTCCACTCCGGGGGGGATTCTGTAGCCGCGAGTTGACGATGACGAATATGGCGAACGTATCGGCTAATCTTATCGATTTCTGCGCCGCGGTCTTCGTGAACCTAATCTCCAATCTATTACGTTTCGTCCCCGGTACAAGCGCGCGTCCCATCAATCCTTGTCAATTCTTGAGCCATCGCGCATTGTGTGTCCGGTACACGGCGAGACTATCGGTCCGACGGCGCGGTCCGAATCGGCCTGATGAAAATCCTCCGCGTCGAGTTTAAACTATACTATATATATATATACAGAGAAAACACTCGATGTGCGACAAATATCCGCGAGCGTCGAGAAAAATCGTAGAAACGAACGGCCGACAAGTGACTGCAGCCGATTTCGGTTTGCGAGTTAAAAACCTGCGGCGGACGTACGTTACAGGATACTTTCGGGCGGTCTGCCCTCCCCCCCCCCCCCCGGACATTTCGAAACGGTATCCCTCCGAGATCCGGCATCAATTTACCGTCGAAAAAACACTCCCGTCGGAACGAGTGATCGTTCAGTATAACGTCCGGGTTTATACATTGTATTCTGTACGTTTAAGTCATTATCGTCTCGGCCGCGATACACCAGCGTATGGTTGTATGGTAATGATGTCGTTTGCATTAAATACAATCGAAGGAACAGAATAGGAAAAAAAAAACGTTTTTCGTTTCAACAAGCAATCGGGATTGTTCTCCGCGTTGTCCGGAAACATTCGAAACGTCTGGACATTTGAATGAGACATGTCATATGTTTTATAATACGAGCAGTGTGTAATATAGAACAATATGTGATTCGACTTGCGCGGTTGTTATAAAATCAAAACGATTGTTGAAAACAAAAGTTATGATCATCGATTGGCTCGTTTCTGATCTCCGCTGCCTAAAATATAACGCCGACACGACGTGTGTGCGGTCTAAATTACAAAAAAAAACAAACGGACGTACGATGGGCGGGGCCACTGTTGTAGATGACGAAAAGCGATTCTGAACGGAATTCGGGTGTGTACATGTTTTTGAAAGGCCGTAATTATTACGATTTGAAAATAATAAATTTCGTAAATTTTCCCGTTTTTCCCCATTTATTATAAAAACTTCTAGGGAAATCAAAAAAAATGACCTCCCTAAAGTACCACCCTGGTAAAATTTTTTTGCTCACAGTAACAATGTACAAACATCATTGTAAAACCACCACACGTTCTTCGGTCCGCTCAGAATCTAAAATGCGCGTATTTGAATTTGAACCGTATGGAAAAATAATAATCCCGATAGTATAATCGACTAGGGGGATGGGGGGAAAGGATAGTGCGTTTCGCAGTGTCCGTCTCTGAATCCCGCATCGAATCTATAACGCCGTCTGATACTTGAAATCTGATACAGTATTCCAGGCGCTGGTTCGCACCAGATATGCCCTATGCGTGCCATCGGATATTTTGTATAACACGACCCCCGGATTTCTCGCCCATAAAATATATCTGCGATAAAATCCATCACGGCCATTATCGCGTGCTACAACGATTAATACGGGTTTTTTGTGTCCACAGGCAGTCCGGGTATGTTGACCCCGTCGTTCAACGCCGTTCACGGACTCGCGTCGCCACTGGCCACGTCTTTCGCGAACACGCCCGTGTCGAGCATGCCACTCGGATTCCCACTGCCCGGCGGTTCGTTGGCGGCCGGCACTCTGCGGCTTCCCAGCCAGATGACCGGACAGACGTGCGTCTTGTTGGTTAGCAACCTGAACGAAGAGGTGACACAAACGATTCCGTCTAAATATTAATGATAATACAATTTTATTTTATTTTTTTTTTACTCGACCATTAATGATTTTATCGTCCGGAATATTTGATATTTTTGTTGTTTTTACTCCTTATAGGTATATAGGGATGTATAGACGTTTTCAAATTGCATATTCCCCTCCCCCCCCCGGTTTTTTTTCTCGATATACCTACTGTTGGCGGTGTGGTGACCCGCAGAAAACACTAAAACAGACAAACGGTTTGTTCGTGCCCCGTGCACCGGGAATAGTTGTCGCCAAAAAATGTTTTTTTCAAATTGACTATTTTCTATTAATCTAATCTAATCTAATCGACGCGTATAAAAATATATATATATACCTATATTTTTATACGACCCAATGTCGTTTGGTTTCTTTCTACAATTATATTTTCAAACGTTTTTAATGTTAAAAATAAAAATATAATGTTTCCCGGTTTTTCGATTTTTTATTTATTTATTATTTGTTTGACTACTCGACAAAACTCCTAGAGTTCATCCCCTCCTCCCTCGTATCTCCTCATCCAACCACACGTGATTGTTATTATTATTATTTTTATTTTATTAATATTATTATTATTCATTCATTATGTTGTTGTTATTGTTCATCCAATGTATACTCAAAGAATTCTGTTTTTCTGATTTTTTTTGTTTTTGGCTTTCCCTAACGGTGATGCTACTACTACTACTACTACTACTACTACTGCTGCTACTCAAAAAAAAAAAAAACAAATCTGTCTCTGTCTAACTCTGCCGCCATGGACACACCTTTTAACTCTTTCTACGACCAAAAAAATATATACCAAATTAAAAAACCTTATCGCTTCGTAGATGGTCACACCAGACGCTATTTTCACTTTGTTTGGTAGGTGCATATATACTTAACTTATACTATTATTTTATTTTTTTTTATTATTATTTTCATTTTATATACATAATTTGTTTTTATACCTTATTAAGTATAAAACAAAAATCTTCAAGGCAGATGGAAGCATTATTTTTTTCTTTCTATTAAAACTCTAGATCTATTATAATATAATACTTTTTGATCTTTTTTTCATTGTATTATATTATTATTATTACTTCCAACTGCCTTCTTTAAAAAAAAATTAAAAAAAAATTCATGTCATTATATTATATTACGTTTACTTATATATTTAATAAATTTAATTTATTTTTTTGTTATTTAATTTTATACTTATTATTTTCTTCTTTTGATAACAGACAATGCATGGTCTCCCCTTAACAATATTTCATTATTATTATTTATTTATTTTTACAAAACAAATTAAATTATTATTATAATTTTTTTTTCATTAATATTCCTCTTTAAAACAACTAATATTTATAGGTGTGTATGGAGACGTATTGCGTGTGAAGATTTTATATAATAAAAAAGATGGAGCACTAGTACAAATGGCTGAACCGCATCAAGCACATTTAGGTAATTTATAAAAACCAAAAATTATCTTACTAAGATTCACTACTTTTATTATGTAGATATCAAATAACAATATTTTTTCTCCGAATAGCTATGCTTCATTTAGACAAAGTGCGTTTGTACGGCAAGTACATTCGAGTGATGCAGTCCAAGTACCAGACGGTCCAGCTACCAAAAGAAGGACAACCTGACTCTGGACTGACCAAAGATTACACTTCATCACCATTGCACCGATTCAAGAAGCCTGGTTCCAAAAACTACCATAATATCTATCCGCCATCGTCTACTCTGCACTTGTCAAACATACCGTGAGGATTTTAGTGACGGCTGCAGTTACATTATAGACTTGACAATAATTTTACTTTATGTGTGTTTTAGGACAACATTGTCGGAAGACTTCTTGAAGACTGCATTCGAAAACAACAGTTTCTCAGTCAAAGACTTCAAATTTTTCCCGTTAGTTTTTTTTTCCGCTTTACTTTTGCATTATATAAGTTAATTATTATTAATTATTTGAATTAACATATTTCAGAAAAGATCGTAAGATGGCACTCATTCAAATGGATTCCCAGGAGGAAGCTGTCGCAGCGCTTATCGTAAGAACGCTTAAATCATCATGTCATATGATTCTTAATGGTATTAATATATTGTTCATTTGGTTTTATTATAGAAAATGCACAACTATCGACTCAGTGAACAAAATCACCTGCGTGTATCATTTTCAAAGTCCAACATTCAGCCTGACACACTAACACCTAATTAGGATTCTTCCTCTATGCTTTAGAATTACTGGACAGTTTTGCCAAACTACGCAACAGTCAATGATCTTAATGAACACGACTGTGTTTAGCAAGTATTTTTTTTTTTAATTATAATACGTATTATTGTTTCATATTTTAAATTTATTCGTAAACAGTATTATTTTTTTAATATTATTATTATTCTGAATTTTTTTTTTTTTTACGCGATTAACTTTTCAATGTTTCTATTTACTTATTTGCCCTGGCGTATTATTTTTTTCTCACCTATAGTATTTACATGTTGATTTTTTGTTTCCATCATTCCTCTGAGTGTCTTTATACTTGTGTATTATTTAATTTATGTCTATTTTTATTTGTAAAATTTAGAGAGAGATCAATTATAAGGTCACAAAAATATTTAATAACTATATTATACAAAAAAAAAAAAAAAAAAAAAAACTTCATTTTAGTAGTAGAAATTGTCACCAAAGGATGCGAGGAAAACGTTTAAATGTGAAATCGCACTAAAAAGTATGTATTTATATGAAACATATTAGTATTATTTTTATTTTTTTTTTTTATTATTTATAAATTATACTATTTTTTCTTTTTTTTTTTAATTATTATTCTACTATATGATTATATTTATTTTTTAGCTAAAAACAGTTTATTTTTTTTTTATATATACATACACAAGCAATTTCTTATGATTTGTTAAGATAAATAAACTGTTTAATTTTTTATTTTATTTTTTTTTATTTTTACAGTATAATTAAAAATAACGGATATAAAACTCTTCTCATAATAGAATTATTACATTTTTAACTTTGAATTTTTTGTTTTTTTCTTAGTTTGATTTGATTTTCATGACAAATAATTGTATCAAATTTATTATTTGTTATTGATCTAACCAACTTTGACATGAAATATCCGTTATTTTGTACATTATACTAATTTTATTTTCCTTATTCTTTTTTCGTTTTTTTTTTTCTGTTGCTTATTATTATTTTCCTTATTTCTTTTATTCTTTGATTTTTTTTGTGTTTTTAAATTATCGCACTGAAAAGAAGTGGACATATCGCAATTCAACGTTTACAATCAATAATTTTGTATTATAGCTAATACTATCTTCTAAATCTTAATTGTTAAGTTTTTTTTTCTGCATTATAATTGTAACAATTAATAATTTAAAAAAAAAACTATTAGTGTAAGTAGTGGTTGGGTAAAAACATTTTTTTTTAATTAACTATTGTAGTTATCGATTTAAGTATAAAGTAAAGTGTAAGGTATATTTTTAAGTGTACTGTGTAGACGGTTAGTGAATGTATTATTATTATTATAGTTATTTTATAAGAATGAATGCCATTGTGACAATCAAAATTCTAAATGACGATTACGCCATCAAACGTAACGTCTGTAACTGTTCTTGGAAAAAAATTAACAGATTCACACGGACCTCAAAAAAAAATTTTAAACACTTATCATAAGGCTCTTTTCACATACAGTTTTGATCAGACAGTAATATAAATTTAGTGGACTGAAAAAAGTATAGACTCATATTACACGGTCACGACAAAATGCCGGTACTGTGCTATATAGCAGCCATCTGTTTCCACTATGGAGTACGGCAACCAGATGACACTATAGCTTATTAACGGACATGACTAAATGCATGTTTTAAGATTTTTGATATGCAGACAAAACCATTTAATGTGAAAAAAGCCTGACTTTTCTGGGGTTCATCGTGTATCTGGTCTTGAACTTTCATTTTTCACGAAACATCGTAAACTTATTTATATTAATAATTATTATTATTGTTATAACATTTATTAGACTTACCTTGATGATGTCCTCGACTTGTTATCGAATTTGTTAAATCTAATCGACGACCAGCCGTTTTCGTCCTACCCATGTCAATTCGTGCGCTGACACTAAGCGTTACCTGCAATAATTTTAATATTATAATATTTTATTACTAGATATTAATATTATTATTATTACTATCATCGTGATTATAGTTCCGTGGTGTGTACTCACACAACAATCATAGCAAATAAAGGCTACTATATTATTATGATATTAAATAGGACAATCGTTTTTTATGGCCCATCACCATTGGCCGGACACAGTTAGATGTATTTTATTATTATTATATTATTATTATTATTACTATTATTATTATTATTATTATTATTATTATTATTATTATTATTATTATTATTGATATTATTATTAGGTATTTATATCCATTTGTATTATTGTTACAATATTTTACCTACCGCCTCTGCCCACCTCCCAGTTATTATTATACCCTTGTTAGTGGCAGTGAAAACAAATATTTAAAAAAATTTTGTTTAAAAATATGTTTCATTTTTTAAGTGTTTAGATGTATAATTATTAATTATTAACATAAGGACATAATATTATTATAATAATTCTAGATATGATTTTTTTTTTTGTGATTATTATTATAATAATATATAGGTAATTTACAATATTTAGTCAAATTTTTCAAATGTATAACCAAATCTGAATAATTGAAACACACTCACACATAATCACTACTTCTTATTACTTCATACTTGGTCTTTATTAATCTTTATTATCTATTGTTCACTCTTTTTCTGTTATATGTCTGTGCATGTGTCTTCTTAACTCTTAAAAACATTCTCTACTTCTCGATTTATATTTTCCAATCATAGATAGCTAGTTTAAACTATAAATATGGTTGAGCAGAAGATTTTGTAGTTTTAATGTTGGTGTTATAGCCCTTGTATACTCTTACTTTTATCGTTTGGTACAAAAACAATTTTATAAAATAGGACATCGAAAATGAAACTAATCCCATTATTGGTTCGGTGCTATGTTTTTCGGTTGTACGAATCAACAAAAAACCACGCACAAACTTAGCTAACTAGAAAATTGATATTTCCCTCTTCGGAATGAAATTCAATAGTATTATTACAATACATTTTAATGGTCATTGCGAGAAATCGATTTGAATTGTCGAAGATGGTAGGAGTGCCCAGTGAAAATTTGATGGTTGCTCTTACCCTCGGGATTATATTATATAAATCTTGTCCCGTGTTCGTTTTTCTCCGTTGATTAACTACAGACTATTATTATAATATTTATTATATTATTAATAAACAATAATAGACAAAGCGAATTAGGTATTCAACTAGCCCACCACCTAGGCTTTTATAATTTGTTCCTTTCGGGCTGTTTGGAATAAAATATAGAGTAAATAGGTATTCGCTTATTTTGCCCTTTTTACATCGCATATATCAAAATATGTTCAGTTGTTGTGCGTGCCATCCGATTTCAGTGCCAAAAATATATTCTAACAGACTCGGCATAGCACCTATACAAGGTGTGGATTTTGTTATTATTATGTAGGTGTATCGAATTTGAATAGTTTTTATAGTTTGCGTATCGTAATATTTATTACATAGATATTTGATAATATTATCTATCTTCTTGGTTTTTTTAAATATAAATTTGGTATTGAGCGTCTGTTTAGTATGATGTTAAGTAGATATAATAATATAATAAATAGATAGGTACAGAGACGAATACCAATAATTAGAAGTTGTTACTCAGTTCGTTTGAGAAAAAAAATGTTTTTTTCCTTGGTAGTTCGTACACTCGCTACTTCAAATTTAAAAATTTCCCACGGGGGTCGAAATACAGTAGGACATTTTCGAAAAACCCTGTTTTATTCATTGCGGTGGTAACGCGGGGTAAATAAATGAACAAAGGTATCGAAAAACGTATAAATATGCGCATGACAAAGTATCTACCTAATAGTGGATCACGTTATCGTTCGGTATGCGCATTTTCTCCATAGCCAGCATATTATTTTGTCGTAGTTCAGCACTTCTGATTGGTCAGTGTGTTAATTGACCGGTAATAGCGGTAATTCTAATGCTGACCAATAAGAAGCGAAGATCTAAATTATTAATAATTGACGATGAAGTGAAGAAATATTTGATCAAAGTTCGCATATTAAAAACACTGTGATCGTAATACGTCTATTTTGTCATGCGCTTCTAAATACATTCTGTTCGGAACAAGATTAAACAGCTCAGACATCGAAAACGAGACGCGTTTACGCATTCCCGCCACTTAACCACCAGCTTTACCGGCTGTGCTCGCTCCCTGTAGGCTGTCAGCGCGGTGGCGACGACCAATCACATAACGCGTAGCGTCCACTAAGGATCCGGATTCGCTCTGCAGCTCAGTCTGCATGTCCTATAGCAATTCGGTTTTACCCCGAATAAAGCATATAGATTTCTATGACCTCCACTTCCACGGTCTGCGGCCCGCAAATGGCGACCCATACCTCCCATATAACTTTCCTAACCGATACATTTTTATCTATTTATTAATACTTATAAGTATATAATTTACGCGTAGGAATAAATAAGATATATTACAATCGAGTAGATGACGAGTTACATTAATTATTATTATAACGGTATAAATTAAAAATTAACAAAATAATTATTATTTTAAAACAAGTAAACTCTCGACAATCATACGCGGGGTGTGCAAAACAACAATCACTAGTGTTACTATATAATATTATTACTTCTCGTGTTACGTAAAATATATTCTAATACAAATATAATAGGTATGTAATTATAATATGTATGTGTATTATTTATACTTATATTATACTTTTAGAAATCGTATTATTATGTGAAAAAAAAATATGTAAACGTTTTAAACGATTATTATATATTTATTGTGTATCACATATCTTATTATTATTCTTGTATATCTCACGTATCGTATTTTATTATATACAATAATATTATTTTTAATTTTTTCTTATTTCTATTTATACTTAACATTTTTTTTATATACTATACTTACATGTATTTTTATGACTGTAAACTATACGTTTTCTAATTTCTATTTTTCAAAAAGAAAACTAAAAACAAACAAATTTGACAAAATACACACAGTTTTATCTTCGATTTATATCAAGCTATTATTTTTATATTTGTCTCTCTCTCTCTCTCTCTCTCTCTCTCTTTCTCTATTTTTTCTCTCTCTCTCTCTCTCTCTCTTTCTCTATTTTTTCTCTCTCACTCTTGTAATTCTTTTACACCAAAATACATCTTACATTCTATCTACGTTCTTGGCGTATTCTTTATTCTTATTCTGTCTCTCACCGTCTATATCTATCACACCTACCTATCATTACCTGTATTTATTAACCTTAAAGTAACATTTTTTTTTCTATTTTGTTCATACTCATACGATCACAACGTACACTAAAAAAACCAGCGCCAAATATATCCGATTATATTGGAAAAGTAACTACATACGCCCGTAAAAGGGCCCAAATTATTATTGTCTTATTGTCTGTTGAGAGGTTTTACTGTATAAAGAGGCTGTTTCGCATTCGGGGGAAAATATGTAATATATTTGATTGAAATCAAACTGATAATATATACATATTATGAATACTAATCGCAGGTAAACACGACGACAAAACTATTCGAAAGACTAAAAAATTCTAAATTAAAACCAACTCAAAACCAAAACCCAATCAAACCAAATGAGATATAGGTATTTAAAACGAATAATTTATAATACAATTTGTTTGAAATAATCATAAACGTGCGCACTAGGAGCCAGGGTCTATTACCCTGCTGATTTTTTTTTATATACATTGCAGAATCTGCATTGCAGGTATCAGGCAATTTAGTTTATTTTATAATTTATTTATAGGATATTTATATTAGGATTAACTAGGTAATTATTTCTTTGATTTATAGTCTTGTATAGTCAGAAATTATGTGTTATCGATCATAATACATACAAATACACAATACCCAACCACAAAATTATAATAATGGTCAATATTTAACAATTTTGTCAATTATTCAGTGCTTTATATTATTTTTTTTTTAAAAAAACATATAATAATAACCACCGTCAGCCCCCTCTGCGCAATCATATTTAAATATAATAAAATGTAAATACCTTCCTAAAAAAAGAAAAATATCCACAATATCAGGTTAACGCTCAAAAATATTGTTCAACCGTACCTATTGTTTTATCTTAATGTACACGTTAAACGTGTTTTTATCACAACATGTATAGTATATACCTATATTTAATTGTGTAAAATGGAATTTTGAAAATGTTCAAAACATAAAAACAATTATTTTATTATTAGGTACATATTATATAATACATATTCGGCTTTTATATACGAAGTCATGCTGGCAATAACAAATCCGGAATAAGAAGGAGGGGGAGAAGGGTCTACGTTCCCCCGGCCGATTTTGTCATCATTTATGTATTATGTGTATAAATGTTTATACTGTAATAAATAAAAAAAAACATAATAATGTATATAAAGAAGGCCTTTATATTTTCGAATTCGGCCGGGCCCACGGGGCCTTTAATCCGCGGTTTTGGCCGACGACATCGCTCTATATGTTAGTTTAAACTTGAAGAGGAATTAAGAAATAATTGTACAGGTACACGTATTTTGTCTTTTAGATGCTTTTTTTTTCTTATATTCTCGTACACGCCTATATTTAATTATGCATAAAAATGTAATAATAATTTTAAATTTACCATCAACAGGTTAGGTTACGTCCTAGCCTAAGCTAACCTAACCTACCTATATAAGTATTAGAGTGTAGAATTATATTTTAATACATTATATACGTATAATATATCTACGATAAGAAAATTATACTGGCGGACGTTTACAAAATGTTAAAAAACTATAATAATACGTATAATATTATTATTAATATTATTATAATTATTATAATTATTATAATTATTATTATTATTATTATTATTATTATTATTATTATTATTATTATTATTATTATTATTATTAATATTTTATATGTATTATAATATATTATTATTTATTATTATTAATTTTATATTTCCGCTATGCATATTATAATACATTTAGTACATTAGTTGTATGTATGTGTGCTACATGTATAAGGCAGTGGACACTTTTTATTCAACTAACTAAATTCATCCTGTTGATTTTTCGCGTAGAGATAATAATAAAATAAAATTATTATCGTTTGTTCTCAGTGACGTTTTTAAAGAGGGGGGGGGGGCTATAATAAAGTATATTTATTTTTAAATTGAAATTTCTTCGCCATTTCTAAATGTCTATGTAGTTACGATACCATGTATACACTTCCTTGTTATAAAAACAAAATCTTTATCTATCGTGACCTCCACTATAGGCAATAATATGAACAAAGAAGTTAGATTAATATTACAATGTACCCAAGTAAACAAATAATTACCTGCTGTTATAATGAAATCGTAGTTATTATTTGATTCCAACGGGAATTGTTGGACATTTTCAAATACTATAAGTACACACATGCCTCCTACCTATTACTCAAAAAAAATTTATAAATTAACTTTCCCTTTTTTTATATATATATATAGTCCCTATAGGTACAATATAACACGATTTCCAAAGTAAATATCTCCCTCGTTGGCATAATCTTAAATACGTCACTTTGTACCGATATTGCATTTATGTAAGTCCGTTTATAATATATTTTAAAATAAAAAATGGAATTGCGTTTTCATCGTGCTCGTTTATATACACATATACTTAATATTATAGTGTATTTTTTCACTACACACTCGTCATTCTATAAAATCTAAGTGTAGGTAAGTAATACCTACCTGCCTATTTGCGTACCTACCTAAACACGACACGCGCACGTTATTCTCCGTATATTTATTTATAATAATATGTAAATATCGTTGTACACGCAAAACCATGGTCGAGACGTTTGTTTTGCGTATTCAGATCTTGCAGATAATAATTTTATGAAAAATAAAAGAAACGTCACAGAATTATAATTATATGCATACACAAAATGTACAATGATAAAATGATACCGTCGTTATATTATATTCATAATTTTAATATAATTTAAAAAAAAAATAATAATTATACTGAAATTATTTCCGACGTGTTTTGATTTTTCAACTATTATAAATTCATACATTGTAACCTGTTATTATTTTAGATTCTGAATGGGCTAAAAATTGTATAGTTTTACAAAGATTTTTTTTTAATTTTCATCTCTGTGCGACTACCAGAAATCTAACTCCGATTTTTAAGTGTAGCACCTTTCCTTAAACGGAAATTGGGCTAAAAATGTACTTTAGGAAGGTCATTTTTAACGTTTACAGAAAAAAAAAAGACCATAATATATTACTATAATACATTCGTAAATTTGTCCAATGTTTTACCGGTTATTCCCATTTATTAGGAAAATATCTGGGAGTATTAAAAAATGAACTCCTTAAAGTACATCCCTAGTTAAATTTCCTTTCTGAAAAAGCTTTATTATCATAAATTGGAGCAAAATTTCTAATAGAAAAGTTATTTATAGGAGGAAAAAGGCCGTAATCCTGTACCATACTATACAGTATGTATGTATGCTATACCATACATTACTAAATATTATGTTCGTACATTTTTAAATTTTTCGATTTCATTGAGAAATTCATAAAATGACCTCCCTTTAGTACCACCCCGAGAAAATTTCCTTTAAAAAAAAGGATCTACATCAGATTAAGCTTTCTGGTAAAAAAGTGTTCACATAAAATAAATTAAATTAATAAAAAACGGACGAACATACTTCGCACGTGTGTGCAACCACTGTTGTAGGTGGGAAGTTGGAAAGGTAGGTTACAGACGAGAATTTAATGTATATCTGTAGGTAATGAAAAAACGATTCTGAACGAAGTTCAGTGGATAGTGTTGCATTGTCAACAATATATATGTCATATGGTAAAATGATTACAACAATGTACGTTTCCATGACAACAATGATTTTTCAAAGAACATTTCAAATAATAAAATCTTAATAATAATAAAAAATAAATAAAAACAACCGTTTTTTAAACTTTCAATCTTTTTTAACCTAAATAACTAACTTTTCCTCTATATATTGAATATTAGTGAGAATTTCAAAAAATAACCTCTCTAATAAGTTTACTCATTAGTACCACCCAGACAACATTTCTTTTCAGAAAGGGTGCTATAATTGATAATCAGAGTAAGCTTTCTGATAGAAAGTGTTCACAAAAAAAAAAAAATCATTTTAATACCAATACGTTACTCCCTCTGTTCAGAATATAATAAAATAATAATAATAATAATCGAATCAGCATCATAATAATCGTCAATATTCGTATTAATAATCATAAACAGGATTCATAATCAGTATTTTAATAAAATAACCAGCAACAATCATATTCACAGTTTTAATAAGGAAAATAAAAATAAGCACGAGAATAATAATAATGAGCACTTTAAAAAACATAATCAAAATCAGCATTTTAATAAGACGCATAATGGGTATTAATAATTATAATGATCACTTAAATAATAATAATATTAAGCATTTTAATAATAATAATCAAATCAACATCATAATGATCATCAATACTTTTAATAATATTATTCAACAATAATAATAATCAGCGTGCTTATAACAACCATCCATAATAATAATAATCATCAATTAATACAATATTAAACTTTTGATCATGATTGTTGCTGGTTATTTTATTAAAATACTGATTATGATATCTGTTGATGATTATTATTATTGATGGTTTATATTATTAATACGAATATTGACGATTATTATTATTATGTTATTATATTCTGAACAGAGGGAGTAATGTATTGGTATTACAATGATTTTTTTTTTTTTTTTTTATGTGAACACTTTCTATCAGAAAGCTTACTCTGATTATCAACTATAGATATAAATTATTCAAAAGCCCAAATCATATTGTTACTATATAATATGATATAAAGTAATGACTATAATATAACTAACATTTAATTGTTAATATAACATAATAATACATATTGCACATAGGTATATATTGAATTTAAAGTAAAATATGAGATTAAATTCAAATATTTTTCATAAATAGGTAAAATATAGGATCTGATTAGAATAAATGTTTTTATTTTAATCGGTCAAATCGTAATCAAAGACAACCGAATAAAAGAGCTTCACTGAGAATCATATTTTGTTTGAAATAATTAATCATTATATTTTAACCATGTAAATTATTGACTTCATGCCCATAATAATGGCCCACCCACTGTATGAAGTATGTGACCCTTCTTTTATAATGTACGAATACGAACTACTTTGATACGAACTTCACAAAATCTGAGTGACAAACATTTTTTTATTTTTATAATGGATAGATTTTCGATTGCAAGTAGGCAGTTGTATTCCTGCATTTAAGTTTTTACGTATGCATATCATATTTCGAATCAAAGAAAATTAATGGAGGAAACTAATTAACCTCGATTTGTAATGCAAAAAACACTTCGGATAGGATTTTATTTCATGTGCAGCGGCCAAGTCGCATTGCCACAACTAAAGATAGTACTATCTTTAATCGTGCACGTTACCGAGATCTTATCATACCAAATTCTTATCGTTTATCAGATAACTGCTTATCACCCTGATTCTACGTTTCTATGATAATATTATTATTATTTACCTACTTTCAATTAATAGGTATTCATAGTTTCGTCAAATACTATAAATGATTATTTTCGGGTATTTGGTTTTGTACAGACGACAGACCCGTGTGCTATAGTACATTTAAAATTATGTCCTGTCGGTGATTCAGTGATTTTTGTTGTTACACCTTACACTGGCCGTTCTCGTGTATTACCGACAGACTTCACAATGGGATCAGAACAGAGCTCGCAGTCCAATGCCTCAAACTCAGGTTCGAAAAATCCAAAATTGAAACGAGGAAAATCTGTGCCCGAAAGTTCATGGCCGCGAAACTCTCAGGACGGTCAACAGAGCAGAGCCGCCAGCGCTAATACGTCGCCTGGCCACAGTGTATGCAGTGACGTTGACTTGCCGTACATTTCGTATACCGTCAACAGACCGATCGGAGGTAGGTACCCATTATTGGCAGTACAACAGTAAGTTCCTGTTAGAGTATCTAGATTTAGAAAATTTCAATTAATACACTTGGCTAATACCCTTTTAGATTCACCAAAGAAACTCAGCATTATGACCAGAGGTCGCTCTATGCAGGTGGAATCGCAGCGATCCAAGAAAAAGACTCCAAAAACTACACCAAAACACAACATTGTAGTTGTCAGGCCAGCTGTACAAGAAAATACGGATATGGATGAAGACCTGTTTCGACTTAAGGTGATTTTCCAAAACTTGTTTAGAGTATTTCAATTATATTTATGTTTATTGTGTATATTTCAATTACAAAATACTAACTTAACACTAATTGATATTATTTTTTAAACCAAATGAATAAATTAGCTTTACGTTATCAATGTTTGAGAAGAAAATAAATTAACCAAAATAGTCATTATTAATAATAATTAAGCATACCGCACATTAAATACATAATATTAACTTAGTCTAATGCACATAATTAACTAAACAAAAGTATTGGTCTGTAGTTTATTTTACAACATTAAATAGAAAAATTGGTAACATTATTATGTAATATATTTAAAATCATAATGAACATTTTATAAAAAAAACTTAATATTTAACTGTTTATTTAAAAAATAATACAAATTCTTGTAATATAATCTTATCAATACAATTGCCTTTAATTTTAGTGTTATTTTATTTTATAACTATAGTTTCTAGTTTAGTACAATAATATATTTCTAATTATTAGCTTTATCCAATGGCTAATGACTAGGGTATTTATAAAATGATTCTTTAACACATCAATAAAAACAATTTTTAAAAAATACTGAATAAAGTTTTGAAGAAATTTTGTTATAATAAATTAATAAATAAATTGTATTGTATTGTATAAAACACATTTCAGCAAGTACCATCATTTTTGCCGATAATGCGAGGTACTGTATCCCTACCGGCAGCCAGAGATCGAGAAGCGTTAGAAAGAGTAGATGCAGATGCATTTTACAGACTGTGTCAACTATACCAGACATATATGAGCCGCTGTGCCAAAGTAGTAACCGCAGACCAAACATTAATCAATAAACAAATTTTGGAGGTAAGAATTGTTGTGTCTTTATTATCACTATTAAATTGTATTATTTACAAAAATAACTTGTTTTGATTTTTTTCAGATTGACGACAAAACCGTAAGAGTATTAAATTTATACATAACCTCATACAAACATTATGCCAAAATCAACGAGCAGTTTAAATGTATTAACGATATGAACAAACAACTAAACTCGTGTCATCTGTTGTTGAATAAGACGTTGGATTCCGTACAAATGTTAAATAACAAACTACCTCCGAATGAGCGGTTGGAACCATTTGTTTGGACCACGGGTTAAACAACTAATGGCGTCAATCATACTTATTTTAAATACTATACTTAACTTAGTCTTTAATCATAATTTATTTTATGATATATAGTTATATAATATGTTATTTATATAAGTGTTCAAATATTAACATTTGATCATTTTCTTTGGTCAGTATAGAACGTTATTTGCTTAAGTATCCATGGCAAATGAAACGACAATTTTGTGTACACGTCGGGATAGCCTGGTTTGGCACATCCCGAACCAAATGATGTGAGCCCAGCCAAAAACCATCGTCCATTTGGACCCGAACATTGCAGTGGTCCCCCAGAATCTCCCTGCAAAATATTTTGATCGATTACATCAGTTAACGACATAACTCTTCATAATTATTCGACTTACAACACAAGGACCGCCACCTTTCCCGTCCATTCGGCCAGCACAAAGGTGACCCTCGTTTATGGGTACGGCCGGTCCATACTTGTCTCTACAAACGGATGTGTTGTGCACTGGAACTTTGATTTGCCGCAGTTTACTCGACAATGGTCCATTAGGTTTGATTTTACCCCAGCCAGTGGTGACGCAAACTTTGGGAATAGGTGTGTCATTTGTTGTGGGCGGTAAACATAAACATCGTACGTTCGTGTTGGTGATGTTTGTTGGCCTGGATAGTTTCATTAATGCTGCCAATATGAAAAAAAAAAACATTTAAAACTAATAATATCAAACTCAGTTTTTATTTATTTTTTTTTTTTTAAATTCACTATTAACCTATGTCATTTTGGTAGTTATGAAACATGTCGTGGATAATTACTTCATCGATTGGGATACGCTCTTCAGTATGTTCTTCTACGTCTTTGTTCCAGTCGCCCAATACGGCAGTCCAAAGAGCCGCTAACGGCAAACTAAACTGTTCACTAAAAATCAAAATTTATACTACAAGTTTTAAAATAAATTGTTAAGATTAATCCAACTTACTTTTTGATACAATGTGCAGCCGTCAGCACCCAAGTAGGCTGTATAAGTACACCTGCGCACCAGTGGCCGACAAAACCGAATGCTGGATGAAGTAACTGTAACGATACCTAAATAGAAAATGTGCCCCATTTAAAATAATTTACTGTAGCATATTATCTAACTTGTTTTTGTTTTATTAATTTTTATTCATTAATTACCTACCAAAGAATTTTATAATTGTTTAATGATTTATTGTACATAAAGTTAAAAGTTTGTGAAATATTACAGTCCTATAATATTATTTTTATTAATTAATATCTTTTATTTTATTATGTTTTATTATATATATATTTATTAATACTTTGTGAATATTATGTGATCATGCCATATTACAGTATATTAAATATACCATTTGAATTTTTAAACTGTATCCATATTATATTAATGAATTAATTTTATAATAAAATTTAAAACTGAAATATTTTAGGTGATAATTGAATTTAAAAAAAACTAACTGACAAAAAAACTTACTTCTCCAGAAAATAGAAAATGAAAAATTCTAACCACAAACAATGCTCTGATAGTATACAACTATTTGTATTATTTTAAATTTTTTTCGAAAAACTCACTTGCCACGGCCAAGCACCTTTTTGGGTCTCTTTGCCATTTACTAGCCTGGACTTGCTGGATGAACCTTCACTGCCTCCGCCTCCTCTGCCAGACGACCTGGGCTGCCGAAAACCGATCACGCCGTTTTTGAGCCCACACTCTTTAAATATATTATATATAATGTAAAAATAATTTACTTATAATCCGTTGTTAAATAATTACATGTAAGATTATCCGAAATCCCGTCTCACAAGACGCTCGAAAAACAACGAAAACAAACGTGCTTTGGCCTTTAAAAATCAAGAAACACAATACAAATCGAAAAGAGAAAACCCCTCATCGGTCGGCTATACTATTGCAGTTCCTATACCTACTCAATCGTTTTTGAATTTTGCTCTATAAAATCAGACTACGGGCGTTCACGTGTCGTGATGGACAATAAAACGAGGGGAAGAAAAAAAAGAAAAACGCTGCCGCGAACACGATTGCGCGTGGTGAAAGTAAAATAATAAGAAAAAAACAATGTACACGCGATTTTGAGTACCTTCTACGTTTACGGGACCTGGGGCCGAAACGTTTATTATAATACAGGTACCTATCGTACAAATCGCATAATGACAACTACAAGTAGGTACCTAAGTACGACTGTATGCGTGTGTATACTCGGAGAACTATAGAAAAATTAAAAAAAAAAAAAAATAGTTCACACGATCTATACGGGTACCTATTTCCTTGTCAAGTCGTATACACACACGAACTTCGTGATCGGCTACCGTTATAGGAGTATAATCTCGAACGTATACCGGGTGATTTTTTTTTTTTTTTTTTAACACAAAACACAAGTCGTCTCGGTAAGAATAAATACCTGAATTTAAGACTCAAGATACTTAAATACAATTAGAAAATCCGTAAACATTACCATCATTTATATTATTTAGCTATATTATAAAGCGCTGTAGGTATGGGTACCTACCGAATGTTTGATTTACAAATATACCTAAATATGAATCCCGCGAATCGCGAACGAAGTCTCATAGTTGAACATTAAACGTTGAAACTGTTATTCGTTCCCATCGACCAGCTAAGTGGCCCGAACACTCTTGAATTCGATCAGTATCGATAACATCATCCGGGTCTGAAAAGTGCTAACAGAAAAAAAAAGAAATCACCCTGTATATAGACGTGCATTTTACGTGGAAAAACTATACGCGTATCGCAGTCGACGGTCGTGTTTCTGCATCTGTAGAACAAAATGCGAATTAAAATTAAAAGAAAAAAACATCGCGTGTGTACCCCGGGAGCTCGTCGGCGGCAATCGGGAGCTGTATATTCGATTACAAGTAGACTTTATCTTCCGCTACGTATTATAAGCTTCTCCACTTTCCTTTTTAATAATATTCACAATACCCATCATCCGCAATCGTTCGTTTCATTATTATATTGACTGATACGTAATCTACAAGAGGCGGTCTTCTTCTATAGGCGACTTCTATTATTCAAGCGAGATTGTTGTCGTTACCTACACGACGGCGAAATATGCGTCCAATTAACTTGGCTCTTTTTGTTTTCGAGATTTTCCGCAGGAAGTTTCTCCGTGCTCTCCAAAAGACGTTTTGTTTAGCTTATATTTTAAGCGTCCGTCTATAAAAATTAAGTAGTTACCAACCTATACGCGAGCTATGCACGATGAGTACCTAATATGTTTTAACGTAGAAAATCATATTGAATTACACATTTTTGTACGCGTACAGCTCGTTTTATTTATTTATTTTTTTTAAATTTAAATAACAAAATCGACGTTAAATGTTTTTTTAATTGTCATAATTTTTTCCTTGAGTACCACCATCGTAGCATAAAATATCTCAACAACGACTTTCGCATTTTATTAAGCAAATTTAATTGCGCCAACATCGCAACTTTACTGCCTAAATTCACCGTTTAGAAATCACCGGCCGAGCACGACTGGTGCCCATACAGCAGCTAATGCTCGTGAAAAATGATCCGTTGTCATTCATCAGTAAATACCGCGTATTGTCACGAAAACTTACAGAAAATGCTGTTCGAGAAATTTGTGCGGATGAAATTACTGCAGAAATGGAATATACTCGTATCCATTGGTAAGTTTCTAAACTTTCCAATTTTCTAAAAAATTGGGAAGTAAAGTTTTTTTCGTCGTAGATCGGTACCGGACAAAATATATTAGCATCTCTTTCTCACAAAAAAAAAAAAAAAAAAAAATTATAAATGCAAAAGGAACATAATAACTGTAAATCGTCTTTAACTGCAAGTAGATGCTACTAAATGAATTAAGTTTAGTCTTTTCCTCGGGAAACCAAGATAACCCGGGGGAAAAAGGCTGAAATGCATGTGTGAGCCCCCCAAATTAAGAAATTTATAATTAAGCTTCGGACTTTAAAATTGTAAATCACTGGGTACTACGCAGATTCGCGTCTGAAACCAGTGTATCGTGATCGTTTATTAATTTTTTTTTTTTTTTATGTAAAATACTGCTCCGGGAATTTCTAGAAAAATGTTTCGTATAAAGGACCGTCGCGCCGCCGGATGGATTATCCGAATCGTTTACATTTTTACAAGGTACATTATAAATATAGTAGATATACGGCGTGAAAGGTTTCGAATAAAGAGTTAATTAACCGAGCAAATAACGACAGATATTCGTAAAAAAAAAAAACACCGATTTGTAAAATAATAATAAACAAATTTGAAAAGTCAAAGTAATTCAGTTCATATTTGTACATAACGATAAATCATTACTAACGAAAAACGATTCTGATCAAAGTTCGGATAACCATATTGAATTGTCAGGTTTTTTACGACTTTCATACAAATATGAACTTCAAACACTCAACAAATAAATCATTTTAAATGACACTCGACTTGTTTTTTTACCATTACGTACAACTTATGATAAAATCATCGTCAGATTTTCAAGTATTTTCGAAAAGCCAAAAAATTTTATTCACATAAAACCAAGTACAACCTTGAACATTTTAAATGGCTATCAATGAATTTTACCACATAGATTATTCGGTGAGAATTTCAAGTATCCACGATAACTTTTAACAGAGTTGAAAATAACAAAATCCGTTATTTTTGCGTACATTTTTCCGCTTTTCACATTCATTAAGAAAACCTCAAGGGAAATGAAGAAAATAACTTCGTTAACGTATCAACTATACAAAATTTGCTACCAGAAATCACCTTTGGATCAATCTTGTTACCAAATGTATTCAATATATTTCGTAAGTAAATGAGCTTTATTAAGTTGACTTTAGCTAAGTAGATTGCACTGTTATAATGAGTTATTAACAAGCCATAACTAGGGTGCGGATTACCTACAATATAATTTGCGTTTTTTTTCTGAACGCCCTGAATTAATGATTTCCAAGCACAAAATTCGTTTCATACATTAAAGAGTTAAATTATGAAACTTTTATTTTGCAATTTAAGTGCATTTTTCCTTTGTTTTAGAAAATTTGATCATTTATTTTTTTTGATTTCCTACTAAAAGAAAATAAATTCGATACCAGTTGCAATAAAGAAAACGATAAGCTGTTTATCGAGTTGTAATATTATAATCGTATTGCACCATTTGCACTGTTGTGTTTAGTAAATTTATATACCTAATAAGAAAACGTTGTTTTCAACGTTTAAATAATTTTCAACATTTTTTAACGTTGTTTAATCAAATTTAAGTGCATTAAATTGTATTGTTTAAGGCATTTTTCTTGTTTTATAGAACATTGAAATCCGCACCCTAGTCATAACAATAAAGATTTGATGATCAAATCTTCTTATTACAAATTCCTATGGAACCATATTATTTTTGAAACAATTATAATTGTATACATTGTAATATTATAACGGTAACGCTAACAAAAGTATTTTATATTCCGTTATACAAATACGATGAAAAAGTATTTTTAAAGTATTTTAAATATAGAAAAATATTCCACTACTTAACAACTATCCTGAAGTTAAGCGATCGGAGCGATATTTCCAGTAAAAAATGTGCGTTATTAGCAGACACGAAAAAGTAAAACACGTCTTAATTATTAACATGATAATATTAATAACGTAATGGTAAAACCGAGAACGCTCAGCACCAAGAATAAAAACCAGACGCACTCACCTTCGGCCGTCGACGGGCTGACCGGGAACACCGCAGCGGCCAGCGACAGACACAGTACCGCGTGCAACATGGTCCACGTGCGCGCACACACTGTCGACTGAAAAACGAAATGAAGAAGACGAAGCAGTAGGAAAGAATGAAAAAAAAAAACGCTCTCTCTTTCGGTCAAAAATATCGTCTCCTTTCGCCTTCTTCCGTCGCCGGATTTGCCTCCTCTGCAAGCACCGACCGCCGACGCGGAGGACGATTTGCGGATATTTTCCCGATATCAACTGTGTACTTATCTACCTGCAGTCCTTTCCTACTAGTATTAAAAACGGGAAAGTTTGTTTTGATCAGTGTTTGATACCCCAAAACTACTGCACGGATTGAGCCGATACTTTGCTTAGATGCAGTTCTAAACCGGGCATAACACACAGACAACTTCCCACCATCCCGAATTTAACTATAAAATGCGGGAATACACACGGTTATCGGTACTTTTTAGAGCTTGCTGTTTCACGTGTACACGATTTCACGTATTTCAGTGTAAATAAGTATACCGAATTCGAATTCCAAACATATAATAATAGTAGATAATAATAATCAGTTAATCAGCTGGACATTGGCAGTACGTAAATAGCCGATCATTCCCTATTTATATTTGCTTTGTGATACCCCAACCAATATTAGATACCTACTAATTACTATTGTAACGATCGTTTAATATCTGCGAATACGCGAATCACATTGAAACAGTTTTGCTTACCTATGGGTTATCTTGGTGATACGGACGGAACAAAGTTAAAACAAACCAAAAAACAAAATTAATATTAAAACTAATATAATTTCTTTTATCCCGAGCAACAGGTGGTAACGAAAAAAAAAAACAGTGTTTTGGGCGAAACGTTTTACAATAATAATAATATTTCTCCGGATATATCCGAGAAATTAAGAAAAACCGAACGGAGTGACGTCGATTAGAGGGCCTGTACGCGTTTTAAATTGGCTCAATGCAACTGCGAGTGTCGTAAATTATAAAAAATATGTATAGTTACGCAAATGCTCCTAACCCGTCTTCCCCTTAACCAGGCACGGGGCAGGTCGTTTCGGCGTGAGACTTCAACGAATGAATATACTTACTTGAACCAAATATAACGGCCAAAACGTGATATTCATTTTTCCATCTTGGTGGACATAATTATTATTGTTATCATGTCGTGTTTTGTCCGCGCCCGCCGGCCACACTCCATCACATAATATGTTATCGAATCTGCTGCTGCTGCTATTGTTGCGCACGAAGTTGCGTAAAATGAACCGTACAGTAGAATATTGTCAATTTTTTTCTAAAACGACAAAAATACGTTTCATTAAATCATCGCGAGCCCAACACACGTATAAATAATGCATTGTTACAAAACAACCCGATACTATTATAACAGGTATGCCCGCATATTGCAGATTACCCGGAGAATCCGGTATACCTATCGGCGAGTGTCAGTTGCGCGACGTTTCTATACAACACGCATTTTGATGATTGAACAGCTACGATCCGATCGATAATAATTAATTTTTTTTTCTCTCGATACGTCATTATTATCATACGAATAAAATACTGATATATCACACGTCGTCGCAGTTAGGAAACGACCGCCTCAAAAATTAGTTCCTGCCGCCACGTACGGCGTAGACAACCGTACATATTATAATATTAGGTATTATATCGAGATTCCACACGATTTAATTTAGAAAAAAATAAAGGAAAGTAAAAAAAAAAAAAAAATCATCACAATAATATGGGTATGCCACGTTATTAATTTTTGGAAAGTAATTATTACTATAATACCGCATACAAGCGTTTACAACATCTGATGTGTAAAACAATATGTCATTCGCGGGAGCCCAAAAATAAAAAAAAAATGCCGAAAATTCGACCAAGAAATTGAAATTTTATAATCCGATTTTGTGACGTTTTCTGACTCATGTCTTCCCGGCTATGTACACAATTTCAGACGCGCAGTCATACTATTCAAAAACGATATAATTAAACACGCACTAATAATGCTGTACACCTAAACCTAGCCGTCCAGATCTCTGCGTGCTGTAGCTTCTTATTCTACTCGTCTACGGTACAGTCAAATCGTCCAATTGGTTTGGTGCAGATCGCCACGTGTCTCCCTTTCGCCACTTGCAATTCCTTTGAGTTTTTGTAACTATATCATTATCCGTGTGTATCATAATATTATTTGTTTCGCGTCAATCTGTTTATTCCGATATGACCTTCTATGCGTTCCTTGTATGGACGTTATTCGTCAGACTATCGTCAACTTTTCGTCATAGCTTTGCTTGTTCAAAACCCGCGTATCGTCATTATCAGTTATCTGTTCAACTATAGATTTAATAGAATGATTTCATCTCGAACGCATCAACTATATCGAAATTAAAACCCGCAGAAACCTTACAGGCTCTCCTGTTATAATTTCGGTCGAAGCAAGTCTTCTGGTCGAACCGTCTAGACAGACAGAATATAATCGGCTTCGGGCCTCGTTAGGTTGCAGATTTGCACGCATCGTATAAACAGTTTACGCCTGAAAACACTATTATTTGATCGAATTGACGATGGAACTACGAAAGCGTTTTTCCTTGTCGAACGACTGAGTGCCCGAAACACTGAGCATGCCTACGATATTCACGTACGTTTGGTGTCAATAGCGAGCTGAACATTTTTCATACTTGAAACAAAACAAAAGAATTAGGAACCACCCGCTCAAAAAATTGATTTTTATGTGTCCTAAAAATTATTACAGCAAAAATCTCATTTATAGATATATTGAATTCATAGTATAGGCTATATCATAATCGTAACTAAATATATTATTAATATAATACACTAAACTAAAGGTATCTCTGATCTCTGAACTAGTCAATCTTAATCAACATTCAACATATTTGGTCACCCATCCACTCACCTGTTTTAGTCATGAGGCAATTGTCTCCAAAAATCCAACTTCAGCAGGCCACTGTTTGGTCTAAGTACACAGTAATTTTACTACGACGAAAACGGGGTCAATATGAAAAATAACGCCTGGGCAAACATATGGACTCTTATAAATTTTGTTTTTTTTTTCTAAATTATAGATGTATAAGCAATGTTATCGTATACCATGAGTCGAGAAAAAAATCTAGTGGATAATAATATAAAAATGTCAATAATAATTATTGTGCGAGTGATTTTTTATTCAATAACTCGCACTTTGTCACCGCGATTCATATTTACATTTATAATATTGTTTCTTTGATATACTCGGAATCGTAAAAGTTTTTATAAAATCGCATTATTTTAGATTCCTGTAGTGAACCGGATTAGTTTTACCAACGCATGATTTTCTTTCAGAACATTTTTTTTCGGTTGGTAAAAAATTCTTCGATTTTTTTCACGTCATCTCTTGAGAGACGCTAACCCTACTTTTTTTTCGAAACACGGATTACAATATGCGCAATAAATGTCAGTACAATCAATATGTCATTTCGGCCGAGGAAATAAAACACGACCCACGCTCATTGCGTAATAAATAATATAATGCTGCCGACTTTTCTGAACTCCGATCAGAAGTGTTTCTTTTCGGCATACTAACCAAATACGATTGCCCACCAACTTCCGAACCTCCCGCCTATAAAACAATAATTCCGAATGATAATATTCCGTCAGACGTTTTAATCTCTGTGTTTTCGATTTTTGGACATTATTCCCTATAGATTCAGTTCCGGTAGAGCGACACAATTAATATCCGATGACGATACGCCACTGGCACACAATAATATTGTGACGCATTGCAGTAGGTATAATAATATTTCCATAGAGGTGTATAAAATAACAGCTAGGCGCGCTAGTTGCACCAATGACGGGAAAACGATATTATAATATAATCGCTCGTTTTTTAGATTATATAATTATACATCATAAATTTAAAAAAATCGTTCGAACGCGAATCCGATATTTTTTGGTACGCGTATTTCAAAATTAAAACTCTCTCTGGACAAACGGCGTTTTCGAAATCGGATTGTATTTCGGACGTACCTATTCGCAAAACCGCATTATTTTACTTATATAGATATCGCGTCCGTCGGAATTGCGTAATTAATAAAAAATAATTTAAAAAAAAAAAAAATGTACAATATTATTCACCGATTTAGCGGTTATTTCCTCGCCATTATTTTTCTCTCGAATTGGCGTCTCTTTGGTCGCAAAATTTTACGCACATATAGAAAGTTTAACGAATCATTATATTTACATCGCTCGATCTAAACCTACGGCGGCGGTGGGCTTATCTCTACAAATTATTTTTTTAATTTTTTTATAATAATATCATTAAAAAATTATTGCAAACGACACGTAGGTATATAGTAATACCGGCACTACGATTAACATCAGGAAAAGTCGGGAGGTTTATTTAAACGTTCGCTTCGTATTCTAAAAGTAAAAAAAAAAAAAAAACCTTAATTTCGTATTATTGTCAAACCTTATCTAAAAATGCTTATCTCGTCAAATAATTATTACCAATATACCTACCTATATTATACTGTTGTTCATTTTTTTTTTTTTTCTATAGCTTTCACTCGTCACGCGTTTTAATATTATTATGTAGGCAATAGGTTTTGTGATTTTGTGCAGTTTTGACATTTCGCATGACGGGCCTTTAGAATAATATTATAACATCAATCAAAAACCTAAATTATACAACAGCCAGTTGTCGTGTTGATAAATATCGTGTTCTGAGGAACAGTATAAGATTATATTATATTATAATATTATTATCGTTTGTCGTTTGTCGTTATTGTCGCGTAAAAGAAAAAAGGAAATCCGAACGAGTCGGCTGCAGATTCTCAATAGAGTAGGAAACTAACGGATAACGATTAATGCATAGAAACCCGGAGGAAATGAAACGAAAAAACTAATGTTGTTTTCGTGCAGATCCATTAATATTTAACAATAATGTTTATTTCCGCGGTTCGATTATTCACATTTTCGCACGAGAATCGATTTTTTTTGGTTTGGGAGAAGTTTGGGAGGTAGAGGGGAAATTTAATGTATATCTGTATGCGAAAATTAACCGTTGCTAATGAAAAACGATTCTGAGCGGAGTTGAGTTATACATGTTTTAAAAGGCTTTAATATTTACGATTTGAAAATAATATATTTCGTATATTTTCTCGATTTTTCCCCAATTTATTACAAAAACTTCTTGGAAAATCAAAAAATGACCTCCCTACTATACCGTCCCAGTCAGATTTCTCTTCAGATATAAATGAAATAATTGAAAACCGAAGCAAAATTACCAGTAGAAAAGTTGTTCACAGATAAAAAAAAAAAAATTAATCATTGTAAAACCAATGCATTTCTCGCTCCGCTTAGTATCTACAAAATGTAAAATATTAGAGAAGCTTTTTAAAAGTACATAATGTCGACCGTGTTTTAAATTGCACGAATCGAACTTATTCGGAAATAATTCTTTCACGAAACGCACAACTTTGTTTAGATATACCTGTTTGTTTTCTATCGTATCTCATAATATAGTGCAAATATAGCAATGCATCTGTTAAGTCGAGGTTCCATTTTATGTTATACGTTTGCGTGTACCTATACGAGAAATCCGGCACTGTGCGGTCGGTCGATGGTCGCGGTGAGATTGATCGTGTTTAACCGGTCGATCCAACAAACTGCGGGCTACCGCGTCACGCAAAATTCGCAATTCAGTTAGACTTGGCACGCGTGTCACCGTATATCCGCTTGGCACATAGGAGTAAACAACGAGACAGATAGGTATAATATTAGACACGATTTTAGCGTCGGTGTCCGTTACACAGAAACCTGCTAAAACAACACGTGGTCATACTATTCAAAAACGATATAATTAAACACGCACTAATAATGCTATACACCTAAACGTAGCCGTTCAGATCTCTGCGTGCTGTAGCTTCTTATTCTACTCGTCTGCGGTACAGTCCAATCGTCCAGTTGGTTTGGTGCAGATCGCCACGTGTCTCCCTTTCGCCACTTGCAATTCCTTTGAGTTTTTGTAACTATATCATTATCCGTGTGTATCATAATATTATTTGTTTCGCGTCAATCTGTTTATTCCGATATGACCTTCTATGCGTTCCTTGTATGGACGTTATTCGTCAGACTATCGTCAACTTTTCGTCATAGCTATGCTTGTTCAAAACCCGCGTATCGTCATTTGCAGTTATCTGTTCAACTATAGATTTAATAGAATGATTTCATCTCGAACGCATCAACTATATCGGAGTAACCCGCATAAACTTCGGCCTCCCTGATGTGATTTCGATCGGCATGAGTCTTCTGGTCTAAAGCGTCTTGACGGGTAGAATCTGATATCCGATTTTCCCATGCAGATTTGGACAGAAGTTCTTAAGTTAAAAATTTCAAATATCTTACATCGTATTTAGGTATACACACAAAGAACACTTAATTTTATTGAATTTTCGATGGTAGTTATTTTCCTTGTTATACTGAATGCCCGAAAAACTGAGTGCAGATGCTATTCACGTACGTGTCGTTTGTACGGGAATCTCCTAAAATAATATGTACGTAGTTAAAATATTCAAAAACGATATTATTATAAAAATATAAACCAAGTTCCCCCGCAAGGCTTTATACATATAAGTATTGAATGAAAATGTACAATAATTGATCTCATATTCCTTAGATCTATCTTATATGTTCGTACTTCATTAGTTACCCATGGATTCTAAATGTGTGACGTGTTTTTTTCTTGTCTATGAACAAAAATCAAAAATATTGCTTCATTAACTTTTGGATGAATTTTAGTAGTAGAAAAATTGGTCTAAATGGTGCATTATGGTGGTCATTTTTTTTATTTTCGTGTGATTTCCTTATAGATATAATTGGGAAAATCCATGAAAAACCGTAAGAAAAATGGGAAAATGTATGCAATAACAACTTAAGTTAGTTTCAGTTTAATTTCTTTTGAATTTATTTAGTCGTAAGTAGAGAACGGATTTATATGCAAATCAAAATCCACAAAAAAACTGTTAAAATCGCCAAATACGTTTTTAAAAAAAATCACATACAAATATTTAAAAAACCAGAAATAGTAGAGAGGTTTTAAAGTCTCTTCTCTAATGTTTCTAATTGTATTAAATAAAATTGTCTAACGCTAAAAAATGATCGACACAAAATATTTTTTTTATAATAAGTATAATTTTATTTGAAAAAAATTACTTGTGTTAATCAGTTTTGTAGTATTAGAAAATTATAAGTTAAAGCCACTAGAGAGGGAGACTTTTATACTCCTCTACAGTTTTTGGTTTTTAAAATATTTTTTAAGTGATTTTTTTTAGGGATTTTTTGACGTTTATAAGCCCTATTTTTGTGAACTTAAGTGTATATAAATCTATTCCTTAGTTATGAGTAGTTTAATCACTGAATTTTCACCAAATATTTATATTAGCCCCTTTTCATGATATTTTTAAAAGGTTATGGTGATTTTTGAGTTATTTATATCCATCTGAAATTTATTTATGGTTTTTTATTTAGTGTTATGGGGTTGTCCTCATAACATTTTTTTGTCTACTCAAAAATGCTCGAAAGTTTGATAAAATAAGGTTCAACCATAAGCATAGTAGTTAGCGGTAAAAATAATTTTTCATTATGCATGATTTCTCGTTGAAGTATACAGATATAAATTACCCTACAATGTATCCTATTTCTTAACTTCTCACGTCACACCTGTAAGAGTGGCACGCCCAACAGTAATAGTTCCAGTAAAGGCTATTTTTATTATTGGTATTATCGATAGTTGACTGTTGTAGTAAAATATGCACGACCGGATCAAGTCCACACACCGCGTCTCACGCGATGTCAGACAATAATCGGACGGCGACGACCTAAAATAACAATGATGATCACAACAAATGAAATCACGTTCCCGAAACACCATTTAGCAACACGCGACGACTGTTTCTAATATAATTACACATACCCTTTGTAGAAAAACAAAAAAAGAAAGTCCGGATAAATTATCGTTATCACTTATCACTTTTGTCATTAATACATTGCGAGTATGTATCTAATACACTGGCCATACTCTTGCTCCTCGATGCACAGAATATAAATAAATATTACAACTATGATGGATAATAAACGTCAATTCCATATTGAGTAATTTTAGCGATGTAAATGCAAAAATTCGGATGGGCATTTTTTTTATTTACAGTACCTAATATTATTTTTTAATTTAAAACTAAAAGTTATGTTTGACTTTTGTATAATGTAAACAATATTTTAATGTAGGCGTTTATTTAGGTGCAAATAAGAGGCTTCTATATATTTACAACGGATAATATTAAGTAGCAGATACATTTCTAGTGGCGTGCAGAACCTGCAATATCTGTCGATGGATTGCGGACGACTTGTAGCTTAATTTTGATTAAACACAAATTATTGTAAAACGCCAGAATAATTCCTGTAACCTAACTAAAACACAAATACGATAAAAAAAAATCCGTTTAAAAGGAAACGGTCGATGTATAATTAGAAAACACGCAATCTTTGTAATAATATTACTATTTATTATTATTATTATTTGTGTATTATATCGACGGGCGCCACGTGGGGACAACATAATATAATGACAATGAAATAAATAATTGGCATTATGCCGCCTTATTTGTACGTTGTTATACAGGATGTCACACCGTTTGTGTCCTGCAACAATTGGGTAAACTTTTTTTGGAATATGTAATATTCCATGTACCTGTATAATATGCTATGTACATATTAAAATGATCTTTAAAATTCAACTTTATTTTTTTTTTTGATATTTTAAACCTATCGTATTTTAAATACGTTTAACAATTGTAAACGTTTAAAATTATTGTAGAGCATATTTTCGATGATTTGTTCTACGTGGTGTTTAAAAGCCATGCACACATTTAAGAACAATTATTAACTTTTAAAGATAGCTCTTAAAAGTGTATAAAAGTATGCCTTTGAATTCATATTTCGTACATATTTATAGTAATTTAGTTTTTCATTAAAACTACAAATTGTAGACTATAGTATTGAATTTATGAAAAAATATGTACATATTTTTTTTAAATTTCGAATTTAAGTAAACCAAACGATTTTGGAAAATAAAACACTATAATAAATGTTAAAGAACCCTTAAAATAAACAAAAAAAAAAAATTTTTAAATATTCGGATAAAAAAAAAATTATACCTATTTACCGTGATTAATACAATGCTGGTAGACACCCTGTATATTATATACTTAGTATATAGAACGATCTCAACGGTATTCAAATATTTAACACGATCCATAAAATGTAGGACGCTATAGCGTAGTGTGTACGAATTTCCCGTAGTTTCTAATTGGTATATGTAATATTTTTATCGTATACAAATACATTATAATTGTAGAAAAATCGCCGTCCACGTTATTATTATTATTATTATTATTATTAGAGAGTAGACCGAGATAACGTTAAAATCATTTATCGTACGAAGATAATATATTATTATATCTAGTCAAATAAGCCGGACCGTATAATATAACGGTTATAAAGTTAGAAAAAAGTTGTTAAAATAACGAGAGACTGTAATTTTCAAATTACTTTTTTACCCATTGTAGTTATAATACTATTGTATTTCGTTTCATTTTCAGTTAATTTAGGTAAAAAGATTTTTGTGTAAAATTTACTCGAGTTATTTTTTATCGATTTAATTTAAAATTTCGGGAGCCTACGCATATTTTAAAAAACAAACATCGTGTTCAAAATTTGGATGCATTTGAGTTTATACTATTTACGCTGTAAAATGTATAATAATATTGTCAACAAAATGCAACTATACTAATCTAATTAATTACGTTAACTGAGCTAAGTTACGTTTACGAGTACCTGGACCCATAAATCCGATTACTAAAATCGAAAAACTCGTTTAGCTTTGAATATTGTAAAAATAACATTATGATAATAAGTCAAACCATTTTACACAGAAATGGCGCAGAAATACAAGGAAATAATATTAAAAATTATAAAAAAAAAAAAAAAATAATAATAATAATAATAAGTAAACAATGCTAATTCGTATAAAATACGCCATATACCTAAAGAGCCTATGTAACAATAAGAGAGTGATCAACTGATATAGCAACCATTTTTCGTCTTCAATTTTCCCACCGTTTTAATGTTCGAAATTGAATTTTTATAAAACGATTACATTTTGCTTTGTACAAAATTATATATTTTATTATTTATATATATATAATCATTCAATAAAAACTAAATTTCAAATACAAAAACGGTGGGAAAAGTTTGGACAAAAAATGGCTGATGGTCACTTTCTGCTTATTATCTAGACTCTCTAGATATTACACCTATAGTGAGTTATAAATCGGTATATTATGTAACGCGAATTTGACGACTTTTTTTTTTTTTTTTTACCAATTTAATATAAAACTTTCAGTATCACAGAAATAAGCCCTTAATCGTGTAGCGTTACAACAGTTTTACAGGTACAAGTGCAAAATACAATACGTTTTACGACTCGATTCATTGTACATTCAATGATACAGTAATAATAATCTAATCTCGACTTAACGATAAATCGACGCATTAAATTGACGACTGCGTCAGTCACGAAGAGAGCGGACGTACAATATATTATAGTGTACACATAATAATATAATAGATAATACTCCTACTCGTCCATAATAATATTATGATCGTGACCACAATAACGTTTCATTATATTCCTTTTTTTTCACACCGTCGTCGAAAGGCGGAAGTTTAATCATGACCAATACTACCAGGTTTTACCAGATTATCGAACTCTGCACAAAATAATGGGTTGTTTGCAGTTATTTATCATTGCTTTCAGTTTTAAACTACTAACAACTGTAACCCAATCATCCTATATCCTATATACACCTTCCAAACATTCCCACCCAAAACAGTGGCCTACCCACTGTACGAACTACGAAGTATGACCGGCTGTGTATAATTTATTATATAATTATTTAACCGATAAAAGCGTATTTAAATATTATGTTATGTTATTCTCAATTATTTACCATATATCTCGTTTAAAAAAATGAAATGTGTAGACATATAAATGTTTGAAATTCATAACCCATTCGTTTGGCCGAGTAGATGCGGACGTGGACGTCTTTTTGTTTAGATGAATTTTCCAACGAATTTAACGAACGATCTTAAATGGTTGCAAAACTCATAGTCTCATTAATCATTATGTTACTGTAGAAATTGAAGACTAAGCGATATTCGTGCGGTGCCGTTTTTTTTTAAGCATATTACTCGTAGTATAAGAATGACGAAACATAATATTGTATATCATCTCAAAACAATAACTTCACCACAACCGACTCGAGTGATTTAAATGTTATACTTTTTGCTATTATTACAACATAATTGTACATTTGTTGTGATAATAATTACTATCGTGTGCGATTGTTAAACGTATAGGTACTTATTATTATTTTTACTGGTTCTTCAAAAGTACTTATTTATTTTAATATCTCGGCGTGATGTTAATATCTTGTTAAATAACAAAATATTATCATGTAAACCACTCGGACTTGAGGATTCTCATCGATACGGACACTATATAATAGACAAGCATAATATTTCGTTACAAGGCAGCTTTTGAGGGCCCACTCGAAATTTACGGAAAATCCAATATCTCGTTGGAAAATTGAACAATGATTTTGTAAAAAGTACCGTTTGCCGACATTAATCCAGCACTAAATTTTGGAACTAAAAAGAAATATGATTCTGGTAGTGCGTCCACCATGCAGAGTTACGAAAAAGCCTGTCTCGTTGGAAAATAAAGCACTCATTTTGAAAATGGTACTGTTGGCCGTCAGCGTTGATTCAGCCCCTCGATATTGATACTGGAAAAAAATTAGTGCTCAGTCCACTTATTTCACGAACCTAGTTGAAGGGACGATAAATCGTCTATACCGTGCACTTTATCATTTTAAAACAAGTTTTGTAAAGCATTGAAAAAATGTTTTAAGCTAAATTTAATCTTCCTGCAACAATATTGATAGTCATATAAAACAATATTATATTATAATTTAGTGTCTTGAATCTCCGGGTTGTATTTTTCGGTCCTAGTTCTATAATCAGGTTGATCACCCTTTGTTTCGGTGTACTCGGAATTCATGAACTTTCGTACGCAAAACGTCAATAGTTTTGGATCGACTTGCTCGTCAGTCGGGAACAAAAAACTGACCGCTAGTCCGACGACTATTCCGACGACTGTTCCGATCGTGGTATAGTGCAAATACGAAACCGTATAGATTTTCCACGTGTTTGAACTCACGTACACGTCGTCGTTCAAACGGTACAACCTATAAAAATAAAGATGTTTAAAAAGAGTTAAATATTTAACAAAATTGTTTGTCTTACCCAGAGAAATAATCAGTGTGGTTCTTGAAAGTAATGTTTGGCGGACATCCGGCGATTGAATAATTTTTTTCAACAAACTTCAATTCCTCGTTAATCATGGCTACTTGAGCTCCGGTAACAATCCACGCCGTCACCACTAAACTAGTGATCATTCCGCACATTGCTCCCTACAATACACACGGATTTGAATAAATTAGTAATACGTTTAAATCACGCATACGAAAACTATTTAGATTCAATCGAAAAAATATTTTGAACTCACTTTCGAATTGGACCAGGGGAAGCAAATCCCTAGGCTAAAAACACTCACTATTGCTCCGTTCGTGACTCCGGACATACTTTTGGACAACTAGTAAAATATTACAGGAGCAACAATCGAGAATCAAAAATCCTGATCTTATAGTATACTGTAAGTCGCGTTATTATATACAGTGAGTGTAAAAAGTATTCGTACACCCTACTTTTTTAAATAAATGTATATTTTTCTTCATGATATTCTATTTTTATCGATAAATTAATACATGCATACTATTCATTGACGATTTTTAATTATGTTAAAAAAAAAAAAAAAAAACCATTACAAATGTTATATTAATAATAATATTCAATAACAAACAAAACAATACATATAAAATAGGAACAATAAATATTCGTACACTTCTATTTTAGTTACGGAATCACCTGTTTACTCACAATAATGTTATTAGAAAACGATAAGATTTACAAAATGTCACATTACAAGTTTGTCCCCGAACACGTTACAAGATTATACCAATTCAGTTAGCTTCGAAATATTATTGGAATATCATCTATCACAAAATGAGTCGAAAAAAATGCGAGACAAATAAAATTGAACGTGAACTAATTCTGCGGTTGCATAATCAATGCCAATCATTACGTCAAATATTAAAGATTGTCAACAGAGCTCATAGTACTGTGAAAGACGTGATAGATCGATACAGTGAGCGGGAAAGTCACGAAAATAAGCAACGATCTGATCGTCCAAAAAAACTTTCTGACCATGATAAACATATAGTTTAACGAAAAGTCAAATTGAATCAAAAAATAAGCGCTCCTAAAATAACACAAGATCTTGCGAATTTTTTTGGAGTACGTGTTTGTATAAGAACAATTAGAAATTGCTTAACAAATAGTGATTACTATGGACGAGTAGCTCGTCGAAAATATTTGTAAATAAAAAAATAGACAAAAGAGATTTGCTTTTGCAAGAGATAACTTTCATCAATCTGATAACTTTTGTAACAAAGTTATATTTACAGACGAAAGTAAATTTAATATTTTTAGCTCTGATGGAAGACGTTTTGTTTNGAGTGCTCAGGGTGTTGGAAATTTGCACTTTATTGATAGAATTATGAACCAATATATTTATTTAAATATTTTGAAGACAAATCTTGCAGCTAGTGCCGAAAAAATGGGCATCAAAGATGATTTCATATTTACACAGGACAATGATCCCAAGCATACTGCAAAAAAAGTTAAGGCTTGGTTGTCGAACAATGTAACTGAATATCTTGTGACGCCACCACAGTCTCCAGACATTAATCCTATTTAGAATTTGTGGGATTATTTAGACAGAAAAATTCGAGATCACAATATTTCAAATAAGGAAACTCTAAAAAAGGTCTAGAAGAGGAATGGAATAAAATCACAGCAGGAACAACACGTCATCTGGTATATTCAATGTCTAAGAGGTTGGAGGTTATAATAAGGTCCAAAGGCTACCCTACAAAGTACTAAATAGGGCTATACAATAATTTAAAGGCATTTTTTTTGATACAACTCTTTATTATTATTATTATTTTTTACTATTATATATTTATTGTTTTGTTTGTTATTGAATATTATTAATATAACTGTTGTCATGGTTTTTTTTTTAAATTTAATTAAAAATCGTAAAAGAATAATATGCATGTATTAATTTATCGAGAAAAATAAAATATCATGAAGAAAAACGAATATTTATTTAAAAATGTAGAGTGTACGAATACTTTTTACACTCACTGTAGGTAAAATAAAATACCGACTTGAAGGATTCCGGGCAATTTCTCTACGACCATGACTAAAACCAAACACACACTGCCGACGATCACAGCGATACATTTCATGATAACGCTAGCCGTTGATTCGGAAACGTTAACGTTTATCGTTTTGACAACGAAATCCTCGTAAATCGTCCCGGAAACTGTGTTGAGTTGCGCAGACATCGTACTGAACAAATCGAGTATTAGATTATTATAATAAACATGTTATGTGATATTGAAAAAAAAAAAGTAAAATACGTCTACCTCAGAGCGGCGCTAAAGATACCGGATATAAATAACCCTGTAAGTCCCGGAAATTTCCCAACTATTTCTACTACGAAATACGGCAATATGTTTTTAGAACTGTCGATGTACTGCAATCACATAAAATTCGACACCAAAATAACATTGAAATCTATGAAATATTGTAAAAACATAAAACAAACACACACTGACATTAGCCAAAATGGGATCGCAGTCTTTGTACTTGGTGTACATTTACATTCCGAGGGCGCCGGTCAACGCACAGACCACGGCCATTCCGAGAATAAAGTAAACTAACGATTTCCCCGCTTTTTCGTAAGTTGGCAATGCCACGAACCGTTGAACGGAGCCCGGGTGAACGCCTACGCTAGCGATCAAATGCACCGCAGTTCCTATGCTGATCGTCCAAAACGAATGCCTTAAAAATGGATCGGGGTCCATCCTAAAAATGAATGCATTCGGTCGTTAAAAAATTGTCTGAACGAAGTAGGTGTGCCTGCCGCATTGTACACACCCGTAATAATCAAAAATCAGACTTGAAAAATTCTATTCTGTCTCCGTCTTGGTTCGCTCGTATCACGGGACCGAATCCTCCGACTTCTACGAGCGCCATGCCGATTATAACGATTACCGATACGGCAGTAAACACACTCTGAATTGCGTCCGTCCATACGACTGCTTTCAGTCCTCCCTGTGGAAAAAAAAAAACAAATCACCGCAGGATCAAAACCGGTTCGTCACCATTACAAACACCGATACGCGATATAATATTATATACTTACGACGGTGGTGTAGAATATACATATCGCGCATATTATCGGCGTGATTAGATGCACATTAATTCCTGCGACTGTAACATTATAAAAAAAAAAATAAATAAAATGGTATATGTTTCAATGTTTATACGGTACTAATGTCGTTGAGACGAGACCGTTTATGCGTACCTTGGTTTAACACCAATGCCGGCATGTAAATCACGATCGGGATGTACAGAATCATGGAAACGGCGTAAATTAACGACGCTAATCCTCGAATATTGGTATCGAACCTGTGTTCCAAATACTGCGATCGGAATTGAAAATAAATCAATTCATCGACGGAAACATTTTGGTTTTTGTTTTTATCGTCTGAATTATACATACTTCGTAGACTGATGTTAATTGAAGTTCGTAGAACACGGGCAAATATATATAGAATATTATGGTAACCAATACAATGTCTACCGCTCCGCCCAACAAGAATGACGTCCCGTAACAGTAGACCTCGGTCGGAACTCCGATTATCATAATGCCGGAAATATGACTATACGCGCGAAATAAATATTAATACTATTAACACGTACCTAAATTAAAGTTCGGTCCCGTCCTATTCGTAAGAGTGGTCAGCTTTTAAAACGTAGTATAAAAATATAAAGTTTTCATTGTAGCGACTGAAATAATATATAAACTCAATCTTTTGATATAAACTATTTGATGAAAAAATAATTTCATTCACCAAACTTCAATTGAATCCACTTGAATAAGTAAAAATAGTGATGGGATCTTTGGATCGAAAGCGTTGTATTTGGGCAAGTGATTCATTTAACGTAAAACACTCATTATTTCGCAAAGTACATGTATTAATTTTTTTTTTTTGTTTTAATAATTTATGAAACAAGCAGCTCTACAATGTTGCATTACCATTATATTTTGTCAATCTTATAGTTTGACTATATATCGACTTTTAGTTTTCAAATGACAACCTACATTAAAAATGGACGGAGTATTAGTTTAAATAGATGTTAGTGTAGACTTTTGATATCCATCAACTCATTGAAGAGATGTTCCACTTTTAAGTTAAGGTAAGGGGAGAAAAGTGGAGCACTATTCAAACGTCGCGCGCCGTGTAAAACGCGCCACATCAACTTCATGACTCTTCCTCTATCTAAACTAAAATAGTAGAATTAACAATTTCAAGACCAAAATCAAAAGTAGCTATAATCGTTTCATCCCTAAAAAATAAAGGTGATAATAAATAATATTAGAGTAACATTCTAGAGCTACTTTTTTTTTTTAAAAAAAATTCATCACTTCGTGGAATAATCGGAACCGGACGTTTCGGTGTAAATCCCATTTTAAAATATAAAACATAAAAACTCAATATAAAATCTAATACGAATATATATAATACTAGCTGTCCCGCCCGGCGTTGCCCAAGCCAAACATATGTGTAATAAAAAAGTTTTCCTCTGGATTTTCTGTTTTAATTCACATCAAAACACTGCAGTTAACCGTTATTGCCCTTAAATATTTAAAAAATACCTTTTCTTTAATTTTAATTTCAAACTTATATGAATTAGTTATATAGTTGCTAAGCAATAAAAATTGCCTGTACATTACTATTTTGTATACAGCCCGAATTACTGCAAGTTAAGTATACTACTTCTACTGGTCAGATCGGAGATTTTAATAGCATAAAACCTTCTTCAGACAATGCGAATCATTTTTCGAAAAACCGCGTAAAATGGGTTTATATTTTGATCGTGCGTTTGTGAATGATTGTTCCTAGATAAGCGCATATTCTTGGCGCTATTAGTGGAACGATCAAGGTTTGATTTCCTCTTCATGGGCATTATGCGATAAATAGAAAAAAAAACCAAAAGAAGAAAAAAAAAGCGCGGCTGTTCACAGCAACAAACAAAACTTGTAATACGCGGAAAACGTAATTCAACGTAAACTGTACGATAATGGCATAGATCATAAAGAATGGAGACAGTGCATAATATAGGAAATTATAATCCGAAGAAATCATAGATACCAAACCATTATAGCACATATTTTTTCATTTTATTCGAGTAACTGAAAATATATTGGTACACAATTTATACGTTTCTTTTAATTAATAACTAATAATTTACTAACTTTATCGGACTAAATGTATGCCTGAAACCTGCTTTGTGATGTCATTTTTAATTTTAAAATAAACTGCATGATGATTGAATAAGTAGTTTCGAAGCCGTGAACCCGTAACAAAGATTTCCATTTTCGCTTTTATATTTGTATATATAATATACATGTATAATGTACATTGTATAATCTGAGTGAATGTCACAATTTACATAAACAATTATGTTTATCGCGCAAGGCACAATATATAATCTATGGTATCTATAAAGGGTGATTCAATAAACGTGCTCACCCCATTTTTTTTTTTTTAAATTAAATTTTGCATTTATTCAAATTCTGACTTTTGGAATTTTTAAGTTTAGTTAGAGCCGATATTCTCGAAAACTTAGATTTTTCACAGCATTTCAGGAGTATACTGTGTTGATACCAGCTTTGGTTTTTCAAATGAGAACCCATATTAAAAATTCCATTCATAGATGGAGTATTTCTTTAAAGCATCTTTAACTGCACTTAAAAATTGTAAAAATCAGAATTTGAATATATGCAAAATTTAACTAAAAAAAAAATGGGATGAGCACGCTTAGTGAATCATCCTGTATACACGTACGTTATTCCGATCATATCAGTATCAAATTAGTTATCAACTAGTCACCATGGCACACGAAATTGAAAATTTCCGTAGACATGAAGTACTTGTACGTAATTATATTATGTAAATTTTTGATGCATTTAGTGCTGATGAATTTAAAAATATTTAACGATGTCGTTATTCAGATTCATGTAAGGCAAGAATATATATATAAATGCATCTGTAGAAACTTCGGAGGTAATTTAATACTTCATTATTTTTAAACATAGTTATTTGTATTTATTTTTATAACTAAATTTTAAAAAAAATAAGTGCGCATTCGACCTATGATTTGGAGTCAGCTACAATTGAAGCTGATTTTGCAACAATACTAATGAGATGAAAAAGAACGTGAGTCTCTATCGAATATTAATATTTCGTATAAAACAAACTTTAATTGAGAATCTATTAAGAAATTATTTTCAATTACTTAGGGAGCTTTTTATTTCGATTAAGTTTGTATTTAATGTTAAGTACGTCATCAATAAAAGTTTTTTTTTTTCTTTTTATTAATTTTATGATTATATGAATTTATAAAATTATTTATGTATTGTTATTTATTTACTATAGGTTAAAATAACGGTTAACTAGATAAAATTAAAAATAATTTTTTACGCCTAATAAATGATATACTTCGTGTCGAAACGGTCCCGCCGAGATATCAACGACAAAACGGCCGCGCAGAATTGTCTTAAACCGCAAAATAATGAGTATGTTTTATGTGAAATCCGTTTTGTTAAATTTGTTCAATCTCACTTACAATATGGTATTTCTGTCTGGGCAGAAAAAAGCAACATAGGTATACTTGAAGAGTTTCAAAATAATATTATAAAAAGGTTTGGTATAGAAAATGTTGCGTCTGTACGAGAGCTCTTAGATCATAGGTTAAAAAAAGAATTTTACGAATTATTTATCACTTCAATACTGTGAGGTTTTTAGTTATTAAAAACTATAGAGAATATTATATTATTGTGATAATTTAAAGTACAACATAGATAAAGAGTTCATAGAATTCACGAAATTATCTGTAAATTTACATCCCGGTATAATATATTGTATTATAATATTATAATTATATATTATAATAATTGATTCATCCCGTGTTTACAATGTCCTTCCGGACGGTTTTATCGTTGTTTTTTACCATTTTTTTTTTTTTTTCTAATTACGTTTGTATGTATACCGCAACGCTATACGTTCCTATTAATTGTAATTCGTAACACAAAATGTTATTTATTTGCTTTCGCGTGTACCTGGCGATCAGCGACATGACAATGGGAAAGACGGCCATGTTTTTTCCGCCCAACAGGTATTCGTTAACCGTGTTCCCGTCGCTCTTCACGCATCCAAAGTACAGGCCGACGACGACGGATACGCCGAGCATGACGGAAAACGAACCGTATTCGACTATCCAACTCAAATGATTATTATTCATGATACCGAGACGGCGGCGAAAACGACTCGCCGAAAGGATATTGTATTCGTCACAAGGGCACTGCCGACGCAGGATATGCGGCCGGACGACAAAAAAAAAAACCTCCACGCCGCGTCTCTAGACGTACTGCGTAGGTGGCACTGCGTACCACTGAGTCTCGCACTCTTAAACGACAACTGACGCCGAGCGACACTCGAAAACGTTGTTTTGCGAACGTTGCTGCCATGTTCAGCGCATTTGGTGCGGACTTAGTCCGCGCACGCACGAGCATGTTCGTGCACGTTGCGTGGTTGTTCGGGATACCACGGGAAACGCGCGGTGTTCGGCGCGTCTCGCTCATCTGGTTTGGACGAGAGAACTGTCAATACCGTAATGTTGCTGTTTGTAGTAACAGGTTTTGAAGCTGTTGAATACGCATTTGAACACATGTTATTAGTTTATTATTGTTATTATTTTATTTTTTTTCTTCTGACAATTACGTAAAATAAAAAAAAAGTGTGAGTTGCAGTTCAGAATACGCGTGGGATCAAGACGGAGTTATTCAACTAATTGAATTCTATCGCGGAATACCAGTTCTATGGAACCCAAAAGACAAATATTACTTCAGCAAAATCCAAAAAATTATGCATGGGTTGAACTATTCATTCAAATTTATATTCGTGTGATATAGACACAATAAAAGGGAAGGTGGACTCTGGAAGAAAAACAATAGCAGACAACCGTATTTCCTGAACGACACAAAAACATTGACGAACATTGGAAAACATTTAATCTTGTTGCAACATAAATGTCTATTTCCGCTATGGACGCCTGTGCGAGAATGTGCAGGCGATAACGTGTTAAAGTTACGTTACAGCGACCGTTGCGCGTTTGGTGTAGACCCGGCTGAATGTTTTAGATTCTGAGTATCTGCAATAAATATACAATACTAATATTATGACATAAATAGGAAAAGTTCCCAAAAAAGTATGGACAAAAAAAAAAAATTAAAATACACTAATATAATATCGTAAACAAAAACTGATGCTATTTAAGTTTATTACACTGAGAGGTACTATAGTTAGGTTTATTATGTATAATAATAATAATAATTATTATTATTATTATTATTACTACAATTTAGTGTTCTGGGTCACCGGTCTGTATTCTTCGGATCTTGTTACATAACCAGACCGATTTCCCTTTGCCACGGCGTACTTGGGATACAAAAACTTCCGCACGCAGGGCGTTATAAGTTTAGGATCGATATTTTGGTCCATTGGAAACAAAACACTGACCACGAGTCCTACGACTATTCCAATGATAGTTCCGACCGTGTTGTAGTGCAAATACGAAACGGTAAAGATTTTCAGCACGTTTGGACTCACGTACACGTCGTCGTTCATACGATATAATCTAAAATTATAAAAACATGATAAATCAATAATAGCGAAACTGTGAAACATGCATATCCTAAAAACTCACCCCGAAAAATCATTATGATTTTTAAAAGTAATATTTGTTGGACATCCGGCAATCGAGACATTTTTCATGACCAACTTTAATTCGTTGTTCATCGTGGCGAGCTGAGCTCCGGTTATGATCCACGCCATCACTCCTATACTAGTTATCATTCCGCATATGACACCCTGTATACAGAATTAAAACTTTGTTTACATAATATACGTTCTTAATTTATGAAAAAAAAAAAACTAATAATAATAATATTTTACTTAAATGATTAAATGTAGTATAAATGTAAAATATTTTAAATGATAAATTTACTCTCGAATTGCAGCAGGGAAAACAAAGGCCGAGGGTAAAAACACTAACTATCGCTCCGTCCGTGATTCCGGACATGCTTTTGGCAAACTATAAAACGATACTTCGCTTTAAATCCCGATGATTCGGATTTAGGATGCCATTATCATAACCCTTACTTGAATGATTTCGTTAAATTTCTCCACCACCACGACTAACATTAAACACATACTGCCAACGATCACAACAACACATTTCATTATAATACTGGCCGTCGATTCAGAGACATCTTTACTAATCACTTTGACTATGAAATCTTTGTAAATCGTCCCCGAAACCGTGTTAAGGTGTGCAGACATTGTACTAAAAATCAATTATTATAATATGAATATAAATTTTTTTTTAACATTGATTATAGGGTATAAAAAAAAAAAAAAAAAAAAAAAAAAAAATGAAATTGAAATAGATATTGCTAACCTTAAAGCAGCGCTAAACATCCCAGAGATAAATAATCCTGTAAGTCCTGGAACTAGCCCGACTATGTCCACTACGAAATAAGGCAGTATGTATTTATAGGATTTGATATACTGAAATTGACAATATTTTATAAAACTAAACCTTTGATAACAGTAATCTAACTGTAACAATAACTGTTTAGCGTGAAATTTGATAAAACCAAAAAAAAACCACTAACATCGGCCAAAACGGGATCGCAGTCTTGGTACTTGGTGTAAATTAACATTCCAAGACAGCCGGTCAGAATTTTAACAACGCACATTCCGAGAGAAAAGGCAATCAACGATTTCCCAGCTTTTGCATAACTAGGCAATGATACGAACCGTTGAACGGAACCCGCTTGAACGCCTATGGTAGAAATCACATGTAAAGCGGTTCCAATGCTGACCGTCCAAAAAGAATTTCTTAAAAAAGGATCTGGGTCCATCCTAAACAGTATACAATCGATCGTTAAAAATGTTCCTAACAAAGTATATAGAACCGCATCGTATATAGATAATAAATATTAAACAGACTTGAAAAATTCTATTCTGTCTCCCACAAGGTTCGTTCGTATCATGTTACCGAATCCTCCGACTTCTACGAGCGCCATGACGATTATAACGATCACCGACAGAGCTGTAAAGAAACTCTGGATCGCATCTGTCCAAACGACAGCTTTCAGTCCTCCCTGCGAAAATATAAACAAATCACGAGATTAAAACCGATTAAAACTTACGAAATATTTGTAATGTATTTACGATGGTAGTGTAGAATATACATATCACGCATATTAGCGGCGTAATTAGATGCACACTTATGCCTGTAACTTCAATATTAAGAAAAAAAAAAAAAAAAAATGTAAAAAATGGTATGTTTTTCATTATGCATACGGTTTCATAATATATTGAGAGGAGATGGTTTATACACGTACTTTGGTTTAACACTAATGCCGGGACGTACATCACGATCGGTATGTAGAGAATCAATGACACGGCGTAAATTATCGACGCAAATCCTCGAATAGTGCTATTGAATCTGTATTCTAAATACTGCAATATATAATAAAAATTATTACGCTTCGATCAAATAAATATACTGAAAACTCGAAAATTCGACGATATAGGTGCAAATATCATACTTCGTAAACCGACGTCAATTGTAGTTCGTAAAACACAGGCAAGTACACGTAGAATATTACGATAATTATCACCATGTTAATCGCTCCGCTCAACAAGTATAACGTCCCGTAACAGTAGACCTCGGTCGGAATTCCCAATAACATAATACCGGAAATATGACTTCAAGTAAATGTAATGCAATTTAGAATAAACAGATTAATATCAATTATTATAATTAGGCGTATTATACACATAATAGAAACCATTTTTTTTTTTTACGAATTATCATAAATTTCTCTTTGCAGAGAAAGAAGAAGCTTCTCTTTGAAGCCTGCAGATCATAAGCCAAATGATTATTTTCTTTCACTGAAACCCCCCGTCGGTTTCCAGTGAATTTTGTGTTTTCATTCCACACGAGATGACTCCCTCATGTGCGTTCATATTTCTATCACAAAACCTATCTTATAATTTAAGATTGTGAGCGGAACAAAGAATGTATTGGTTCTACAAGGATGTTTAATTTTAGATTCCGAGCGTAGCGATGGAGTTATTGGTTTTACAATGCTGTTTATTACTTTTTTTTTCTTCTTAGAGAGGTTATTTTTTTGATTTTCGACTCCATTTTTTAAATAAAAGCACTCAAGTGGGAAAAAACGTAGAAAAACGTACAATTTCACGATTTCATTATTTTACAAAAACACGGACGACGTTTTCTACCAGAAAAAAAAAAAGATTTAATCGACAAAATACCTTTTTTGTTGCTATTTTTATTTACTCTATATATGTCTATCACATGATGATATCGTTAAAGGAGCTACACAATTTTATGAAATATACCGTGATGATATAGATTTAAATGAATTAATTAATGAATGTCTACATTTAAAAGCACACACAATACAACTGACTGATGATAAGAAAAAAAATATTCCCAAACTTCTTCAAATTTTACAAGAAAAAACTTAATTTCAGTGTATCCCAACATCGAAATAACATTTAGAATATTAGACATCTACTACAGTGACTAATTTTTCAGTTGAACGCTCTTTTTCTTGCTTGAAAAAAATAAAAAATAATCTCCGATCTACGATGTCACAGGATTGATTAAATACACTTGCCATACTAAGTATAAACATGAATTAACTAATCAGTTATCATATGACGACATCATTGGAGACTTTGTAAAAAAAAAATATCTAGACGTAAGACTATAATCTGAAGAGTGAAGAATATGAATAATATATATTTGTATGTATTATTTTTAAAATATGCTTAAGTAGTTTTCATTTATTAAATGTATAAATAAAGTATTGATTTTTCGTTTTTATTTTATTAACGATCATTTTTTTAATATGGACGCTCCATGGGTGTTTTACGTATCACTTTTAGAAGTAAAATATCAATATGTAAATTAGGTGGTAAATTTTTTTCAGCCCATGGGTGGCAAAAACCATAATCCGTCCCTACCTCCATATAACCCGTCTCCATTATCCTAGGACAGCTTTTTAAGTGCGGATTTCGACGAACAGATTGTATTTTAATAGTTTTTCCGTTCCCCAATGTGTAGATATTGAACTGAATACGTTCTTGATAAACACGTTTTTATAATTACGCACTCGGGTATTTGTTCTTACTAGAGGATTTTATTTTCATGTTTTCATTCTACTCGTAAAGCAACATACATCTTTTTTTTTTTAGTAAAACGAGCAAATTTTTTTCATACCTGGCGATCAGCGACATAACGATGGGAAATACGGTCATTTTTTTGTTACCCAACAGGTATTCGTTAACTGTGTTCCCTTCTTTCTTCACACATCCGAAATATAAACCGATGACGACGGATATGCCGAGCATAACGGAGAACGCGCTGCATTCGACTATCCACTTTAACTCATTCATGACTGTGGTATAGAAGACCGGTCCTTTATAAAATAATAAAATAATATTTGGCACACCGACGATCTAGTCACGAAGAAAACGTTGATCCTCGGTCGGACGAAAAAACGTTTTTGATGACCGTGTCAATGGTTACTGTTTTATCATATATCGATGTCTATATGGTTTAAGACCCGTTTATTTCATCAATAACTTACTATTGTCGGTCGACACTCGAAAATAGATACTGTCGTTAACGGATTACTGACTATACGATAAATTTACACCAATTGTGTTGTTTAGGTATACAGCTATATTATATATAATATATAAAAATCGTATTAAGTGATTATGGGCAACTGTAATATGTGTCAAACTAATGTGTTTGAAAACCGAAATACTTCGCACCATGGGTAGACCACTGTTTTGGATGGGAAAAAGAACCGGTAGTGTTTGTCTAGGTAAATATCCTGTAAACGGTAATTTCGTTTAAAATCGATCTTGAAAGGAGCCCAGAATATGCAAATTTGTTTACCACCAATAATGATTAATTATTTATTAACAATAAAATAAAGTAAACACAAAATTATTAATATGGTCAATAATCATAAATAAATATATAAATAAGAAGGTATATATGAAAATAAAATAAACAAATTAAATACAAATTAATAATAAATTAAATTTCTTAGATCTTACAGTTTCCATAATAAACAATAAATTTGATTTTAGTATTTACAGGAAAATTACACAAACTGATGATATAAATACCACATGATTTTAATTGTTTTAACAAAACCCTTGTTTCCAAAAAATTCAATATTCTGTAGACTTTAACGTATTTCATTAAATAAACATAATTATTGATACGAGCTTAATATTATCTATAATATAGCCCATAGAAATAATTTTAATTTAAATACTATTAAAAAAAAATCATAACCGTATTAAATAAAAAGTAATACACAACTCACCAAATAATGTTGTTAACTATTATAGTATGAATTATCAAAATAATATGTCAAAAAACTTCACAAAAATTCCTCCTTCTTTTGAAAATGCTGGCATATATAAACTTAAATGTAACTGTAATATATTTTATATAGGTAAGACAAATATAAATTTTAAAATAACATATAAAGAACACATTTCTGAAATAAAATTAAAAAAGACTGCCCCTAATTTAAATTTTGCTAAACATGTTTTAGAAAATAACCATAATATAAGTTTAGATATTAATACAGACTTAGAAATATTAAAGACCCAAAATAATATTTACATTAATTCAGTTTTAAAAGAATTACACATACACAATAAAATGAAGAAAAATAATTTTAATAATATTTTAAATGTTCAAGTCGATTTTAAAAATAATATCTTATATAAATACATTTTAGATAATAAATAACAACTAAATAACATATATTTCTTCTATTTATATTTTCTAAATCGTTTTACAAATTTTATCTACTTTACTTTGAAAATTAATGAATGTTAATACTTGATAAAAATAAAATAGACAATTCTTTAGTATGAACAATGCGCATACGAATTAACGTTTTATTTATAAGATTAAGTACCTACTTGTCACTCGATATAATTGGGTCCATTATTTTATCGATAATTACTACTCGTGGATAATTACTACTCCAAGCCACGGAGTGTTGCATGTTTTATACGCTTGAATTCACTTAAATTCTAAATACAACCACTCTATAATTTAATTCGCGTTTGTGTTCACTGAATTGGACGTACTAAAATTAAAAAAGCTAACGTTAAAACTAAAAAGTCTTCACCGTGTAAGAAATAAAGTAATTACAATATAATAAAACCGACAACAGAATAACTACTGAAACTTGTGTAAAACAATAAATTGTTGAGTACATTTTTTTATCGATCTCAATTTTCCGATACACTGTGATTTCAATTTGAACTATTCATATGAGATTTATAGTAAAAAAAATATATCTATAAATTATTTTTTATTTCGATTCTTTAAGAAAATAGAAAAAATTTTCATTTCATATCTTACTATACTCCATTCCCTATAAAAAAATCCAAATGTACGTCCTGCCCCTTTGGCTAAGTCTATTCGCTTTACGGTTGGTCGCCGTTGGTCGGCTGCACGAGTTTTGAGCGATTATTGTCTGGTGCGTTTTTATTTAGAACGGAATATAGTTTACGTCGAAAATGTTGCGTTAATAATGTGTGCATGAACGTAAAAGCTAATAATGGAGACACGCGTAATGATCTCTGTTTATTCTAATTACTTGTTGATTTAAACTATAGGTTTTCCTATACATACTCAATATTAATAAATATTGACTTTTATCATCACTACTAGACTGTGTATAGACTTATTGATTTAATAGTTCATCGGTTTGAATATCTGTACCAACTTGAAATATATCTTGAAAAAAGATTATTGAACTGAATGTCAATAAACTTTCTATACGGGAAAAAATACACACAGTTTTATAAAAAATAATTTATTTATCATTACATAAAATAACAAAAATCCTAAGTATTTAAGTATTTAAAAAAATTAACTTGAGCAAAAAAATAATAATAATAAAAAATTAGTACAGCAGTCATAATTTAGTGTCATGAGTATGTACGTATTTTTCGTCCGTGTTGATGGTGCTCGCTGGTTTTACCTCTTTCATACTACAACACTCGGGATTGGGACTGTCGTGATACATAAATCTTCGTATACAGGGTGCCAACAATTTGAGGTCGACTTTTTGGTCCGTCGGAAACAAATAACTGACAAGCAGTCCGACCCCTATGCCAACTAGTGTGCCCACGGTATTGTAGTGCATGTACGAAACCGTATGGATTTTCCAAACGTTTGGACTCACGTAAACGTCTTCGTTCATAAGATATAACCTTAAAATTAAAGGTAGAGTATTATAATATATTATATAAAGTCTCGTCAAATATACCGAATCAAGAAAACTAGCATTTTATATTACAAGTTTGTAGCTGAATAAACTGTAAGTCATTAAATAGAGTATTTTAATCAAATGTCTACAAAAAATATCAAATATGTATCGTTTTATACATAGAGTATATAAGAAATATTATATTTATTTTGTTCCTATAATGACGAAACGCATAAAAAAAAAAAAAAAATTAGATTACTGCTCTTGAGGGTAGGTCAACATATTCAGAATATTGTTATCCAAAATGATAAAATCCAGAAATGTAATATTCCGGATTTTGAATTTTTGGAACGCAAAAGTACGAAATATTAAAAGTTTGGAACGTAATATTACGAAATGTAAAATCCCGAAATCAAGTAAAAACCTATAGTTTCCAAATCTTCTTAAGATTTCTTACCGTTCCTAAAACAATGACCTCCAATACTTTCACTGATACATCGCATGTATGTCTCCTGCACCCAATCCCCTGGATCCAAATCATTTACCCTTCACAATTATTTTGCGTACTTCCCGAATTTTCCATCGGAATTTTTTCTTTTTTCATGTTATACAAGTTTATCACATAACATAGATATTATTATTATCATAGCAAAATATATATAAAAATTACTATCGATCATAAACATATTACAATAATACTATTATTAATAATAACGTAACGTAACCAGTAGTATTTTTCCAGAACGTTCCTGATTTTATGGTTCTTATAGCTCTCCCTACGCTTTGGTGTCTGTAAGAAATGCTTCAAAAATGTTTATATGACAAGTTGTTTTCTTTATTTGTATACAGAGTTTTAATAATTTAACTGGTTCACAGCAGAATAAGATAGCAAGACGACGAGTATCAAACACTGAAATACCGTATCGTCCTTACCCGGTACTTACCCGGAATAATCGGTTTGATTTTTGAATGTCGTATTGGCCGGACATCCAGCGATCGAAACGTCTTTTTGTGTGAATATCATTTCGTCGTTGATGATGGCCAACTGAGCTCCACCAATAATCCAAGTCATTATCCCTAGACTGGCCATCATTCCGCATATAGCTCCCTATATAAAAATGAGTTACGTAAATTATGCAGGTAAATTTTGTAATATTGGAAACGTAAAATCAAGAATTCATATTACCCTAGAATTTGCCCGGGGAAAACATATTCCCAGCGTGAACACGCTCAATATAGCACCATTCGTTATGCCACATACACTTATCGCCATCTATATAGATAAATAAATGATACATATATTATACAAACTAAAAAAAAAAAAGCCAAAATACTTCACACTCTGGATAAGTCACTTATTTTGGTAGGAATTTTTAAAAGACGAGAAAGATTTGACGACAATTCTATTGTAAACAACAATAAATCACGATTGTAAACAAGAAACAATTCCGAGAGTTAATGTAGTCGGGGTGAATTGTTTGTGATTTCGAAAAATGTATCGAATAAAGTACTACAGACTGGAAAATCTTTTTTTTAGGATTGAGGATTTTTACCAACCGAAAAGGGTTTTTTGAGAAAAAAATACCTATAGCTTGTGCGCTACGCTCGGCATCTTATATACTATACAGTTTTATAGGATAGGTATAAAATTGTTTTACCTGTACGATTCCCGATAGTTTTTCGACCACCAACACTAAACCCACGCACAGGAATCCGATTATTACGACCGTGCATTTCATGATAATGCTCGCGGTTAATTCCGAAACTTTTACAGACATCATTTTCACGACAAAATCCTCGTATATCGTGCCGGACAAGGTGTTCAGTTGTGCAGACATTGTGCTGGAAAACGAATGCGCACCATATTGGACGGAACATAAAAATAAAAATATATATATATTCTTATATACCTGAGGGCAGCGCTTACAATACCGGAAATGAAAAGACCGGTGAGCCCGGGATAATTCGCTGCCACGTCCATAATATAATACGGAAGTATGTTCCTATCGCTTTGAATATACTATAAAATATAATCGATCAATCAATGGTATACATGTCTAATACCTGCAGGGACGAAATCACGAAAAGATACATGTGCGTAATGTACTATACAGTATATAAATATAACAAAATATTTTAAGTGGAATTCAATTAATATATGTTATACACAGAATTATATAGTAATATCGACGCTCATTTTATGTTTAGATAGTCATAAAATAAAATAAGAATAATTAATTGTTTAATATAAACGATTAACCACAATAGAAAAAAAAAATGTTTCAGTTTTGGTTCTACCGTTCAAATAATCTTCGGCTTTAATCTAGGATTTGAAAATCGGTATTTTGTTTTATCGCTCTCGCTCTGGATATAGTTAAAATAAATCGCTAAAACCGTTTATTAACCCGTTTCAACCGGTTTAGCTGAAGTTGGTTTCCGTCCAAAAATATCCATGTATACTGTGTAATGCGAGTTTAAAATGTATTAGATACGTAAATTATGGATTTACATTCGCCATGACGGGATCGCAGTCTTTGTACTTCGAATAGATTATCATTCCAATGATACCGGTCAACGTGATCACTACCCCAACGCCGAATAAAAAGTAAATGAGCGAATTTCGGGCTTTCTTGTACGTGGGCAATGATATGAACCGTTGAACAATTCCGGGATGAATGCTGAGTTGTGTGACCCAACCGAATATCGTGCCCAGACCGACGGTCCAAAACGTGTTTCTCAAAAACGGGTTAGGATCCATCCTAAAACATTATACCAAATGTACGAGAGTTTTCTGCAGTTAAAAATAATAGGAATCAAAATTTAAGTAAGTAAAAGTTTCATTTAAAAAAATTACTTTCCGATAAACACAGTTTTTGTGGGAAAATTAATTTGTCATTCTACTAGACAAAAGACCTCCATTTTTTCACATTTTTCCTGAGACACTAGGGTTAGCTTAAGTTAAATAAATAAATAGATTGTGTTAGTTTCGAAATAGTAACGTTCAAATAGATTCTCCATTGCTGTCAGTTTAAAGTTTTCAACAGGGAAAACAAATTTAAACCAGTTTTTAGAATTTTAATCCCTTAACAAAATGAGTTACTTTTTTACTTAAGTTACTATTTAATAAGTAACTCTGAACATATTAAATGCATTTACTTGAAGAATTCTAGTCGGCCGTTTTCTCGGTTATCTCTAATCGTGTTACCAATCCCACCGATCTCTATCAATCCCAATACGGTTACGAAGATAAGCGAAACTGTAGTGAAAACACTTTGAATAGCGTCGGTCCACACTACCGCTTTTAATCCACCCTGTTTAATGAACAAAAGTATAATAAATAAAATTAAAATCAATTAAAATATTATTATTGATTTATTTGAAGTATTAATCATACTCACGACCGTTGTGTAAAATATACATATGATGCACATGACGATGGTCATTAGATGTATGTCGAGTCCTGTAACTGCAGTATACCACACAAAATAAGAAATCATTTTTAAGTCAATTTTTTTTTTCTACCAGCTAAAGTAACTTTAAGTTTTGTGTGTATAGGTAAGATAAATTTGTATATAGATTTACCTTGATTGAACGCCAACGCCGGTATGTAAATCACTACTGGTAGTATTAGTATTTGGGACAAAGCGAATATCATCGACGTCAATACTCGGATGTTGGTACCGAATCGATGTTCCAAATACTATACAATTTAAAATATACAAATTATACGTAATAATATCAAAGAATCGATTGTCCTAAATTATGTACCTATTATTAAAATAACATATATGAGTATAGAGCGTGTATGACATGGTATACATTTGGCTACATCGGCTAGACCGTATGACCGTACTAGGCTGAATAGTAAGATAAGAGAAGATAACAACGTTGAGAAGTATTGAAGTCTGAGGAAAAGGTACTTCACGGTAAACTAATGGTAAAGGATCGATGTTATCGAAAACGATTTAAGAAATCTGGAAATGAAATACTGGAGACACTTAATCTGAGACTGGGATAAACAGCGTGATGATGTTTTGATAGTGAAAACTGTTAGAGAGTAGTAAAAGTCAGAAGCAGAAAAAATAACATTAGGTACCTCGAAAACGGATGTGATTTGAAGTTCGTAGAACACAGGCAAATATATATGAATAGTTATGGTGATGACAAACACATTAATTAGAGCCATGACCAAATACTGCGTCCCGTGGCTGTAGACCTCGGACGGTACTCCGAGTAGCGTTATACCGGATATATGACTAAAATAAATAAATAACAACATTATCGAATTTGTTTAATTAATTCACATATTATTGCACGTAGCTTACAAACTAAATTGTTGATAAGTAGGTTCCATCTTAAGTTATTATCCAAAATTATACCTAGATAACGAATTTTTGATGTATTTTTTATTTGTAAATAAGTTAGAGGATTACATTTCGTAGAGATGTTATAATTATGAATTATTAATGGAAACTCGTAGGTACTGCATTTATTTATTGAAAAATTCATATAGGTACATAATTTTATGATAATTTATAGTCAAGCGTATTTTATTTAAATATTTATACGTTAGGTTTAAACCTTCCGTAGCTTTAAGGTATACATTATCCCAAGAATTATCTGTGGATAATTGGCAGGTATCATCAGCATACGTTACTATTTTTTTATCAATTTTTAATTTACAAACCGCATCTATGTATACTATAAATAAAACTAGCCCTAGCACACAACCCAGAGGGACATCATATTTTATAAAGCTTTCATCACTTGTATTATCATTTAATTTTACTTTTTGTTTTTTACAAGATAGATAGCTCTTAAATCAAAGTAGATTGCGATTATTTATTCCGAAAGTAGGTAGAATTTTAAAAAGAATATCATGATGTATGGAGTCAAAAGCCTTTGCTAGATCTAAGAAGACAGCTAAACCTTTATTATCCATTGTCTATTTCTTTATATATAAATTGTGGTAACGCATATAATGCATTCTCCGTACCTAAACCCGGTCTGAAACCATATTGGTTTTTTGATAATAGTTCGTTTTTTTCTAGATACGAAATGATTCTTGACTTAATGATTTTTTCAACAATTTTTGAAAAATTTGTTAACATAGATATGGGTCTTTAATTACCCATATTTTTACGGTCACCCCCCCCCCTATATATAATGGTTTGATTGGGTTTTTTTTTTTACTAGAAACTTTTATAAAACAAAAAATCATCATTTCTTTCTAAAATCAATAATTTAAATCTTTTAAAACCAATTATTTTAATACATTATACATATTTTGGTAGTAGGACAGCGAAGTGTTCAATTATCGTAATTAAAGGTGACACGAATCAAAAAAGATTGAGAACTACTGCTCTAGATTATATAATAAATATTTGTCTAGAACCAAGAAAAATAGTTATTGAAAGATAAAATATATTTAAACGGTAATTTTTTTTGCGATAGATATTATATACCTGTACACTATCACTAGATTCTTAACCAGCGTGAAAATATTCGTTTCGAGATTATATTATTATAATGTTAGTCTTATGTATATTTTGTCATATTATGATTATTATTATTATTTAATATGCATTTCGCTAGCCTCCCCCCTGTAAAAAACTGATTTACTACAACAAAAATTGCCGTACAAATTCGGGGGATGGACACACAAATACATACTGATTAAATATTGGAATGAAAAAAAAAAAATGGCGATTTCGAAAAAAGGGAGGACGATATTATTTGTTGTTTAATAAATCTTTTAGTGGCCATTGAGTCGACAAATCACAATATTGTTATCAGGGGTGGGTTCGAAGGGGTTCGGCCCACTATTCTAAGTTTACTGACGGCCTAAAAGTTTTCAGAACCCTTTAATTGTTTTTTTTAAATATTAACATTGATATTATTCATTTAATATTAAACAAATAAAATGTGTGTGAATGTATAATAATTAAAATTAAGTAATATAATAAAGATACCAAACAAATGAATAATATTAATATGAATTTAAATGTGTGTCATAACTCATAAATAATTAATATATTGATGAAAACGTTTAATGAAAGCATAACATAATAATATAATCATTATAATCAATATGGTTTAAATTTGGTATAATACAAAACATAAATAAAATATTTTGTTTAAGGCGGGGGGGACTGGGGAAATGTACGTATACAATTGGATATTTAATAGTTTAATAGTCTAATAATTAAATAGGTAAATAAAAATATACTGTACACAAACAATTTTAACCACAATTCAGTGATGGAACCAGAGGTTCTTCGAGGAGGAGTCCGATTTTATTTTTTTAGAAAAAATAATACATAATTTACAATATTACTAGCTGTTCCGTGCCCGGCATTTCCCGCACTGATTTTTTATTCTATTAACCTTTATTTCGTTTTAGTATATTAAGTATATTTAGTATAACTTTGTCCGTATTAGTATATTGAACTAAAACAAAAAAAGGTGTAATGCGGGTATTCCACGGACTAAAAGTGTTCTAGTTTATCATACATTTTCTTATTTTTCTATATATCCGTTATAGAAACTAAAACTATGAGGACATATTATAGTACTGTTGTGTTGTTACTGTACCAAAAAATACAAAAATTCAAGGATGACGTTTTACGTGTTTTCACTTTTCACTTACCCACCCAGTATATGCGTACAGCACAGAGTTTTTTATTTTTCATTTCATTCATTTCATTCAGTCAGTTAGAATCTTTACTTTAAATTATTATAAATGTTATGGCATTTTTATTTCTGTTTATTATTATTATTTTTTCATTTCATCCGTGTTACTATGGTAATATGGTAATCCATAATTCAACAAAAATAATTTAATTTTTGTACCAAAAATACACAAAAACCTTTCATCTCCTATTTCAACTCCTTCAAGTTTTATTTTCGCGATAAAAAGTAGCTTATGTGTTTTTCCAAGGTCCATCTCTAAACCAGAATTCATCAAAATCCATTCAGTAGTTTTCGCGTGAAAGAGTTACAAACATCCATCCATCCATACATCCTCACGAACTTTCATATTTATAATATCCGTAAGATAAAGAGAAAAGATTAGTTTTTATGTTCGTAATGAATAAGCATTAAGCACAAAAACTGCTTAATCAAATTTAAAACTTATTTCACCTATAAAAAGCTACATTTTCAGCGAATAACGAGGGCTGTATTTATTTTCAGAAAAATTAGAGATCTCTACGAAAATTGTAATAATTAGATTTCTAAGTATTTTTGGTACGAATATCTTATAATTGTTTATTTATTTATTTTTGTTTATCTATGGGTTACTTTGGTGATATGAATGATAATGTGGTTGTCACGGACAAAAAAATTATTATTATTATTGTCATTAGAATTATTTACACTATTATGTAGCAATAGTAAAGCTAGAGTCAATGTAAACAATTATAGAATATAAGATATTATGTATATATAATTACATACTACATAAATAAAAGATGGCACAAGGGGGGGTAATAGTCCTGTCAGTCCTACCTTATATCCACCACTGCAACAGTTATCATTAAATATTAGATTTTCATAGATAGTAGTTGATAAATTAGTAATTAGTAAAATGTAATTATCTTAAACAAAGAAAATTGTAAAAAAAAATATCTCAAAAAATTAATTAAAAGTAATGACAAACATTTGTGAATAATTTAAACATTGAAATAATAATGATTTAAGAACGAATATTTTAACTTGCCGACAAAATCGAATACAATTTCAATAGTTTCATTTGTTTTGGACATATGCAGCTTATTTAAAATATATCATTTGGTTTATTTTTTCTTTAAATATAATGCACATTACAACGAGGTCTCTGTAGGTTTTCTTTGTAGCGCATTATATTTATAGCACTTTATCATAGTAATAACTATGATACTCGGCCACGGTAAATTCACGATTCACTGTACCTACCTAGAGATCATCGACATGGTAATGGGAAACACGGCCATGTGTTTGCCGCCCAGTAAGTATTCGTTGATTGTGTTTTGTTTGCCGTCCACGCACCCGTAGTACAGCCCCACGAACACAGACATGCTGAGCATGACGGCGAACGCAGCGTATTCGGCCATCCAATTCAACTGTTCCATGATGGTGTGCGACGAGACAAAACGGGATTAGGTCAGGACGTCAGTATTAGGAGTACCGCGATCCCGAAGTGGATATCCGCGGTCTGATCGACGTCGTTACAGCGAATTGTCACGCCGGCAGTAACTAATACACAAGACTGTAGCATTCGTTTTCTTTAGGAATTTGATAACGTGCACACGTGCATTATAATTATCTGCCTATTATTTATTATTTTCGTCATAATCTCATTACAAATTATCACTATTAACGCGCGTTGACTCACGCTCGGACTGCTATACGAGTTGACGGTAATCGTTTCGAACTAGTGAACGTTTCACAACATAGACAAATTAACGAAATCATCGTTTCCATCATAAACGATTTGCTGGCGGATTTCTCCGCATACAATGTGTACTACCAATAGTCAAAATGGCGGCGTTCGTGGAGTTCGTTTCGCCGAGTCGCGGGTGCAGCGGACGGCGACAAAATCGTTCGCCCCAGTGTTGTGAACACGCGGTGAGAAAAAACACGGCGGTACTCGCGACGTGGAAAGATATAATACTTCTGGTTCCCGAAGATTTTCATACAGTTTATAGAGCGAATTTTGTTGGCTAAAGTCCCGACGGTTCGGACCAGATATTCAGATAATAACGAAAGTGCCCAATTAACCATGTTTCGTCTATTCATATTATATTAGGTAGGTATCAACTGACGTTATGTTCAATCCTTTGATTCTATTGGTCAAACGTTTCTTTCAATCAATCTCAGCGTCTATTATTATTATACATTTTCTTTGTGGGTAATATAATTATTATATACTACTTTATTATGATTATTGTGTATAGCGTATTGTATGTTCTAAGTTGATATTTAATAACGATGTTTATCGTTTGAAATATTGGCCGTATAGCTGACGTATTTTAATGGTTTAAATCATTTTTAATTGCAGTAATCAAAATATATCAATTTAGTTTACATATTTACGCGAAGCTTGATTTACCGACTTACAGTATGTGTGGAGAGTAATACCGTCTCGTAGATACCGTAGACAATTTAATATCATTGTTATCTATAACTTATGATAGATAATAACGCCAGTGGTGTACACACGGACGAGGGTATTCAAACCACTCCTCTTCCCCTTTGGTATTTTTTTCGCTATACCTACGTACAAATATATACAAACTAAAAATGACTAAAATTGTTAGTAATTTGTTTTCATGGTATATTTATATAGTTCAATTAGTTGGGAATAAATTCAAACACTAACAGACTTAACCTTCAAGTACTGAAAAGGTCATTGATGAGTTAAGACGAAGAGGATATTAGATATTGTTCTATGATAAAAATATGTCAATATATCAATTATGTTAAACATCAAAATATTTTAATGTGTACATATAATATGCATATGTAACGAGCAAAATAGGAAATCCAGGCATTGTGTACAATGCCCGAACAATTTGGGTAATTTGTTTAATACTCCAATTTTTCCTACATTGACCGGGCATTGTACAAGAGTGCCGGAGTCAGAGTCAAGAGTAAAGAGTCACTGTGCACAATGCCTGGAATCAAGTGCGCACATTTATATCGAATGAAAATGTATACGTAACAATTACCTATACCAAAATACCTATTTTAATCGTTTGATATCATGACTCACAAAATACCTGTTTCATTTAGGAACAAACGTAGTTACGTATATCAAGGCGTTTTATTTTTTCATTGAATGGATAATAGTTTTTAAAACTATTAATAGGCAACCAATATTTGAGGCGTCTATTGCAAGATTTTATGTTTATTACAGTATCTAGGAAGATGTTTTATTTTATTCTTAATATTTTCAACGTTTAATCTAGCTCGGACAATTTAAACTTACTCCAACATTGCCCTCGAAAATTGTAAATTGTGTACAGAAACAGTGCCCAACTTCTTACGTTGTCCGTAACTTATATGTATATAATTTTAACCTCCTCCCCCATTTGAAAATATCTGTGTGTGCCACTGAGTAATACGGTCGGTAAAAAACTGTCATTTGCTTTAACGTCATGGTACCTTATAATGTATGATGTGGCGAAAGAGCAAGGGATAGAGATCGTTAATACACGAGAAGAATGCAAATCGAAGTTTTGAATATTTTTGACGTCGAAAATATTTATTGATCAAATGACACCATAATACTTTTTTCTGGTCAACTTTAATGATTATTATTTGTAATAATATATACAATATGGTATATATCATAATTTTAATATTGGTCAACTAGTTATATTATAATATAATATTATGTAGCATTAATATTATCTACACTACATTTTATTATAGTGGACACCACTTTATTTTATCAGTTTATAAGTAAGTTTAGATTGATACAAAATAGTATGTATAACAATTAAATATTTCAACATAATAATAAGACATGATAATGAAAACCGGACAACACCACTCTACTATTTTCCCCTTTCTTTCTCATAACAGACTCCTCGACTCATTCGGCCAACGGATCCTGCCTTGGCGACTGGTCATCTTTTTCGTCTTCCCGCGAGTGCGTGTTGTTCCGGCTTCTAACATTCCGACATCATCATTTTTAACTAAATCAAGTGTTTATTTTATCATTCCTACTACCTATTCGCATCAACATAATAAATAAATATAATCATACCTGTATTCAAAATCAACATTGTTGCTGAGAATACTCCGTTCAGGATAGTTAAGTATATTATTGTTACCCTTCATAGTTTATATTTTATATTAATTGTTTCCTACCGTCGTAGGCTGTAATAAGTAATCTAAGTGATTAGTGGATATACATTTAGTTGCTTTGTACCCCCTTATTCACTTAATTTTAATACATTCATTTTTCTTTAATTTTTTTCCCATTTGGACCAGGAATATTTATTAAAATATCTTCAATTTTTCTAAAAATATCCATGTTTTTCAGTAGTTCACTATTAAATTCTTCCAAATTTTTAAGATTCATGGATAACTTGTATAAATGTAATTTTATAAATGCTAAACCACATTTGACTGTATTATNGGCATATATTCAGTTACTTTGTACATTGTTGCTGAGGATACTCCGTTCAGAATAGTTAAGTATATTATTGTTACCCTTCATAGTTTATATTTTATATTAATTTTTTCCTACCGTCGTAGGCTGTAATAAGTAATCTAAGTGATTAGTGGGCATATATTCAGTTACTTTGTACATTGTTGCTGAGGATACTCCGTTCAGGATAGTTAAGTATATTATTGTTACCCTTCATAGTTTATATTTTATATTATCATAGTTTATATTTTATATTAATTTTTTCCTACCGTCGTAGGCTGTTATAAGTAATCTCGTAGGCTGTTATAAGTAATCTAAGTGATTAGTGGGTATATATTCAGTTGCTTTGTACCCCCTTATTCATCTTATTACAAACTGGCGCCCAGCTAAAAGCTAATACCCCACCCCAAATTAATTTAAAATAAATAAATAATAACAATTTTTTTTTCGTTTAATTCAATTTTTTCTGGGTACCTATTCATACAAATGGATCGAAATAATCCATTTTTTACTAATGTAGCAGATTACGTCTCCAAATTAAAACAAGATAAGATAGAAACAGAATTAACCAAAAGACATTTGATTACTGTAGGAACGTTACCCGAATTAAAAACTATATTATTACAATACCTTACTGGCGAATCTATACCTACTGGCTTTTTAAATCACATATATGTACATATATATAAACCATGATTAAATTACACGACCATAAACTAGCTATCCCCACAATAGCAGCTGGACTAGATAAACGAAATTAGTTCATTATAAAACAAATAATATACTCTGAATTTAAAAATTCTAGAATATAATTACTCATTTGCCATAAAAAGTTAACTGATATAACAAATAATTAGAAAACGAGAGCACAAAAAAAATATCAATTTAATACGTGATCATTATTACTTTGGCAAACTAATTAAGAAAGCCAATAACATAAACGACAATCACGAATATAATATTAAATTACGGCATAACAACTATAATGCTAACACACAAATCAACAATAAAAACGTTAATAAATTAGAAAAAATTCCTTAAATTAAGTATAACACCGACAATAATGAAGATAATGAAATAAATCTAATCTTTAGTAGTTACAAACCCGATGAGAATGTGCATGGGAACGGAAATTGTGGTCTCTATGCCCTAGCAACGCTTTAAACGATAATAAAGAAAAAAATAACTTTTATAGGCCTTTTAGAATTATTACAGTTATCAGACCTCCCTGGTCATTGGTAGTCCGATGAAGAATTGGCCTCCATTGCCGATTATTATAATCATGACAGGATATGTTCAGGATAGGTAAGTATATGATTGTTATCCTTCATAGTTTATATTTTATATTAATTGTTTCCTACCGTCGTAGGCTGTAATAAGTAATCTAAGTGATTAGTGGGTATACATGCAGTTGCTTTGCTTATTCACTTTATTACATATTAAAAAATACTCAATTAAATTTTATTAGCACCATTGCATAAATGACAAAATTGAATAGACGAAATCGTACAAGAACCATAAAAAATGTGTTCATTTTTCAAAAAAAAAAATAAAATTAACAAAAACGTTCTAACATGAAACATTGTATGGATTAGAAAACCCAGCAGAGTTTTCCTGTAAAGATTGTAAAATAACGACATTGTGTATAACACAGATACGGTAATTATATACATTATATTGCCGAAGTTTTACTCTTAAACAAAATATTTGTATTCGTACCTGTAGATACATAATAATATTGATCGCGACCTATTATTTTGTACCACTTATACGATTCGTTTCGGATGTCCGTATAGACATAAACCAAAAAAAAAAAAACATTAAAACGTTAAACGGTTACTGAACCCAGTGATGTTCAAAGTAGGAAGCAGTACAGGTACTTACAATAATACTGCTTAGACGTGTGTTGGTATAGGTAATTTAATGTATATCTGTAGCAGCGATAAACTATTGCTAATAAAAAAACGATTCTGAGCGCAGTTCAGTTAGTAGTGATGCTTTGTCAACAATAAATATGTCATATTATGGTAAAATAATGAAATAGACATTATACATTTTCTTTAATAATACTTGTTTAATATTGTACCAATTTTCCCATTTTCCCGTTTTTTTTATTTTTTTTTTTAGTTTTTCACATTTGCTGTGTCAGATTTCCTTTTAGAAAAAGTGCTATCATTGTAAATTGGAGCAAAATTGCTGGTAGAAAAGTACGGAAAAAAAAATCGTAACATTGTAAGTATTTTGTACATTATCCCGTTTTTTCTCCGTTTTTCGCGATTTTTCCTATTTATTAAGAAAACTCCTGGGCAAATCAAATGACCTCCTCAAGTCACCATGGAGATAAAATTTCTAGAATTTTAGAAAATAAGTTACACTTAATACATCGGAGCAAGATTTTTGGTAAAAAAGTTTGCACATCAAATCGTGGGGTATTTTGCGATTAAAATAGTCCAAGCGAGCGATGGCTTGGGTCTCTAGGAAACTCAAAAAGCATTTGTTTTCTCTTTGTTTAGGTAAAAGGGGAGAAAAATACACTATTTTCTTCATTTCTTACAAGAACTCGCAAGATGAACCCTAGGATGAAAATAGGTATCTATTAACATTTAGCTACGAGACAAACATATTTTAGAAAAGACAATATTAAGTTACTTAACATAATATATAATATCCGCATAATATCAGAACTTCAAAATGCTATAATTACAAAACTTATTCAGTCCACTCAATTTTGACTTCACCATCGTTCTTAAATCGGCAAATATGCATATGTTAAAAAAAAAAAAATTGAAAATTAGATTTGTTTCACATAATTTTTTACTCATCGATTTTTGTCAAAATTTGATATTGATATTGCTTTATAAAAAAAAAATACTACATTAATCTCAAATTTTCTTTTTTAGACCACAAAATAAGACTCTTAATGAACCTGCTGTTAAATTATCAAGTATTTCTATTAAGCCTAACAATTTCACCGAATACAAATTACGTACAAAACTCGCAAAACTAAAATTCTATAAATAGCTCAAAAATGGTTTTAATTTTTTTTTTAATTTTTCCATGTCTAGAAAAGGCAAATATAAGCTTTCTGTCTGAATTTCAAGTCTCTACGAATATTTTCAACTAAATTACAACAAATAAAAAAATTTAAAAATAATAAAATCATTATTAAATAAATTTCCAAATTTTCCCAGATATTATGAAAACCGCTTGGAAAATTTAAAAAATGACCTCCTAAAAGTACCATCTCGACAATATTCCCTTTCTGAAATGGTGCCGCGTGTATAAATCTGAGCAAGATAAATGGTGGAATTTAAGTACACAGTACAAAAAAAAGAACTTTTTTTAAAAAATAAACATCTTGGTAAAACCAATACATTCTTCACTACTGTCAGACTTTAAAAAATAAATAAATGTGTTAAAGTATTTTTGAGTTTTATACTGAGTGTTACCGTTAAGTAATTTTCCATACTCAAAATATTCATTGTCATTACTCATATTCTTACATCTCAATTGTTAAATGTACATATCTTACATAGATTATAATTTACTTTATCAAATTAAAATAAAAAAGTGTTTTTGAGTACTCGTATTGTTTTGACGAATAAACTCAAGACAAATACAATAACTATTATATTACAATGGTCATAATTTTGAATCCTGAACAACCGGATTTCCGTCGGTCATAGATGCTTTACGATTAAACTTTTTCTGCTCGCTGCGCTCGGAATACACGAACTTCCGGATGCAGGGTGCCAATAGTTTTGAATCGATTTTCCGGTCCGTTGGAAACAAATAACTGACGACTAATCCGATCGTTATTCCAATGAGTGAACCCAGGGTGTTGTAGTGCATATACGAAACCGTATAGATTTTCCAAACATCCGGACTCACGTACACATCTTCGTTCATACGATACAATCTTAAAACAAAACCGCATTGTATATAATATGTTCTAACTTTAAACAAATTGATTAAAATCAAAAACGAAATTTTAACTAGATCGCAGTAAAGAATATTATGAGATGCCAAATGAGACGGATTTTAGACATTTTTTTATTTCAATTACCCGGAATAATCGGTTTGATTTTTGAATGTTGTATTGGCCGGACATCCGACGACCGAAATGTCCTTTTGAACAAACTTCAATTCGTTGTTGATAATAGCGTTTTGAGCAGCGGCAACAATCCAAGTCATTATTCCCAAACTAGCTAACATTCCGCACATTGCTCCCTATGTGTAAAAAAAAGAAACAGAATTCAATTTTCGTCCAAAAATATTCAAAATTTCTTATAAAAATGTTTTTTATATTGAGAGTATATAAATATATAAAAAAAATAAAAAATCATTTTACTCTAGTATTTGCCCGGGGAAAACATATCCCCAGTGTAAATACGCTCATAATCGCGCCGTTCGTTACTCCGCCCAAACTTATCGCCATCTAAACAGATCGATACTAATTATATTCTTTAAAATGGTGGGTTTTGTTGCTATGTCGCTTTATAAAATAACCAAAAAGCTCCATTTTTCAAAACTTATCACGTAAACAATAAAAAAAATATGTTTTAAAAGTATGGTGTTCCTATAACTATACAATAGACTACATAATTAATTTATCTTCATTATAGACACATTTTATTAAATTTAGTTTTTACCGTTTCTTCCAAAATGAGAGCTAGTTTCCATGTTTTTTTGACTAGAATTATCTAGAATTTTGTTTAATCGTGGTTAAAAAATGCAGTCTATATACGCACAATAAGATTGTCTCGTTTTTTCGCGGACAATTTTCTCGATTAAAAATAAACCAAACATGAATATCCCCGAAAAATGGAACTTTTCAGTTATTGCACAAAATTCTGCAATCATGGTTTTATATCTTACTTGCAAGATTCCCTTTAATTTTTCGACTATAAATACTAAACCCACGCATATACATCCGATTATTACGACTGTGGATTTCATGATAATACTCGCCGTTGAATCTGAAACTCTTACAGTCGTCATTTTCACGACGAAATCTTCATATATCGTGCCAGACACCGTATTAAGTTGCGCGGACATTGTACTGAAAAATGAATACACCGAAATTTTAATAAAGAGATAAAAATATTCGAAAAAAAAAATAAAATAAATGTTTAAGAAAAAACCTTGAAAATTGGTTTTTTCCTGAACAATCGTGATCTTTTTTTTTTATTATTATTGTGACTAACGAAGAAGCTATTTGTTTTACAAGTATAAGTTTTGTTCTTTCTCAAAAAACATGCACTTTATTGGTAATTAAAAGCAATCTGATTTTTGCAAGCCTCAAAGCATGTTGATTTTTTTTATGCTACTTTATTTAAAAGTAGTTTTTGACGTTTTCAGCAACTACTCTAGTTCATTTTTTATTGATTTCTAGATTACTTCTGGGACAACCATATATATATATATATCCTACTTTCTCGATTACCTACATACAACAGTAGACTACCTGTATCGTGTAAATTTATTTAAAATTGTATTTATTTATTTTTAAACGCTCCAATGTTTTCATTTTTTTCGCGATACTAGGGGAAAAATACCGTTTTCTTTTTTCGGAATTGTTTCGTTTTCGAATCAAAAACACCTAAGTAACAATATTTCACGAATATATTTATTCACCTAAGTGCAGCGTTTACAATACCGGAAATGAAAAGCCCAGTGAGTCCGGGATATTTTGCGGCCACGTCCATAATATAATACGGTAGTATGTTTCCATCGCTTTTGACATACTGAAATAATGCAACAAATTCAGTAAAACCGCCAGTAATTATAACTCCGGTGATTTTCAATAGCGTTTTCCATCAGACTTATTGCCGTCTTCATCGCCTCCTTCATCTGCCATAATCGATATAGTATTTAATGCAAATTCTATCATAATATGGAGGCTTAGTCGTGTCAACTCGTTTTGTACGTGACCTGGTGATCAATACGATAATGCACGATTACTGTTGTACATTCTTTGCATACGTTCGTTATCGGCGATACCTTTTTAAGCTACACGATTGCGTACGACGTTACCTGATTTTCGGTTACACGATTAAGTACGAAATTTTAAGCGTTGCTGCCAATTTTCATGGCGGTATATACTACACGAGTAAACTAGAAAAAATGTATAAATACTTTTCGTTTTTCCATGAATGTTTATTGTTAACGATATAAACGCATTATCAAATGCATCGTAATATGCTGGAAATTTCATTATTTCAAATATATAGGTATTTTCTGCTCTTTAGTTCGTCGTTGATCGGCACACGTGTGTATATATTTTTATCGACGTTTAGTAGGTAGTGGAAATAGTTATTGCTTTTAAATTTTAATAGACCAGACCGATTATATAATTAATTAACAACGAGAAAATAAATAAAATGGCAAAATAGTATTTTATTCGAATTTATAATATTGTAAAGGCTTATGATGTGTACAAAATCCATACAAATATATTGCAATATTTGAAAGTACAATTTTATAAATGTTCAGAAATTAAAAATTTAGGTATTTTAAAATAATTAATCTTTTAACTATGATTTAATTAATTAATTATTTTATTAGTAACAATATTCTAAAGTTCAGATAAAATTATTGTGCCTGAATTATTATTGAGTATATAGTATATACATTTGACAACGTTGCACGCGAATTTGTACGCAATCGTGTTGATTTTATTGTTTTTTTAAGTATTCTTTAATCAATCGAAAAACATGCGCGATCGTGTTCTACCGATGAATAATATTACACGCATAATAATGGTCCTCGTTCCAGTTCATATTATACCAGATACACTCGTTGTGTGACGACCACGTGTAGTGTTGTACACGAGTGTAATAGTCAGATGGAAAACGCTATATTATAAATGACAAATGTTTACGTTTGCCTTGACGGGATCGCAGTCTTTGTACATTGAATAGATTATCATTCCGATGATACCGGTCACTGTCATTACCGAGGAAGCTCCGATTAAAAAGTAAATCAATGATTTCCGGGCTTTATCGTGAGTGGGCAACGATACGAACCGTTGAACCGTTCCCGGATGAATACCGAACATTGTGATCGTGCCGAATATAGTGCCCACGTTGATGGTCCAAAACGTATTTCTCAAAAACGGATCCGGGTCCATTCTAAAACATCATATTAATAAAATCGTTTCCCGATCAGCTGTGTTGTGTTCTATAATAAAAAATAATTGGGATCGAAATTTCCGAAGAAAAAAAGTAAACATTTTCCGAAAATAATACTACCCAACGGCAAAAACCCTTTTTGAACTCCGCCAAATTTTTATGAAAAATTTATTTGAGGGGAAGGGGCGTCGTTTACCGGAAGGCATTACTTTGGAAAATTTGTTTCACATAAAAACTAATTTCCCGCTATCTTTATTTGCGGCATTTCGATCCCTATACAAATATAATACAAGTGAAATCTTAATTGTGATTAAAATATTAAATGCCTTTTACGTAATAATTTACTTGAAAAATTCTAATCTGCCGTTTTCTTGGTTATCTCTAATCGTGTTACCAATCCCGCCGACTTCTATCAATCCCAATACGGTCACTATAACTACCGAAATAGCAGTAATCACGCTCTGGATCGCGTCGGTCCACACAACCGCTTTTAATCCGCCCTAAAAAATACGTACAAATATATTATAATATATTTTATTAAAATCGAGACCAATAGCTTTTGTTCAAATTATACTCACAACCGTCGTGTAAACTATACATATCGCGCACATGATTATAGTCACTAGATGTATGTCTAACCCTGTAACTGTAAAGTGACCAAAAAATAAGTATGAACTTATAGAGTATGCGATATTTTTTTAATGAGATTATATTATAAATAAAAGGTTAAATTTCATTGTTCAGTTGTATAATATTGTGTTGGGTTTTTTTTTAAACAAAAATAAGAAATTGTTGATAAAATATGAGTACGAATCTTATTGCGAAAAAAAAAAAGTATTATCATTAATCACGATGAAAACGGAAATTATATTAGTTTTTGTTCTGACTTCTTATTAACCTTCGCAAATTATAATATTTTAAACATCGACAAATAGAAAAATATTAGCTTGATATTTTTTAGATTCTGAGCGAAGCCAAGAATGTATTGGTTTTACAATGATGTGTTTTTTTTTTTATAGTCTGTAGAAAAATTCTACTAGAAACCTTGTTCCGATGTATCAATAAGTATAGCACTTTTTCTAAAAGGAAATTTTCCTGGCGTGGTACTTTAAAGGAGTAATTTTTTGATTTTCCCAAGAGTTTTCATAATAAATGGAAAAAATCCGGAAAAATTTAAGAAAAACGAGAAAATGTATGAAATTTATTATTTTAAAATCATACATATTATGGCCTTTCAAAATATGTATAATCGAACTCCGCTCATAAGCGCTTTTCGTTAACAATGATAAATCATTGCATACACAAATATATAAATATATTAAATTCCCCTCTGTATTCTACCTTCCCAACTTCTCATCTACAACAGTTCCCACTCATCGTGCGTAGTACATCCTTATTTTTTATATCTGGTTTTTGACGCAGAATCAACTATGTCTTATCAGACTTACTAAATTTATTGGTTAGATTATTATCTATAACTGCGGGTCTAGGACAAACGAACGCGGTCAGCTTGATACGAGGATCATTTGGCCGCTAAAAAAATAAATAAAATGATAATAATACGATTAAATAAATTCAAATAGAAAAACTCTTTGTAATTTAATTTTAATTTAATTTAGCAAAACGTACGTGGAAACGTCACCCTCTTCTACTTCTATTAAATGTCCTACGTAATTTTCTTCAAACCAATCTAATTATATAGTTATTAATTATTAATTATTAATTATATAGTTGAAATCAATTTCTCTGTAATAATACTATGAAAATATTGCAAATGTTCTTCGTGTCAAACCTGCCACGTCCATATTTTGTTCTAAACCGGCTAAACCCTATCACTATGATAAAGCAAAATTATTTATTATTTTATGCCGTTTTGAAAAGAAGTATTATATACTCGTTGACACATTATTTTACTAAGCATTAAGCTGTGGATAATCACATGGTGATTTTACTAATATAGTATAACCATAATAATAACACTTGGTTATTAGTAAGATACGATTGATTTTGCGCCAAAACGCCTAAACCAAATCTTTTTGAACTGGTCAGCTCAACTCTATTGCTCAGTTCGACCTATAAAATTTGGGAAAAATGTGTTTGATAATTTTCAAAATCCCTAGTTTTTTATTTTTTATTTTTTATTTTTTTTTTTCATTTAAAACCTTACTTTGGTTGAACGCTAACGCTGGTATATAAATCACTACCGGTATATACAGTATTAGAGATATGGCAAATATCAACGACGACAATCCTCGAATGTTTGCATCGAATCGGTATTCCAAATACTGAAATTCAATAATTGGTCAAATGATCATAATACAACTCAAAAGAAACTGCAGCATTGTCTATACCTCGTAAACCGACGTCAACTGGAGTTCGTAAAATACTGGCAAGTATACGTAAATTATCGCGACGAGGGCTATGGCATTTGGCAAGCCCAAAATCAACAACTGGGTCCCGTAGCTGTAGACTTCGGACGGTATTCCAAGTAACGTTATACCGGATATATGACTGTAATAAAATAACAAAAAAAAATTCTATAAGCGGTCCATACTTGAAAATAGAGACGAATCAAACAAATATAACTTGTGGACCGAAATGTATTATTATCGATAAGGTGAAAGAAGTAAAATACCTAGGCCTAGGTCCAAATGGGACAGCCATATTAACTACATCAATAATATTTTACATACATTGTTCTACTTTTTTAAAGATGCATATATATAGATATATATAGATATATATCAACAATGCGTATAAAAGAACAATTTATATTACATTATATTACAGTCAGTTTATTTATATTTGGTATATCTATTTGGGGAAGTGTTTTTAAAAATATTTTATCAAAACCTATTATTACTATTAATGGTATAATACAATTTTAACTAAATCTACCAATAAAAATTAGCACTTTATTGATTTAAAAAGTAAAGGATTTCAGGTTTATTTATAATTTATCGGTTCTAGTTGATTTGTATAAACATACAAATTTAATTCCTCGGTTAGATTATGAGCACAACACCAGATACAAACAAAATGTTAATATACTTTTACCCAATCTTACTAAAGTAATTACAATAAAGTGTATTAGAAGGTCTGAATCAGGTCTTATTAGGTCTAAATGTATGTCGTTCATTTAAAATCAATTAAACAAATTTTAAAAAAGACGGACATATTCCGCACAATGGGTGCAGTCACTATTGTTGGTAAAAAGTTGGAAATTTAGGACATAAAGGGTAAATTAATTTATATCTATTTAAGTTCATAAAATTGATACGAATATTTTTAGCTGAATTTCAACAAAAATATGTTGTTTAAAAAGCCTAGAAATGGCTCAAATGTTTAACCATGTCTAGAAAAGGCAAATCTAAATTTTTCACCCAAATTTCAAGTCTCTACAAATAATTTAAACTGACTTACAACAAATAACAATATTGGAATAATAATAAAAGCATAATTTCGTAAATTTATCGTTTTCTTACATTTTATTCTGGTTTTTCGTTGATATTATGAAAACCGCTTGAAAAATTAAAAAATGACCTCCCAAAAGTACTATCTGGACAATATTTCCTTTCAGAAATGGTATCGCACGTAGAATTTTTGTACACAGTATAAAAAAAAAAGATAAAATAATTGGGAAGGGTGCAGTCACTGGTGTAAGTGGGAAATTGGGAAGATAGGATATAGATGGGAGTTTAATGTATATCTGTAAGCTACGATAAACCATTGCTTACGAAAAAACGATTCTGAGCGGAGTTCAGTTGATAGTATCAACAATATATATGTAATTTTGTAGTAAAATAATTAAATAGGCTTTATGTAATTTTTTTAATAAAATCGTAAATTATATTTATTATCATTCGTAAATTTTCCCGTTTTTTGTATTTTATGAGAAAACTCGAGAAAATCGAAAAATAATCTCCCTTTAATACTTCTTCACGCCGATTTCTTTTCAGAAAAAACGCTATACATAGAAATCCGAGCAAGTCTTTTGGTAGAAAAGTTGTGCACAGATAAAAAAATAATAATTATCTTTATAAAACCATAAGCTTCTTCGCTCTACTCGAAATCTAAAAAAGAAATATCTTTGTAAAACCGATATATTTTTCGCTACACTCAGAATTTCAAATGTAATGTAATTTTCATTATATTTATATACGATATCTTTTGTTATTTATTATGTAAGTATACAATTTATTATAAAATTTGTTTTTTTTCTGTTTTATTAATTTAATATCTTTTATAAATAAATAAAACGCTCTCTATAAGAACAGCTTTCTCAACACAAGCATATAGCTCATAGGGAATAATGCAAAAATTAAAAAAATATTTTGTAAAATAATATATAGATATTTTATTGTTGCAATAAAGTTATTATTATTATTAAAAAAAATACATATAAAGAATAATTAATTACGATGGGTATTTCATTACGTAGAAGGTAATAACGGCCAAGAAAGACCAGGATGAATGAATGAAAAGTCACCAAGATTTGCACGATTTGAGTTTTAACAGACATTTAACTCGAATAATATAGAGTTTTACATATTTTGGTTGTAATTTGTTTTTATTAGAAAGCAATCCGTAAATCCATTATAAAAATTTTAACTTTTTGTGTTGAGTTTTAGATTCTTAGCGGAGCGAGAAATGTATTGGTTTTACAATGGTGATTATTTTTTTTTTTGGTGTAAACACTTTTTCTACCAGAAAGCTTATTCCAATTATCAAGTATAGCACCTTTTCTGAAAGGAAATGTTCTCTGGGTGATAATTTAAAGAGGTCATTTTTTGAAATTCTCGTTAATATTCGAAGTGAAGAAAACCTGGTTTTATAGGTTAAAAAAGATTGAAATATTAAAAATAAGGTTGTCATTGGCAATCGTTTCTATTTATTTTTTGTTAATATTAAATTTGTATTATTTTTATCTTTAGTAAACAGTTATTGTTGTCATGGAAACATACATTTTTGAGAAAGCAATGCTATAGACCGAGATATCTTAAAATAAAATGAATTTAGATTTCAATACATTCTTTAACTATCAATCTTTATATTATATTATTTATTTTATAGTCTATACTTAAGTATCACTGTCAACTGAACTCCGCTCAGAATCGTTTTTTTTTTTTTTTAGTTATGATTTTCATTGCTTTCAAGAATACATTAAATTTTCTTCTGTATCCTACCTTCTCAACTTCCCATCTACAACAATGGCTGCACCTATGTGCGAAGTATGTTCATTTTTTAGATTCTGAGTGGAGCGAAGAAGCTTATGGTTTTACAAAGACGTGTTTTTTTTCTGTGGAAAACTTTTCTATCAGAAGAAATTCTCTAATTTTTACGTGTAGCAACTTTACTGAAAAGAAATCGATGTGGAGAGGTACCTTAAGAGGTCATTTTTCGATTTTTTTCAAGAATTCTCTCATCAAATACGAAAAACTAAAAAAAACTATAATAACGTTTTTTTTACAATATAAGATGCATCTATTTTATAGTCTAGTTAATACATTTTAATAATAATACTTGTACAAAACGTGTTATGTGCGGTGTATTATCAGATTATAATATATATAACGAACGGTTGAAAGGGCATCCACGATAACTTTACAATATTTTTATTTTTTAACATAATTTTATAATCTAAGATATTGTAAATTTGTTTGACTGCAGTGTGTCAAAACATTATTTTCATCTTTGTTTTCTACTCGATTAAATTATATCAGCTCTAATACGTACACAATTTTAGAAAATATTTTATCCTGATGGACTTGGATTGAAATGGTGTTTTTATTTTAGAAGAAGGAAGAATTAAAAAAAAAAAAATTGTAATTATCCAATTATCTACACAATTGTAATCGTTACCATACTTGCGTACGCAAAAAAAAATTTTTTTTTAACGCTAACGCCTATTTTTATTTATTTTTATTTATGAAAAAATGAGTAAAATGAGAATCTGGTGTTAAAAATAGGTGAGTCACATTTAAGTTGGTTTGCCTATGCACGCGATCCAGAAGAATAAAAATTTTGAAAATATGCTCAAAATGTGAATTCTGTTATATTTACTCCCGATTCTAGTATAATCATTTTAATTAAACTAACTATATTACAGTTTATAAGGTATACATTAAATTTGTATTAGTCACTATACGATCATCAATAAGATTAAACACAATAATTAAATGAATAATTTGTAATGCTATTATATTATATTATTACGTTGAGATAAGGATATTATATACATCATACAGGCTGTGACACGAAGATCTGACAACTGAAATAACTTTTGATACGTTTGATATTTTGAATTATTTTTTCTTGTAATTCTGAAATTATGATTCCTCTAATGTACAGTTTTTTTTTTTTTTTATCTAAAAATTAATATTTTGCCTTTCAAACAAACTGTTTTCAAAAATCCCAAAATTTATCCAAGATACATTTTACAAATATATTTTAAGCCAAATATTAGTATATATATGAATCGTTGATATTCTTAAATTTATTGAAGTTGAATATAATTTTAATTGATTTTATTGCAAATACTAAATAAAATTAAACGATTAGTTAACTTGTCCATGAAAAAAAAATTTTATTAGACATTTTTGTAAACTTCAAAAAATTTTAGAAACTCAAAGATTTGTCATTAATAAATATTTGTAACACTAAAATATTATTTCAAAATATATTTATAAAATTCGTCTCTTAATTCTTGTAAAAATAATTTTTTTAGTTTTAGTTTTAAAAATATATAAATTATGTAAATATTAGATCATAAGGCATAACTCCAGAAATATCAAAGTTTCTTTACACGAAACAAAAAGTTTAAAATATTGAACATGACAAGAGTTATTTCAGGAATTAGATCTTCGCGTTACACCTTGTAAATATTGATTTTTCAGTGTAGGTACATTATATTAAAAAACATAAAAATAATTTATTGAAAACCGAATACAAATCTAAATCATCAACGTAAAATAAGTGATAAATTTGTCCGATTAAAAATTAACAATAATAATAAAGCGCTACACGAAAAGGTTTTCGCTTTGATGTAACGTTTTATTTTTATTGAGTAAGGTTAGGTGTTATAGGTTGTGTAGGTTAAGTATGTTGTGTAAGCCAATGAAGCAAATAAGCAGTATATTGTAAATAATATTTAAAAACGCGAGCACCGCGGTAACGCGGCAATGCGAGTTTTCGATCGAAACACATATGTGTGTATTCGTATTGTTTTCGAGAGACCCGTTTTTATATGTTTTTTTTTTTGTTTGTAATAAAGAAGTTTTGAATAGCTAGTGCGAAATATCGTTTATTATTGAGTATCCACAATACGTAGCCTTATTCCAAATCTAATCTGTAGCCGATTCATCTATGTTCGTTTGAGTTCTCAAAAATAGGTATAGGTGTACCATCGAAAGATAGGTATACGACAAGTGTTAAATATGTAAAATTACACACGAGTATACAATACTAGAAATAAATACCTATTTACGTAAGTTCCCGTACAAAATAGTTTTACTGAGACCTCGTGTTACGAATATACGTGTTTTCCCATACGATTTCGATAAACTCACGTGCATGAGTCCGGAAGTAATATAAATGTATAACAATATATGACGTGCGTTTGTATTAGTTTTCTATCAGAAAAATCGACAATACTTTGGAATGATATTTTGATATTTTACCACTACGACTGAACACTATTTCCTCCTAAAACCCACATCGCTCGAACTGATTTGAAATATAATAATATTGTTGCAGTTATTATTTTATGTCAACCAAAATGCTATGATACCTATAAACTATTAGATCTAAATGTATAGGGGTATATGGTAATAGGGTTGTGAATTTGTTGTACCTAATTTTTCCTCTTTTTAATTAAGTATAAAACGTAGCTTTCACAGTTCAAATTACGAACATTATGCAACTAAAAACTCGGTTATGATGATTTGATTTTTAATTTTATCGCGTTTTTATTCCGTTTTTTTTACCGAAAATAGAGACTGTTGTACGTTAAAGTTGACACTTTCCGAGACAGTTCGTGTCTTACGACAGATTGAACAGCGATCGCGGTTTGCCGTACCTACCTAGCAATCAGCGACATGGTGATGGGAAATACGGACATCCGTTTGCCGCCCAAAAAGTACTCGCTGACGGTGTTCTGTTTTCCGTCCACGCACCCGTAGTACAGTCCCACGGCCGTGGAAAGGCCGAGCATGACGGCGAACGTGACGTATTCGACCATCCAATTTAACTCGACCATGATGGCGGCTAATACGGACGGCGGCGCGGTGCGGCGTTACAGGCTGGATACGCAGTACCGGACGGTCCGGCTCGATCTCCGGAAGATGGTCGACCAGCACGTGCGGCGTGAACCGAGTGGCGCACGGACATTTACGTTTATCTGCACTCGGATATCATGTGATGATAATGATGATAACAATAATAATAATACGCCGAACGGGTTGCACTTTGCACCGTATTATGTAGTATAGGTATATAAGTAGTGTAATAATGTAATGTTATGCTCACACAACATAATATTATAACTGTATAATTATTTATTATTTACATCATTACAAAAATGTAACTAAAATATTCAAATATGGCCGAGTACTTGGCATTTTACAAGAGGTAAGTAATTTAATAAATATAACGGGTCGTTCGCTATTCGAGAGGGATACAAGCTCATCTACAAGCAAAATAATTTAAAATTTGTCAAATATAATAGAACTCCATGTCATCTGCTGCGGCCCTTTAAGGCCACTGCCGCCTCAATAATACTATTGTACATTATCTTATTCTCACAATTCGTTTATTAGTTATTCTATATCGACATCGACGCGAAAGCAATCTGTACTGTCTTTTTAAACCCACAAATTCCAATGGTTTTTTTTTTTTTTTATCATTCGAGAAGAACCAATATCCGATCTATTACTTTCATTAAGAACATTTAAATATGAGTCAAATAAAATTAAGCAATAGATACATAACATCAATCGGCCCTTGATACCGCCGTGTCGTCATCATTCTCTCGCACTATATACCATTATAATTATTTCTATACAAATTTCAATAATATAACATATAACATAACTATAATAATATAATATAATATAACATAACACTATTTTTTTTTTATGATTGACCTTTTTTTTGGCTAATTTAATCATATAAAATTGAACTGTTTTTTCAATTGAAAATGAAGCGTTTTGACCCCTCGAGAAATCCCAAGACGAACACTGTCGAGAATCTTGCACACAGCAACAACTACGCTTCACCAACTTCTTTCGAGGATCTCTTTCGAATAGCTAGCTCCGACTTTTAGCAGCTATAATCACTCGTGTTCGATTTATTTATTAATTTAATTTATAATTCAACCTTTTATTTTTCTAATTTAAAGATTAGCATTTTTGATCCGAGTGCACACAAGTGCTAAGTGTTAATTAATTAAATTAGTTTATCTTAAATAAATTGTGATTGCCGTCCAATGACTCCAGGATCACGTGAAGATATCCATAAGTATACACCTTAGTGTTCCAACACCGTGGGCGGGTAAAACAAATATATCTTTCTTTATTTATTGATCTCGTCACCATTCTCGAATTCACGAATCCGAATCCCTAACAAACATTGGAAGGAAGGTAGTAATATAATTAGTAGGCTGAACTTTTATTATGATTAAAGATAAATCATTCTTTGTAGTACCAAAAACTAGATCAATTATTTTATATTATATAGAAACATTTTTATACCTATTCCTCTATATTTTATTCTTTGCAGGTACTTCTAAGTAATATCCTATCATTTTAAATATTTTTATCTTCTATTACTATACTTAGTGTCTTAGTATACTACTATCTCCCCTCCCTACAACTTTATATTTCCCCCCTAACACTCTTATTTTCCTATATTTTTATTTTTCCTATTTTTTGTATTACTACAATAATGTATGTTCTGGCTCAGTTGATATTTATCACAACTTTAACAATATTTTTTACATTTTTGTTTCTCAATATTTTTAATAACAAACTGTACCAGAAAGATTTAACAAAACTATTTAAACAAATTATATAAAATAAAAATAAAAATTTAGCCCATAAAAATTAATTTGGAATTGAGATGTTGAAAACTAAATTTGATATTGAGATGCTGTACTTCGGAAAATAACCAAAATAAAAAAGCTTTTTATATTAAATTTGCTTAAATATAAATTTAATTTAATATATTAAGTCTTACCACCTCTCACATTGAAAAATCCTCAGTACACCACATAAAAAAAAAATTTGGTCCTAAATCGGTGTACCGTCGTTAGTTGTCAGTTTTTTACAATATAAAAAAAAAAAACTAAGAACTAAGAATTTTAAAAAATTATTTCATTCCGGACAAATTTTATTCACACACAAATACACATAATGCTGTTTTAAAATTAAGATAAAATAAAAATAATATTAATACACAAAAGTTGAAAAAACTGATTAGAGAACACCGGGCGTTGTCGCCGGCAGTATTTAAGGAGTTTCATATAGGCAATTTTAACACAATTTTTAACAAATAAAATGTATTTCTTTATCAATTTGAAAATCAACTTTTATAAAATAATTAAAAATAATTAATTAAATAAATAAGTGAATCTTTTATGCCAAATTATGTCAAAAACTATACATTAAATCCGTTCGAATAAAACAAAAAAAAACAAATCAGGCAACTATTTTGTCGTTAAAATCGTTTTTAAAGGTACTTACACGATTTGTCTCCGTTTTAACAACTGGAAAACATCTCGTTGAGATACCCTCTTAAGATTAGACTCAATTATTATTTATCCAAATAAACTTAAACATTATTATACTATTGCGGTTGTCATAATTTTGTATCCTGAATCACTGGGCTGTATTCTTCTTGTTTAGATCTATTATTAGACGTTCTATTTGAGGTCATCATGTACTTAGGATACACTAAATTCCGTATACAGGGCGTCAACAGTTTGGGATCGATATTCTGGTCCACCGGAAATAACAAACTCACGGCGAGTCCGACAAATATTCCAACGACGATTCCGATCGTGTTGTAGTGTAAATATGAAACGGTGTACATTTTCCATACGTTTGGACTCACGTATACGTCTTCATTCATACGATACATCCTAAAAAAAAAAAAACACCAACAAAATATTAAATTTATCGTACAATTAATTAACAGTTTGGATTAAGGCCAACATAACCCATTAAAAACAATATTAAAATTTTCGAAATGGATGTCTTCGTAGAAATATTATATGTTGAATCGCTAACAAAATATTACACAAAATTGTTTTCGGCATTAGTGTATACTGTATATTGTATAATTCTATCAAAATAGAAAAATTAATGAAATTACACACGTTACTAGAACCAAAACCAAAAGTTGATACAAGTACGTCATATTATTATATGTACTCTATGCGGTATACGGTATTCGGAATATAAAAAACGTTTTGAAAATTCCGCATCTAAAAATACGATCATTAAATTGAACGTACGATTGAAAAAAAACAAAATCATGTATACCGGGCGATTCCCTAAACATTCTGTCATGTACTTTGTTGTTTTTTAATCGATCTTAATAAATAAATATTATAAACATGTATTATTATTTTATTATACATATATATATATATGATACTACATATTATTACCTACATAATGACTCACCCGCTATAGTCTGTGTGATTCTTAAATATCGTATCGACTGGACATCCGGCGATCGAAACGTTTTTTTCGGCAAATTGCAATTCTTTGTTCGCTATGGCCGTCTGAGCTCCGAGGACGATCCAAGAAACAGTTCCTAAACTAACCAACATTCCGCACATTGCTCCCTGCAGTAAAAAAACAAAATACAATCTAAATCAGTGGTATGATAAATTTGATTTAATATTTTTCGATCAAAAGAACGCGTGTAAACTATAGGTATTTAATTGTACGGGGTTTAAATATTTTAATATACATTTTAAAATCTTACTCTAAAGACTTACTCTAGAGTTTGCCCAAGGAAAACATAACCCTAACGTGAACACGCTCAATACAGCTCCATTTGTAACCGAATTCAGACTTAACGCCAACTAGAAAAATAATTTTGTGTATTTGTCATAAACTTACGACAAAATAGTAATATAGGTACCTGGAGGATTCCGTTTAGTTTTTCAACGACCAAAACCAAAGCCACGCATACTATTCCGGTAATGACGACGGTAAATTTCATGATAATACTCGCTGTCAAATCCGAAACTTTTATGCCCATAATTCTCACTATGAAATCCTCATAAAACGTCCCCGAGACTGTGTTAAGCTGTGCAGACATCGTACTGGAAAGTTCATGTATTTAGTATAATGATATATTTCCAAGACTTTTCGTATACAATTATACTCCGTTACATATAAGAACGCACCGTTCGCGCATCCAAATGTATCGCGGAGAGACGTCTGCCCCCTTCGCTGTGTCCTATTCGCTCTACGATTGGTCACTGTTAGTTGGCTGTGCAAATTTTGACAGATTATCGTCCACCACCAGGTGCGTTCATATTTGGAATAGAGTTTATAGATTTATGATTGTTTTGTATTTTTGAAAAAATATTAAAAACTCAAACTATTTGTATTGAAAGAAAATTGTTTTAAACAAGTTTATACACATTTAGGTATTTTACTTTATATTGTTATTGAACAGGCATAAATTGTGTAATATAACTTTTTTTGAAGAGAGCAATTTTTCATTTAAACCTATACTAACATTAACTTTTTATGGATAAATATGTACGGGAGAAAACTATTTTAGAAGTTTCACGGGTTTCTTGGAAGTTTGATTAATTTTTGGTTCATTAAGCCCTTCATTTTTTAGTATCTATAGTCCTGCCCGCCAACTGTTTTTCCCGCTGTAGCCACTGATTTTTCGACCGATTATTGGTTACTGACACGAATATACGAACCTCAGCGCGGCGCTAACGATACCGGAAATAAATACACCGGTAAGTCCTGGATATTCCGCCGCTACGTCCATCACGAAATATGGTAGTAAGTTCTTATCGTTTATGATATACTGCAAAAATTTAAAAAAAAATAAAACAATTTTATTATATAAGATACATTTCAATATACGGAAATATCCGGTACACTAACGTTGGCCATGACAGGGTCGCAATCTTTGTACTTAGTATACATCAACATTCCGATGGTGCCGGTCATCAATGTCACCACTCCCATGCCCAGGATGAAATAAATCAGCGATTTCCGAGCTTTGTTGTAAGAAGGCAACGCTACGAACCGTTGAACCGCTCCGGGATGAATCCCCAGGTTGTTAAGCCACGCTAACGACATGCCTATGCTGACGGTCCAAAACGAGTGTCTCAAAAAAGGATCCGGGTCCATCCTGTTGAATGTGAAACCGTGTATTTTCTTTTATTGTTATACGCGCATGCGTTTGTAATTATTTAATTTTGTTTGTAATATTGATATTTTATTGAATGTTTTACTTGAAAAATTCTATTCGGCCGGTTTCTCGGTTTGCTTTTATCATGTTGCCAAACCCTCCGACCTGTTTCAATCCCAACACGATGATGAATAATATCGAGAGACCGGTGAAACCGCTTTGAATCGCGTCCGTCCAAACGACCGCTTTTAGTCCGCCCTATATTGTAAAAAAAAACACGGAAATAACGTAATAGAACAATTCCTAATCGAATCGCTACTGTTCGTTTTATCAAAATGCAAAATAATACGATTACTGCTTACGACGGTGGTGTAAATTATACATATGACGCATATGATCGGCGTTATCAGGTATATGTGAAGTCCGGTAACTAATTCAAAAACAGGCATTTATAATATGAATATAATACAATTGTAACTAAGTCGTATTAAACTATTCATTGGAGACCGGAGTGTATAACACATTACGATAAACTACACTGCAATTAGAGTGGCCAACTGTGCTCGGCGGACGTTTCTAGATCTGTTAATATTCTTTTTTTTTTTTGTGTCCATTTTCTTTGACGAGCGCATCTATTTGAATAACTATACAATTTTAATTTTCATCCCCTAATTTCAGAATAACCATCTCGCAAAATACATTATTCTAAAAATAAGAAAGTTTCATACATTTATATCTGATCAATAGTTTCCTAGCAACAACCATTATAATTTCTAGAGAAAAAGTATGTAAAACGAGACAGACTATCGCGTGACACGATGGGGAATAACTCAATTTATTGTGTTATAAATTGAAAATATTTTGAAATCTAAACGACTGTTACTAAAAAACTGTTGATTAGATGTGATAAATTAAAATATTTAAATTATATCTTTTACAAAATGGTTATTTTGAAAATTTAATTAAGTGATTACAATTTTTTTTCATTTTATATTTATAGAATAGAAACACTAATTTAATTTCCTATAAATATAATATACGGGGTGTGGCTATTAAATAACGAGACTGCTCGCCTAGAGGGTGCCCTAGATGGATAGTGAAAAAACCGAGTAATGCGTTGGATATCTAGATATCTTATATATGCACGTACCAAAACACGTTTTCGTCACTATTATAGTATTTGTGCAGTAGTGGTTTGAAACGAACGTGTTTTTTTCTCGTGCCGAAGACCATGTGTGACGAAAAACATGAGCAACGGATAAACGTAAAATTTTCTCGTTAAACTAAAAAAAACTCCAACTGAGTGCTATAAGTTGTTAAAAGAGGCCTATAGTGAGGATTTCCTATCTCGGGCGCGTGTTTTTGAGTGGCATAAATTATTTTCTGAAGGTCGAGAGTGCACCGGAATCCAATTCAGTCGTAATCCAAATTCAAAACAGTTTTCTTCGATATCAACGGCATCGTGATGACTGAATGGGTTCCAGAGGGTCAAACTGTGAACCAACATTACTATTTGACAGTTTTGCCAACATTGCGCGAATGAGTTCGTAAGAAACGGTCGATATTGTGGAAAAACAAGTCGTGGATCTTGCACCAGGATAAAGCGTGAAGCGTTATTTGGCCGCTTAAGGCACTCCAGTACTCGAACACGCATCTTACTCACCCGACTTGGCACCCTGCGACTTTTACTTGTTTCCGAAGATAAAGTCTTCCTTAAAAAGAATCCGGTTTGAGTCGATGGAAGAGGTGAAACAAAAATCGGCGGAACTCCTGAATGGTTTTACGAAAACAGACTTCCAGCACTGCCTCGAGCAATGGAAGAAACGAATGAAACGGTGTGTGGCGAGGGGAGGGGAGTATATTGAAGGGGAGCATTTGAATGTAGAATAACTTTTATAATAAAACACTTTTTTGTAACAAGTCTCGTTATTTAATAGCCACCCCTCATATAATAATATAATGTGTCCCCATCAAATAAAAGCAAATTTAGAAGAAATATTTTCTTTTAAAATTTGAATATTAGTTCTGGAAAAATCCGTCAAACACGATGGAACATCTTGTCTATACGTACTCGTATACATATGAGAACTTCTATTAGCGATGTTACGAACCCAGATGTCTAAATAAGGTTGAAATGAATCTCGAATAAATTAAAATAAATTCGTGTACCTGTGCTATTCGACGAAATCAGTTCAATTTCTTACGTGTTTCTCTGGTTCAAATTTCGTCAGTCTACAGTAGTAACTTGTAGTTGATGATTGAAATCGAAAAGTTCGTAACACCGCTATTTTCTATTCTGTGTAACACGCCCGTTTTCAAATGTCAACGTACCTTGATTAAATGCTAAGGCCGGTACATAAATCACCACGGGTATGTATAGTATTACGGATAAGGCGAAGATGATCGACGTCAATCCCCGGACGTTTGAACTGAACCGCCGTTCTAAATACTGATGAAAATGAAAATTTCAAAATAGAATCTAATCGTTAGTGCACGGATATTAAACAAATAGCGCAAATTTAATCAACGACACGCATACCTCGTAGACCGACGTCAATTGAAGTTCGTAAAAGACCGGTAAGTATATGTAAATTATTATGGCGATTATGAACACGTTTATCACGCCAATAATCAAGAATTGCGTCCCATTAGTATAGACATCGGACGGAATTCCAAGCAGCGTAATACCGGAAATGTGACTGTACAAAAATCAAAATAATTATACAGTTGCTTTACAATATAGTTTCGGTATTGCATTTCTAATATCGCGTAATTTTTAAAATTAAAATTGTATATAAGAAGTCGTTTATCGAATCTAAATAAACTTGAATCATAAGTAACAGATAATTCGACTTTTTATTGAAGCGTATATTGAATAGTCTCATTTTCTAGAACAGTTAGTAGGAAAATTTAAAATTGCTATATGAAAATTTATTGTAAAATTCATCTCCAGCGCCGTGTAACTTTCCAAGGCAATTGCTTTTACGTGCGACAACGAATGAATTGTAATTTTAGATTCTTAGTGAAGCGAAGAAGCTTATAGTTTTACAAAAATGTTTGTATGTATTTTTATTTTTATTTTTTTTTACTTTGAACAAGTTTTCTACCAAAGATCTTCCTCTAATTTTTGAGTGTAGCACCTTTTCTGAAAGGAAATCGATGTAGGGATGTATTTTAGAGAGGCCATTTTCGATTTTCTCAAGACTTTTCTCAAAAAATGTGAAAAACCGAAAAACACGGTAAAATGTAAGAAATGTAGGTATTAGTTAAAAATATTACGGCCTTTTTTTTCAAAAAAAGGGGGTTCAATTTGATGCAGGTGATTGTGTTGACGCGGGTTTCTGAGGTGCATGTCCAGTGGTGTTCTCATAAAGTATATTACTTATTATACGTCGTATACTCTCAAAATTTTTACCATAATATGATGTATAGGTATGTTGTTGAGAAAGCAATACTATATTAACCAAACTCTGCTCAGAATCATTTTTCGTTAACAGTGGTTAATCGTTGCGTGTAGATTTATATTAAATTTCCCCTCTACCTTCTTATACCTTATTGATATCTATTACCATGTAAACGGTAAAAAAAACATAAAAAGTATATAAAACACCCCGTGTGTTATTAAATATATTCTCAAACAAATTGATGGCTACGCCACTGTAACGTGTACGTATATGGACCTTTTTTCGGGACGATTTAAAGAGTATTGTTCGTACTTACCTGGCGATCAGCGACATTGTAATGGGAAACACGGTCATGCGTTTGCCGCCCAACAGGTATTCACTGACGGTGTTCTGTTTACTTTCCACGCACCCGAAGTACAGCCCTACGACCATGGATAGGCCTAGCATGAACGCGAACACCGAGTATTCGGCCATCCAGCTGAGTTCTTGCATGGTAATGGCGATGTTTCGACGACGGGCCGTTGAGAGAAATGAACTCGGTCAGACCTGTCCTGTGCCGGGCAATGTATGCGCAGACGGCGCGTACACGAAAAGAGAACTGTTTGCTGGCTCCTGATCGCTTACCGCTCCGTTTTCCCACTACGCAAACCGTACCAATAGAAAATCGTCGTTAATCTACACACACTCAACGGCGGCCATCCTGTTATCGTTCACACGGATCAAAATCTTTCATTGGTCTTACGAATACAATTTTCGCTCCAAATTATCACAATCGTATTTTATTTATTTATTTAATTTTATTAATAATATAATACAGGCCAGGCCCAGAAGTGTCACGAGGAATTCATGAATTAGGATAGTTTAAATAGAAAATAGAAAAACAGTATAGAAAATGATATCCAAATCGATAGGTATATAGAAAAAGTAAGTGCTTGAAAACTAGGCTCCCTTTAAAAAGAGAAATTGAGATCAGTGTTTGCATTATACACATAAGACGGATGACTGTAGAGTCGACATAGTAATTAGATACTGCGCTCAGAGAGTATAACGTACGCTGGTTCTTCAATGATGAGTGTTTTTTTGTTTTCTGTCTGTAGTAAATTTTTTCTACCAGTAAATCTCTTTTCAATCGTAGAACGACAAGAGAACTTTTTTGTTGCATTTTGGATCTGTATCGGTGCATTGCAGAAAACGGTTTTTAATTTTCCTATAGTATTTTCGCAATAACTAGGCAAAACTGATTTTTTAAAACATTTTGACGATTTTTGATCGATTTATTCGACATTTTCGTGTTTTTTTTTATTCGGTTATTCGGTTATTGTTTATTATTAATAACTTATTATACTCCCACCTATAACCCATCAGAAGTTTCAGTTCTTTTTATGAGTCTGTAAACAAATTTTTTACCAGAAATCTTACCCCAATCGAAGAATGACAAGAAAGCTTTTTCATAGAATTTTAAATCTAGTTGGTTCATTAAGGGAGAGAAGGGCATTTTTTAAATTTTATTTGTTATTTTCTTAATAATTAAGAAAAACTGGGAATATGACGCAATGATGGTATCAGTTAATTTAGATTTTGTTTCATTATTAAAACTGAGTCAAAGTTGTTTATATATATTAGATATATTAGCTCTTTCTAGACGTGGTAAAATTGTCGGAACACTGATCAAATTTGAGCTGTTTATAGCCATTTGGAATTTTGAAATTAAACATTTTTTTTATTTACAAAATTTTTTTTGGCTTCTCAACAATGTCTGAAAATTTGATGATAAGATTATAATTTGTTAACGGTATTTAAAAATATATACGATAATGTATGATGTCAAGTTATTATAATTTATCACAAATTCACAATTTACCTACACAATATGTACGCATGTCTTTAAAGAATCGAATGAAGATTTTCTGACGAAGGCAGAGTTGCTCGTGCCAATTAATAATCTATGCAATTTTAATAAATATAATTTTATTAATCCATATGCTCTGCAAAGGAAACGAAAAATCAATTTTAAAAAATTTAAATGTAAATAGACATATGTTCATGATTTGTGAGGCTACGTTTAATTATTTTAAACAAATACCAGAGGTGATGTAATTTTCGTGTTTTCACTGGAAATATGTTTTTAAATACATTTGGTAAATAAGTAGATAGTAATATTTTAAGTGGATTTAGTTTTTCTAAAATTCGTTGAGATAAGAATAATTCTAAGCTACCGTTATTGAATTACTAACAAAAGTTTTCATAAACATTATTTTATTAAACAAACATACGTTTAAAAAATAATAAATTTTATTTGTTTTGTTATAGATATGATAACAATAACCAAATAAGTACTTCAATTCTGTTTTACAAGTGTGTTTCGTTTGTGTTTGAATGAAAACTAATATCTCATCAAACCAAACTGTCGATGTAAAAAAATTGAATTTTTTTATTAAAGCAATATTTCTAATAGAACACATAGTTTGCAAAAAAATAAAAAGAGCTTATACTGGGGACGAGTGTGGCTCTGTTGTAGATGAAAAGTTGGGAAGGTAGGATACGTAAGGTTATTTCATTTATATCTGTAAGCAACGATAAACCATAACTGACGAAAAACGATTCCGAACGCAGTTTGGTAAAACTTTTTGAAATGTCGTCATTTTTTTTAACCTAACATTCCTAAGTTTTTTCCCGATTATTATGATTGCTAATTCGAAAATCAAAAAACGACCTGCATCATTTAAAACAAGATTAATAATTTAACAAAAAAGGTCTCTTGTGGTTTTCAATTGGAACCATATTTGTGCTAGAAAACATGATAGGCTCTTATTTAAAATAACGAAATCGTAAAAAATCGTATTTTTTTCCCCAATTAATCGTTTTAATTTTTAAAAATCAAAAAATTAACCATATTATTAACAAGTAGATAAAACTGACTTTCAGAAAAAGTGCTATACTTATACATTGGAACAAGTTTTCTAGGATAAAAGTGATCTACAGTATCAAAAAAAAATAAATATAGTACCATTGTAAACAAATTCATAAAAGGAAAAAAAGTCGTCCAATGATTTTGAAAATTTTATCACGTCTAGGTAAGTCCAATATTCGTACTATTACCAAGTTTCAAGTATCTAGTGTATTTATTTATTTATTTATTTATTTATTTATTTATTAATACGGACAAAAGTCCAATTCACAATATATTTGTATAGATAACAATAAAATATAACTTATATAAATTATAAATTTATATAATTTAAAATAATAAAATATAACATAATAAAAAATGAAAAGATTAATATATAAAATAATAGTAATAATAATAATGATAATGATAATAATAATAAAAATACATTCAATGTTTAATTAAATAATTAACTATTTCTCGAAGACATTAAAATATTTATGGGGTCATATGACGTAAACTTTTTAGATGAATGAGGAATATAAAATAAATAATTGTTACGAGTGTGGTGGCTATTAACTTTGAAATTTAATTGACTTAATATAAATTAATCATCAATCTCATTATTTAGTAATTTGGTGAGGAACGTACTGTATGATAAGTGTCTCCGTGCATTTAAAGAATCTAAGTTTAACAGTTTTAAAATATTATCGTAGCCAGAGTGAGGAGTTCGTTGAATATTACATGTATGACATAAAAATCTGAGGGCCTTATTTTGAACTTTATCAAGTTGATCATTATGTCCTACATTGTTATGATTCCAAATTATTGGAGCGTATTCTAATAAAGAACGGACTAGTGAGGTATAAAGGCATTTGAGAGCAAGTGGATCACGAAAATCGGAGCAGTTTCTTTTTATCATACCAAATACAGATAATGTTTTATTTTTAATCGCTGATACATGATAATGCATGATCATTGAATAATAGTTTGGAATCAAATAAAATCCCTAAATCTTTAAATAATGACGAACGATGTAGGTTAATGTCACATATATGATAATTAAAATGTAAGGGATTGTGCTTTTTGGAGTAGGTAACAATTTGGCATTTATTAATATTTAATGAAAGACTATTTGAAATGCACCATTCGTTAAATGAAGCTAAATCACTTTGAAGGAGTTTAATATAGTTTAATAAGTATAATAGTATAACCGAATTACAGCAAAAACACTCCCAAAAATTAAAATTCCTTAAAGCTTAAAAGTGGCTCAACATTTTTTGTAATTATACTGTAAGAAAGTAAATCAAAAATGCAACAAAAAATGTATCTTGTAATTTTCCAATTAAATCATTTTTTTCTGGTAGAAAACGTCGTCCGCGTTTATATAAAATTATGAAATCGTAAAATTGTACGTTTTCCAACGTTAAATCGTACAATCGAGATAACTTGAGCTTTTATAAAAGTTGTTGTACATAAAAATCGAATTAAATTTACTAAGAAAAAACGTGTCCACAGACTAGTACAATGGAGAAAAAGAAGAAATAAACAGTATTGTAAAACCAATAGCTCCCTCACTACGCTCGGAATCTAAAAATGAAATCGTTTACGTTGCGACGCGTCATAAATATTTACCGTTCTACCATTACCGTTTTACTAATAAGCTTGTTTCTGGTTTTACCCAATTACTTTTAAAACTCCTTTGAAAATTAAAAAAATAACCTCCTCAATGCACCAACGGGATAAAAGTTTTTTTCAGAGAATATGCTACACTCGATACATCTTCGGAGTAAATTTTCTTTTCGAAAAAAAAAAACACAATATCATTGTATAACCTGCACTATTGCTCCGAATCTAAAACATATGTTTATCGAACACGTCCCTGATGTAGTTTTACTCACTTATTTCTTCTTATTCACTTACTCTTGAGCTATATCAAAAATAACCTTCGAATTAATATTTAACAACCCAACAAAAATAAAACTATCATCGATCGATTTCAAAAATCAGCAAACACAGAAAACAAGGGAAATTAGAATATAAGCTAAAGGTATTTAATATTTTTAAAAAAAAAAAAGTAAAACATAAATACATAAATCATGTTTTCATCAAAAATGTTTCGGTGGATTTTCATAAAGATATAAAATAACAATAACATTTGTATATATATTTCAAATGAAAATAATTATAAAGTGAACCTATAAGGTTCAAATACACTCGGACGATATTACTTAACGTTATTATTAGGTATGTTATACAATTTGAATACATTAGGTACTTAATATAGCGGCTATACGACCGTCAAAGTTTTGTATCCTGAGTTACCGGTTTGTATTCTTCTGTCTTGAGTCCATTTAAATTTTGTTTGTTTTTATACTCGGAGCACATTAGTTTCCGTATGCAGGGCGTCAACAGTTTGGGATCGATATTCTGATCAACCGGAAACAACAAACTGACCAAAAGCCCAATCGCTATTCCAACGACGGTGCCTATAGTGCTGTAGTGCATGTACGACACGGTATAGATTTTCCACACGTTTGGACTCGCATACACGTCTTCGTTTATACGGTCTAATCTTTAAAAAAATAAAAGAAAAACAACGATTTTATCACTTCAATCCACCTATAAAAACTATAATTTCCAAAATTTGAGCCCATTTGGTCAAGAGACAATCAAAAGTAATAAAATATATAATCGACACGATTCGCAGTGCGATAGTCTATATTTTCTGGGAAAATAAAACAAACAACATTCGAAGCTTCTAGATATGTAAGATACAGATTTCCATATCCATAAAACCCTGGATTCGAGAGTTTTTCATTCCAGATTTGTATATTTCACGTTTTTATAGGTACTGTAGTAGCAGATTGGATGGTCTGGAAATGGGAATTTTACAAATGACCAGGACCATTTTACTATCTGTTTAATAGTCTATCTATCTATTCAATTTTTAATATATTTAGCAGTTGACTATCAAATGGTTCTTTAACAAAGTTAACCCGAAAAATTAAACCATTTATTGTGAATATTAGGTACATAATATTTTCTGGTGAATTTATTCTAAAACCTAATTGTTATTCTTATAGTTTGTAGGCTCTAAATAATGTTAAGTTAGAATCAAACATTAAAGCTAGAACAACTTGTTTGGTATTTCATTGGGGAAGGAGAGAATGTTGGATGATCTGGAAATATTCCAATCTCTCTGCTTAAATTTGGTTCCCATTCCATCCTTATTAGGAATAATGACCATTCCTGGCCAGGTCTTTATCCATATTAGGTAACAATTAATATTATAAATGTCACCCGACAATATTATTTTCGACTGACAATAATATTCCCCCGTACATATCCCGTTTTTGTATGTCATCATAATCAAAAAACTTCTTTTTATTGCATACCCCGAAAAATCGGTATGATTTCTAAATGTTATATTCGCCGGGCATCCGGCAATTGAAACGTTTTTTTCGACGAATTTCAAATCATTGTTGATTATGGCGAACTGAGCTCCGGCAACGATCCAAATCATTATTCCCAAACTAGCCAACATACCACACATTGCACCCTGTGTATAAAATTGAATCATGACGTCGAAAAGATAAAATTAAAAAAATTAATTATAAACTTTTACTCTAGAATTCGCCCAAGGAAAACAAATACCCAACGTGAAGACGGTTAACATCGCGCCGTTTGTTACGCCGCTCAGACTTATCGCCATCTAAATAGTGAATAAAAATATTCATTAAGTATACCTGTCTATAGTTTTAGAACATAATATTGAGCAAAAAATTGACGGTGACAAATGAGTACATTTATTACCTGAAGAATTCCGTTTAGTTTTTCAACGACCAACACCAACACCACGCATATCATACCGGTAATGACGACGGTACATTTCATTATAATACTTGCGGTCAATTCCGAAACTTTAATGCCCATCATTCTCACTATGAAATCCTCGTAAATCGTCCCGGACACGGTATTAAGTTGTGCAGACATTGTACTGGAAAAGTATTCGTATTCTGTTCAGCATAATGTTAATGTAAGCGAACACGAAACGCGTAATTATATGAAGCATTGAAGCTTTATAAATTATGTTGTTTAAATTGTTGATAAAATTATATCTAAGGAATAATAATCATGATAAAACAGGTAAACCCGCATTTCCACTAAGAAAGTTTAGTTAACCAATTTTTAGCGTCCCAATATTCTTTGTAACGTAAAATTTTCGATATACTAACGTACCTATAATCTTTTTATTTTTGTTCGACACCTTATCAGACCGTGAGGTGTATCTTTATTAAAATATGCAAAAATATGCAGAATATGCACTCATTTTAAAATATGCAAAAATATGCAGTATAAAATGTTGATATTCAATCAGTTAGGTTTAGATTCATGGACACTCATTGACTACATGTATATGATGTGGAAAATAGCATTTTGGATATGCATATGCATTTCATGCAAAATCCGGTCTTTACTTATGATATAGACAACAGAGCAATTGTTCGGGAGAAAGATAATTTCGACCAAAAGTGTCACTTTCACTCTTTTTTCTGTAAGAGATCGATATAGGTATCCTACCTTAAAGCAGCGCTCACGATACCGGAAATGAACAGTCCGGTAAGTCCCGGGAATTTCGCAGCTACGGCCATAACGTAATACGGCAATAAATTCCGATCGCTTTCGACGTACTAAAATATCGATAATATTACAACTGGCTGATGATAACATGATAACATTACAGTATACGATTATACTTACATTAGCCAAAATAGGATCACAGTCTTTGAATTTACTGTAAATCAACATGCCGATAGTGCCCGTCAATAGTTTCACTACTCCCATGCCCAAAACGAAATAAATCAGCGATTTTCGAGCTTTATTGTAAGTAGGCAACGCCACAAACCGTTGAACTGCTCCGGGATGAATTCCCAATTGCGTGATCCAAGCGAATGTCGTGCCTATGCTGACAGTCCAAAACGTATTTCTCAAAAACGGATCCGGGTCCATTCTAAAAATACGATTTATTTTATATTATTATTATTTACCTTTGTGGTAATATGTGTGCGATTTAAAACAATAATATTTATATTGGAAGTATTTAGTGGAATTTACTTAAAAAATTCTATTCTGCCCCCTTCTTGATTGTCTCTGATCATGTTTCCGACTCCTCCGATTTGTATCAACCCCAAAATTATGACGATGATTATCGACAGGGCGGTAAACACACTCTGAATGGCGTCCGTCCACACGACTGCTTTCAATCCTCCCTAAATCATTCATACATACAATTATAGGTAATTAGTATAAAGACCTGTGTACTCCCTATTTCTATGCATATAATCTGGGAGATTATCTGTTACCTGGCAAACATCTCTCAACCCACAACGACCACCACGTAGACGACGATTTTCACTACAGCTTCCAAAAATAGATAACCTCTTTTATTGCCGTTCAACCATATCATCTACGCAGTGGAAGTTGTGAGTTTGGAAGACGACGGAGACACAGTTACACAGACACAGGGGTGCTACAATGGAGATAGGCCGGTTCATGCTTTTCAGTTCTTTGGTTCTAGTTTTTATTTTTTATTTTTTTTTTAAATTTATATATGCGGATATTTATTGAATTTTAGCAGTGGCTAATCTCCGTATATGCCAACAATTTGTTTCTTTTAGTAAATATCGGTTTTTGTGGAAGCACACATTATTATTGTGATAACACTGATCACTGATAATCAGTAGAACGATTTGCTATCATAAACATTTTATAACGCGAGTTTAAAATTATTATTTCCTCACTAAAAAAAAAGTAGAACCGAAAGAAGAATTTTTGGAACCGGTGTCTACCGGACCGGTGTTTTTAGAAACCGGAATGGTTTACCCTATTGTATACCTTATCAAACACTGGTGCAAGTGTCTAAAAATCACCTTTTTATACTATATATTTTGGCACAAGGTGATTTTTTTAAGCATGCTCATATCATTTTTATGGTTAAGTTATTTATAAATTAAAATTCTGGTTTTTTGAATTTTTAAGAATATCTAGTGAAGACGATATTTTCAAAAAATTGGATTTTACACGACATTTAATAATTATAATATGTTAACAGTTATTATATTGAATTATAATATAACCGTGTTAACAGTATGACATAGAATAATAATATATGCAGTAAGACATATTTTTTTTATTTTTATTGGTTACACTGTATTTAGTCATTTTATTTGCTTTACTTTCGCAACCTAGCAAGTATTCATTAGTTCATCTCTTTATATTATTACTCTATGATTATAATCGAAATTTAAAAGAAAATTTACTAAGTTATTCCACTTTAAATACTAAAAATAATAGCATTTGTACGGGGATTGGATACCTACCGTTCAATGGAAATTATGTACAGGCAATCTTTTTTTTTTGAATAATGCAGTAAGTTATTGGAAAACTGGTTTTATGCCATTATCCATTCGTATTTAAAGCATAAATGAAAACTTTGAATGCGAATTTTCTTTCATATTTTGATTACAAAACGTCAACATTTTCGGAAAAGTCATCTAATTCACAATTTACATTAAAAATGTAGGTTCTCATTTGGAAAACCAAAGTTGATATCCACTTGGTATTCTCTTTAAATGTCGTGAAAAACCTAAGTATGTCAAAATATCACGTATATAAATTCCAAAATTCATAAATTAAATTTATGGTTAAATTATTTAATAATAAAAATAGAACGAATATGCTTAAAAAATCATCTGTGTAATTTTTGCTTGTCTAAATAATTAATATAGCAAACGAGTATTGTATATTTTTAAAAATTGTTTGTATACTCACAACGGTCGTGTAAAATATACATATGACGCATATGATCGGAGTTACTAAATGTATATGAAGTCCAGTAACTGTTTTTGAAAGAAAAAAAGTAATTTTATATTTAATATTTTTCGTAAAATAAAATTTATTTCTACTTTATATTATACGATTATTATACCTTGATTGAACGCTAAGGCTGGTATATAAATCACTACCGGTATATATAGTATTAAAGACATGGCAAATATTAACGACGACAATCCTCTGATGTTCGTATCGAAACGGTGTTCCAAATACTAAAATCAAATCGAATCGAATGATGATAATTTCAAAATATTTCATAGTAAACTAATGTGATCACACTACTTATTACGCTCAGTACTTGCCTCATAAACCGACGTTAATTGAAGTTCGTAAAACACCGGTAAGTATATGTAAATTATTATGGCGATTACTAACACGTTTATAAAACCGATAATTAAGTATTGCGTTCCGTTGCTGTAGATCTCTGATGGAACTCCGAGCAGCGTTATACCGGAAATGTGACTACAAAAATGAAAAATTATAGAGGTCATTCGCATATAAGTACAATATATTCTATAAAAACTTCATAATAATTGTTGGAATTTTAAACGTCATTTGTATAGTAGGTGGACCTTTTAGTACCTTTTTTTAGCGACCGGTCAAATTATATCCGTAAAAATATCCAAAAAATATCCAAACTCCAAATATATCTAGTAAAAAATATATTTCCTATAAAAATAACTCTTAAAAAATGTCTAATTTCTAAAATTAATTTAATACATTGTTTACAATGTATACAATGCATACAATATTGTTATTATTAAACTGTTTATTGAATTATATATATAATATGATACTTGACATATTTATGTGTATAGATATTTATTGTTTGTTTCAAGATAATAATTTTAATAATAGGTAATAGAAATATTAATGAAATTATAATCAAAATACATTTAAGTTTTAGGTAACAATGTTATTTAAAAATAGATTATTTAGAGTTATTTTTGCAGAGATATTTTGACCTGGAACACTTTTATTTTGTGGGAGGGCATGAATAATACATATAATATATTATATTATGTGAAAACCTATTATAAAATTCGCAAATTTTAAGAATGGTTAAGCTCTCACTATCCCGTTCACCAATCACCACTAAGAGTTTCAAAACGATATTGTTTTTTTTACAGTCATATATACATATAATATAGTTTGTTTTAAACCGTCGTTTTATTTACATAAATAAATTGAAAAAAAGATTAAAGACGTCTTAGGATAAAGGGGACGGGTACAGCCACTATCACAGATAATTTAATGTATACCTATAAACAAAGATAAACAATTCCTTATGAAAAAACGATTTTGAGTGGAGTTTAGTTGATAGTGATGCTCTGTCAATAATATATATGTAATTTTATAGAAAATAATTAAATAAGCTTTATATATTTTCTTTAATATTTGTTTAATGTTGTACCGATTTTCCCAGTTTTCCTACGTTTCCTGGTTTTCCCATGTTTTATCCCGGTTTTTCACATTTACTTGGAAAACTCTTGGGAAAACCGAAAAATGATCTCCTTAAAGTACCCACGTCGATTTCTTTCCAGAAAAGGTGCTACATTTAAAAATCGGAGCAAGATTTCTGGTAGAAAAGTCGTGCACAGATAAAAAAAACATCTTTGTAAAACCATAAGTTTCTTCTCTCCACTCAGAATCTAAAAGCAAACTTACTAGATGTTTATCAGCATCACAAATATTGTTTAAAGCGATGGAGTGCGTTTACTATGCTTAAGCTGTCATTGATAAAAATAATTGTATACAGTAATAATAACATATAAATAATTATGTTATTTAATGTTCGTGGTACTTCATTTTATCACATTCGCTGCGTAATTAATTTATATGGTTTTTTTTTTCATAAAACTATTGTATAATTTCTTTTGCTCTCAATTTAAAAATAATCAACAGACTACAAAATAAAACTTAATAACATAAGGTTTAGGTATATTTATTTAATAAAAAAAAATAAAAATTAAGATAATTATTTATTAAGGTTAATAATAATAATGCATCCGTGGTCTTAAAAGACGGTAAAGGCATTTATATAATTCTAGTACTAACGAATAGGTAATAATATCAACGTAGTGATACGGTAACCATATTCGTATTTATGTATTACTGTATTTACTGTTCTCTTGTAATAAAAACTATACTTAACCTAACCCCTTATAGCAAGGATATTTAATATTTATATTTCATTTCAATATTTATGTTTCGGTAAAAAACTAAAAATACTTTTAAAAAAACTAAAACTTTTTATTTTGTTATTTTTGAAAGAAATTGAAGGTGCCCATTTTATAGAGTTTAATATTCTTCTGAAAATTTTAACGTTAAACTTTTTTCATTGTATTAAATTCATGATTTTTAATAATTATGTAAAATGCAGAGAAAATGCTATATGACATAAACGCTACCCACATAACAAGCGAGCTTTTACATAACATTTAATTAATGTTTCACTTCCAATGTTCATGATTAGATTAATGTTGAGGTTTGATTGAACTATGATCGTTTTAATGTATATCAAACCTAGTATAGAACTCATTTGAACCGAAAAATTAGATTTAAAGAACCCTTGTTCCATAACGTTATCTGTAAGATGTTAATTAAATATCTATCAAATTAATTAAAAGCACTTAAGTGGGAAAAAACGTATAATTTTACGATTTCATTATTTTATAAAAACACGAACGACGTTTTCTACCAGAAAAAATGATTTAGTTGAAAAATTACAGGATACATTTTTTTATCGCCTTTTTTATTTACTTTCTTACGGTATTATCGCCAAAACTTTTGAGCCACTTTTGAGCTTTTAAGAAATTTTAATTTTTGGGAGTTTTTTGCTGTAATTCGGTTATAAATACACATGGTGACTTGAAACTTGGGAATAATACTTAGATTAGACTTAACTAGACTTGGTAAAATTTCCAAAATTATCGGACGACTTTTTTTCCTTTTTTATTTTTAGTAAGTGTTTTGAAATCAAATTTAAACGAAAATCGCAAAAAAAAATACGACACTTCATATAATGTATTATCAAACTGCGCTCAGAATCGTCTTTCGTCAAGCTATGGTTTATCGTTGCTTACAGATATAGATGAAATAACCTTATGTATCTTACCTTTCCAACTTCTTACCTACAACAGTGGCCGCTCTCATCCCCCATATCAGCTCTTTTTTGTTTTTTTGCTATATTTTGAAAGCAAAATAATCATTTCCCTGATAATAATATTTTGAAAATATGTTGTATACTTAACACTGATGTGAACACGGATGACCGTAGTACCTAACTGACAAAGTGATGGCCACAATGATGATGATGATAATGTATATACCTGGCAATCAGCGACATTGTAATGGGAAACACGGACATGTGTTTGCCACCCAACAGGTAGTCGTTGACGGTGTTCTGTTTGGCTTCCACGCACCCATAGTACAGTCCGATCATCATTGACAAGCCGAGCATGACCGCAAAAGCGGCGTATTCGGCCATCCAGCTCAGCTCTCCCGTCATGGCGGACCGAATTTGTTTTTAATTTTTATTTTTTTATATTTTTCCCTGGTCTAGTACCGGGTCGGACGACCGCGGATCTGGTTGCTCGGTGTTGATAACGCGTATAATATGTGTCTTATGATGTGGGTAACCGAGGACGGAACCGACCGCTGAGACGACTTGTTCTCAGTATCGTTGTCCGCGTAGGAAACTCGTTGATCATCACCTGCGGTACACACGAACTGAGCGGAACAATTGTTAAGTGCGGCGCGCACACGCGGATTTGACATATGATCGTCAGTCGGTTCAGAAGACTCCGCGACGATTGGCCGACCACACAATATTATTATTATTTTATTCTATAATTCTATATGATATATTTATATATGTATATTATTTCATTAATAATAAACTCCGTCGTTTTGTCGCGGTCGTGATGTCCATTATGCGATGTACTTTACTCGGGCTCGGTCAATGTTATGAATAATAATAATCTATACAGAACTGTGATGTTAACTATATTATATAGGTGCTGCAGTTTACAATGTGTATGTTGTACACGAGACGTTAACGCCATGGCTGATGCGTATTAATTTACGTTTTAGTTTCACGTGACCCGTTGATATTAATTAATAATTGTTATTATTGTCGTTCCGTTTTGACGGAAAATTTTCAAAACGGCAAGCCCCGTCCTCCTATTCAACACAGATTCGATTAGAGACTATTTGTCTAAGGTCACCTTATCATGGATATACCGTTTATGAGTAATTAGTGTTTAAAAATTAGACCGGGGAGGGGTTGGAAAAGAAATTTCATTGTCTATATAATCGATGTTCTGTAAATCAAAATTTGTATAGACAATTCGTATTATATGTTGTTTGAAAATTCAATGTTTATACTCATTAAATTATTCAACTATAGTTATAAGAAATAAGAGTAAACATTTGAAAATAGTATCGAAATAAATTTAAATGATTCATTCAAATCCTCCGATCAAATCACTGGATCAAAAGAAAATTATTAAATGATTTTAAAATACCGAACGTTCGTTTTGTTCAAGTTAAATGAATGCGATAACTACCAAACTATTTACTCTTAAAGTTCTATACTCACTCGCTAAATACAATAACTATTCTTTTACGTTTTACGGAATTTTAACCGCAAGTCGAATCTATTTACTTTTTACATAGATACAATTTAACAACGTATCGAATGAGACAGTTATAATTTATCGATTCGTTGTTTTGGAATTACGCTTGAAAGATCAAAATATCGTAGATTATAATAAATTTAACAAGGAGGTACACGAAACTTTATACCAAATTAAGTAAGTAAAATATAACTAGTAGATAAGATAACTAATTGATATTATTATCACGAGGATATAATATCGATTACGATTTATCACGTTAAAACTCGTGATATTTTAACTTTACTGCAGTACAATGAATTATTGCTGTATGCACACTTTGGATTTGGATGCAAAAAAAAAAAAAAAATTAACAGTCTTTAAAATCTTCATGATGGACATAATAATACATGATGCGGATACGTGTTTTTGTCGTTCTAGAATAATTGCACTGTCATCAGCTACGATAATTTGACATAATATTTTTATAGAACGTTGATAATTATCATCCAAGGTTTAAATTTATTATTTTAAATAACAACTAGGTAAAAATGTATTGCCGTGTAGTGACGATAACTTTCAATGGCATAAAGTTAAACTTGACATCCCTTTTAACATTTTAAAAATTAGGAACGGGGTGGATTTTATCGGTTCCAATACTATTCACGCGTAAGGGTCCTATAAAACTATTACTGTAATTCGAGTTGCAATAATAATTGGTTAGTTTTTTGTTGTTAGCTTATTTCAGTCAAAGGTAATTTTGGGGCGTTGAACTATAATGGAAGTTTGTAGTCATTGATTTTATCTATAGGAGTAAGAACGATCGCTTTAAGTTAACGCCTCTAGAAGTTGTACATTTTTGAAAAAATTAGGGAGACATTCATTCAGATAGGAAAGATAGAAGAAAAAACTGGAAGAGGTAGACCGAGAACACCATTTATGAAACAGATTATAGAAGACATGGGAAAAACCAATTACAATGAACTAAAAGAAGCTATGATAGATATGGACGAGTGGAGATCCATCGAAATCAATCAATCAATCTAAGAATTGGGGGAAAAATTTTAAAATCCTGATACATGTGTTTCTTTATTTCTAAATGTCTAAAAGTCGAATACAAATTTTTATAAATTTTACTTAAAAAATGGCAAATTCTCATACAACTTGCACCTCCTATTTTAGATTCTGAGTGGAGCGACAAAGCTTATGGTTTTACAAAGATGTTTATTTTTTTATTTTAAACTATAGAGTACTTTAGAGAGGTAATTTTTCAATTTTCTCACGAGTTTTCCCAGCAAATATGAAAAACCGGGAAAAAACATGGGAAAAACGGTACATTATTATTATCAAATATTATTAAAGAAAATATACAAAACCTATTTAATTATTTTACCATAATATGACATCTATATTGTTATCAAAGCATCACTGTCAACTGAACTCCGCACAGAACCTTTTTTCCATTAGCAATGGTTTATCGTTGCTCACAGGTATGTACATTAAATTACCCATAACAGTAGCTGCACCCGTCTTCATTATCCTAGGACTTCTTTTTCTTCTTAAGGATGAAATATTCAAAAATCCTTTTTAAGTAGATGCTATCATAATAGCTATTTGTATGCCAAATTTCGTACGTCTGTAAATTAACACCCTCCATATCATAATAATTATGGTGCAAAACCAAAATACTAATCGTTTAGTAAGTTCCATTTTTCTGATATTATGTTTATATGATATAATTATCTTTATAATTTGTTAATATTTTTGTTTTCTTTAGTTTCACTATTATTTCTTTTAAATTATTATTATATTAACTGTAATATTAATTTGCTTTAAGTAATACAAAATTCAAATAAATAAATAAATAATTAATTAATATGTCTCTATAATTTATGAGTAATAGAAACTAATTATGTTATGCAACAATATTGTTCATCGCATTATAAACTATTATAATGTACATTGCACTATTGCATATACCTAAACATCGATAGTAGCCTATATAAGCTGTAAATGATATCATTATAGATTTGATTTGTTGTCATATTGATTACTTGTTGTTTTTATCTTTCTAAATATTTTATCCCGCTGAAAGTTAATACATTAAATATGGCGTGTTATAAGTTGATTAGTATATCATAATAATCATTTGTTTATTTATATTAATAATATTGTAAAGGTTTCCGTTATAAAAAAAAAAACCTTTTTTAATATCATGATACTACTATTATAGTTCCTATAATTTTATTACCCTCATAAAGTCAGCAGCGTATAAAATAGCACGTACTTATAATACACCATACTTTATGTATTACTTTCAATAGGTTAAAAAAACCACAAATAATCAAACTTTAATTTGAATTTATTTTATTTATTATCGTTTATATAATACTTACTACACTATATATTGTATAATATAATATAAAAGTTGTAATATGTTGTTAGTGAGTATACGCAGGGCCGTCCCGAAGTTCATCGATCCATTAGGTCAGTAATTTAAAACATTCAGTGATAGTTTAATAATATTTCAAGTATTTAAATATTTAACTATAAATAATTTATATTAGGTATACAGTAAATTTAAGAGTTCAAATATTTTCCTATGAAAAAAAATATGCCCTGAGTATACAAGACATTTGAAACTAAGATGGAGTTATTTGAGCGACTGTGTCATTTTTTTGATTTTCCAAAAGAGTTTTCCCAATAAATGGGAAAAATCATGAGAAAACCGTTGGAAAAACGGGAAAATAGGTACAATATGAAACGAATATTATTAAAGGATATATATAATGCCTATTTAATTATTTTACCATAATATGGCATACATAATATACACCAGGTGGTCACATTTAAGTGGGTGCACTCATTATATCAGAAAGTATTAACTTTTTCCGTAATTTGTTTTCTAGAACATTTAAAAAAATAAGCTGCTCTACAATTTTATATTTATGTTATTTTTTGTCACCTTTTGATTTTGGGGGTAAAATCATTACCTACTTTTGATTTTCAAAATACAACCTATATCAAATGACGGTACTTCAAATTATGTATTACCGAACTGCGTTTGGAATAATCTTTCGTCAACAATGGTTTATCGTTGCATACAGATATAAATGAAATAATCTTATGTATCCTACCTACCCAACTTCCCACCTATCACAGTGGTTGCACCCGTCCCCAGTATCAGCTCTTTTTTGTTTATGTTTTCGGAACTATTTATCATCTAAAAATTACCATTAATCGTCCAAACTTCCCACCTATGATAGTAAGCTCATTTACAAACACTATTCTATACTATCATTATACGATTAACGTGTAACGGCGAAGTACAAACACCTGCAATGTAGTGGTCTTTTTTTAAAAAGAAATCATAATAATGATAAATCGGTACTTTATATAAATTAAAATTATTTATGAACGATAATTAATAATAATATTATAATGTAACGGAATGAGGTCGTATCAATAATATTGTCTTTTCAGCATCCAATTGATGAATGTCAAAGAAAAGAAAAACAAATTAGGTAATCCGAGAGTTGATGAATGCCGTCCGGACCAAAATAATAATGTACCGAACGAAATCTTTATGGATATATTATTTCATTGGTGGTACTGACCTAGAGGAGGCAAACACCGAGAACCAGTCATCGGGTCGTGAAACATAATAAAAATATTACATTGTTGGCCTTGACAAATTGAATTGCGCATCCGGTGTGTGGAATTCAAAAACCGTGGTACAGAATATAATATTGTCCACTTAACCAATTGAGACGCTTCCTTTCAAAAAAATCGCTTTTCATTTTTATTTTTTTTTTTTAGTTTCTGAGGCACAGCAACATTTTTTTTGTATATTAACAATTTGTCAACTAGAAATCTTATTCAAATAAAAAAC